AATGCGCATTCACGCCCCTCCGACACACGCTCCAATGCATTTTCGCACACCATCAGGCCATATGCCAAAGAACAAACACTACAATTTTCACTCTCGACACGATTGAGAACCCATTTCGACATGGCCCCCACATCGACTCGAGAGTGGGGGGCTTAATGATATGCCTAATTGGGCCAACCCAATGGGCCTACAAGTTATTTACCTACTGGGCCACGAGCCCAATATTGAAGACCAATATCACCGAGGCCCAAACACCTTCAAGTAAGGCTTGGGCCCAACAAAGCAAACCCAACCCAATAAACGACATATAAATAGAGGTTTTACTCATTTTATTAAGGTACGTCCTATTAACTGAGCAATACTACAATACGTATTCTCTGGACTATTTCTACTATCAGCATGTCTGACTTGAGCGTCGGAGGGGTTTCCGCCGGATCAACCCCCGGCTTAGTTCATGTGTGTTCTATGATCGCAGATACCTCAGGATCATCAAGTTGTCAAGCTACTGATCTGCTTTGCTCTCCCAGTTCATTTTCTACACTACCCAGGTGATCTAAATATTTTAGCATCATCAATATATAAATGAGATTCCGATTTTCGATCCAAAAATTAGAAATTTCCAAACTCTACCGATTCTGATCCGAAATTTTTCGATTTGAACAAGTTTTTTCGTTCCAATTTCTGAAATTTCGATTTCCATTTTTTAACGATTTTTTTGGAACAAAATAGGAACTAGCTTTTCAAATCCAAAAAAAAAAATCAAAATTTTCCTGAAAATGGCTAATTTTGATCCGATCGGTCCGATATACACCTCTAACGTTGACATATAATCTCTGAGTTTATTGCATTTGATATCGATATATTACGGGTAATTGGCACTTTGCACCCTTAAATTACATGACATTGTCACTTTGCACCCTTAAATTGAAAAAAATGTAGAATGCACCCTTCAATTACATTTTGCTTGGCACTTTGCACCCTAATTGATTTTTAGCTAGAAAAATGACCTGCTACCTGTTGAAGATGGGTGGATTTTTCTTTCTTTATTTCTCACAAACTTAAATATATATATATCATCTTCTTTATTTCACATATTCAAACACGACCAATAACAACTAATGTTCATTGTTCTCTATCAATAGTTTGAGGATACTTTACGCTAATTTTTAATAAATTTATATTTTATTTATTCTAGAATAAATACGAATTTAATTAAAAGCAAGCATTAAAAAATAATGTTGTTAATATGTTATATGCAAATAAAGGTCATACAATTTGCAATTCCACAAATTTTCACCACTCCGGTAGTATTTTCAACAGATAATAAAACTTAATTTTTCTTGTTCATATGGGTTTAAAAGGAGAATTGTGTATATATTACGGTTATTTGTGTAAAAAAATTGTTTACTTTTATTGTTTTCGTTACATAAATTGGTTAAAACATCAAATGTCTTGAGGGTTTTAGTAAAATCCAAGAAACGCATGTAAAGATCACGAAGAAGATTTTGAGCTAGACAAGAAACCACGCAGTATGGTGTGAATGTGTGTGAAAATATTTGCTAATTCTTGCAAAGCGAATTCCCCTTTCCTGCAATTACGAGCATATCTTTTGCGTTTAGTAGACATCTTGGTTCTATTTTGCATTCACAATTTTTTTTTCCCTAAAATTAAGAGAAACATCAAAATGACAAATGAAATAATCAAAACACACTCTAATTACTATCCTAAAAAAATCAGTTTTTATATTTAGTATTATGGTGTAGATATTTTAACTAAAAAGACAAGAGAAAATCTATAAATGAATATTCTAATGTTTGGTTTCTCTCCTTGGTACAAAGAGATGGTTGAATTAGTTGGATTGATGTACTTCTAAGAAACCATTAAAAAAAGGAAGTTTGTGAGAAATAAAAGAAAAAAAAAATCTGCTGCCCTTTTCAAATTTCACTTAACAAGTAGCAGGTCACATTTCTAGCTAAAAATGAATTAGGGTGCAAAGTGCCAAGCAAAATATAATTGAAGGGTGCATTCTGCCATTTGTTTAATTTAAGGGTGCAAAGTGCCAATGGCATGTAATATAACGGTGCAAAGTGCCAATTACCCATATATTACTATACATATGTGCATTATATATATTATCAAAAAAAAAAAATAGTGTAATTCATTTTGTTAGCACACGAATCCAATATAATCAAATGTGAAGAAAAAAAAGGGCCAATCATCGTTCCCCCCCAAAAGGTACTTTTCATGAATTTTAATATTTTAATATTTTTATTTTATTTTATTGAATAACTCGAAACGAATAGTGATGTATTATGTTGGTGTGGTACGTATGCATAAATGAAAAGGTGGTGGGGGCAAATTGGACAATGTTGCCAAGAAGAAAACAAGATTTTGCGAAGATAGAAAGATATATGCACTGCACGTGATGTGTGGTCTACAAATAATATATATAAAGCATGATCATTTGACCAAGTAATTTTGTTTTCTTCTTTTTTTTGGGAATAAAGAGGCACGTGATATATGTATTCTCTTATGGCCTTATTGGATGTTGGCAGTTGGCACCATAGATTTTACTAGTTAGATTTTATGGTGAATCAATTTAGATTTTGGAAGACAACAATTTTGGTGGGAAAATAACGACTAAAGGAATATTAAATTTTTATTAGTGCACAATGCACTATGAATATAAATGTTTGGAAAACACAAAAATATATATACTAATTGAATACACCCCACTAGCGGAACGAGCCATGATTTTAAGTTCGACGAAGTGCCGATGCATTCAAAAAAATCTGAGTGGAGGGCATTAATACGCTTGTACATTTTTCTAAATATATTTTTATATAAATTAATAGAGATTTGAGAAATATTGGGGGACCATGGCTGGCCGTGGCCACAGACTGGCTCCGTCACTATAGTATAAAAATCGACGATAATATCTTTATTTTTTTTGTAGTATTTATATTCATTGTATAAATTGCTAATTAGTTAAAATTTTAATTAATTCTCAACCATTCGACCAATTTCTCACTGATTATCAATTTCTTTTTAGTAGTAAAAGACCGATCGATCAAAAAATTAGGTGATATTGTTTTTTTTGAAGAAAAATATATTTTTGAAGTAATTTGATGAAATATATTGTGTGTGTAAATTAGATAATTTTTTTTAGAATTACAAGAGTATGGATCTGAATTCTAATACATCTCTTGTCACCCCTTCTACCACTAGTGGATTCCTATCCGTTGGCTTTGTATATAAAGATACAGTTAAACCTCTATAAATTAATACAGTTGGGACCATCAAGATTTCATTAATTTAGCGAAATATTAACTTATCGATAAATTAATAATTATTAATTTATACGTTAATTAATAACTTATTAATTTATGTAATTACTTTTATTATTATTTTCAATAAATACATTTTTTTTTAAATTTTTACGTATATATTATTCATTGTACCATTCATTCAATGCACTATAGAGCTCGTTTCACGAATGGAAACTCTTAAAACAGTAATCGTATAGAACGATTTATGTTGAGTTATAAGAAAACTATACCGAAAGTTCTAACCATGTTAAGAAAAATGAGGGACGAGATTGATGGTAATGTGAACTTCTACAAGAAACAAGTGAGAATTAAATTATATTATATTAAGTCTTCATAGATCTATAAAATATGCACTGTACCATGTAATTTAAGAATTTTTTTTATGCATTATTAATTTATATATTATATGGGGCTTCTTAAAATTTTCGAATGTGTATTATCTTATAAATTTAGCGAATTATTAATTTAGCACGTTGTCCCCGAGTCAGGACCGGAAAAATTTATTATTTAAGCGAGGTTATTAATTTATCGGGTATTAATTTATCGAGGTTCTACTGTATATAGAATAATAAAGAATATATATATATATAATTTCACATATCTTTTCCTTTCACCTTATTAGTTTTACATTTAGATCTCAATCAATATGAACTATTTATAGCCACATAAATGCATAAATATAAAGGCCTAGAAAGACATTTACTAAGAAGATTCCACCACTATTATTTCCATTTTCATTTATTTTTTGGGTATTATTACAAGTTGTTTTCTAGGGTCCAAAGAATCCATATATCCTAGTCTCGCAAGTGGTTTTTTTTGTTGTGATAAATGTCATTCGAGCTTTAAGAATAACGTTACGACTTCAAACGTGTTTGATCATTTTTAATTCCAAATTTTGCAAAACCCGAAAAATAGAATTTGTAGTGTTCTGAGTTAGTTTTCTAATCCAACTTGAATCACCAAAATTGGATGTCGGACGAGAAAGATATATAAATCAATAGATATTGCCCACAACTTTAATGTATTGAGGTATCTAAAATTCAAAATGTGACTCATTCATGCATAATTTTGTCACACGACATCCAATCTAGCGGATTTAAGTTGGATTAGAAAGCTAACATAAAGGACTACAATATTCGTGTTTCGAATTTTGCCAAAATCAAAATAGAAATATGTCGAAATCGGGTTCGAACTCAAAACGACATTAGTAAAATTGAAACGACATTTAACATTTCAGTTTTTTTTTTCTTTTCAATTTAAATGAATTTGTTTATGTCTGTATAAGATGTAAGGATTTGTAATTTCATTACATTAAAATTGATATATATATTTATTATAACAATTTAATTATTATTATTGAATACCAGCTTATTGCTATTGGGCTGTACGAAAATCTAATTTGCTTCGAGTAAGTGTTACAGTGTGGGCCAAAAAAGGGGCCCAAAAAGGGGCCAATTTCACTCTTATAAATCCTATAAGTTTGGGTAATAGCACTTAGTGCCATCACCATGCGTATACAAATTATTTTTTGAGTATGTATCTGAAAAAAATATTTTATACGTAAATACATGCATATAATCTATCATGCATGCACAATTCCGTACGTGCTGCATTTTGTATACTCCATGCACCATATGCATACATACAACATGTACCTTGTGTTAATTACACGGAATCTTGGCTTAATTCAACTGCAGAATTGCAATGGAAAATCCAAAAAATAAAAATAAAAATCATGGCAAATACTTACGAAACAAAGATTCAAATTTGTCCATCTCATTAGCAGGCAATGCAACCAAGATATTCACACCGTTGCTTCCGGCGCCGCCGATTTCGGGGAAAATTAATACGATATCCTTCCTGTGGTACACCACAGGGCAGCTATACCTCGGCTTCCCCCACGGATACGCCACCTCATCAAACCCTAATTAATCTCCACCACGAAGAAATCAAGAATTCCCCATTAGGAAACCCTTTGTAGATCTCCCCCCAATCAACTGCCGACCTTGCGTACTCGTCGTTCATTCTCTCCGCCCCCTCGTAAACCATGTCCACCACTCTGGAGAATGGCTCCTCCTCCAGAGCCGAACACTTCGCTGACGTGTAAGCGCTCAGCACTGCGTTGCCGCAGTAGGAAGCAGGCAGGGGCGGCTCCAGCCGCCCCCTGATGACGACGGCGTAAAGCACCGTCGACACCCTGTCCCTGCTGCCCCCGCACGAGAGGGTCTTGCACCGCCAGATGTGGGCGGTGACCACATTGAATCCGGTGGCTTTGGTGGCCGCCTTCGCCTCCTCCTTTAAGCGGCCGATTTCGTCTTGGCTTAGGTTGAAGATCTTGAAGTCGAGATCCTCTTGTGTTACGTGGTAATTTGAGCAAGAAAACATAATTTCAAAAATTAAGAAGAAATTGAGAGATATGAATTAGGAGGAGAATTAGAAAAAGAATTAGAGACGAGAATTAAGAGAAGACAAAAAGAGATTAATTGATTCTTAAACTTCATAATACTTCATAAATAATAATTAACTACCACCCCACTAACCCCTTAACCACACTAATCCACTAATTTAATTCATGCCCATTAATAAAAAACTACCCACTAACATATAATTTGACTAATTCTAATTAAATTAAATAATAAAACATATCATCTTGCTTGCAGTTGAACACTGGTGGGGCATTTTCTTCTCCGACTGGAGGATTCAGCTTCAGCAACTCGGGGTGGGGGAATGTGACTTGTGGCGGTGACCTGGCGGCGAGGAGGCGGCGGTCATTGCACGGTGGGATTGATAACGGTTTGTAGTCATCGTCGAAAGCTTGGGAGGCTAGGTTTTCCAAGAAGATCTTGAAGCTCATTCCGTCGAACAAAACGTGATTGGTGGATATGCCTAGTGCAAAACCACCACATTTGAATGATGTAACTACATTAATTATGACATGATCCTTAATTAATTACAAGATTGGATATGTTGGATTTTCTTACAACATAATGTTGTATACCTTTGGTACATACCTGGAAAACACAGAGTGGCTGATCTTCAAATTTTTCTAAGGCATGGACAATAAGCTGCATGAATGCTGGATTGAGATACACCAAATCTCCGATCTCGTCTAGAGAAAACTCGGCGGCTGCCACCACAAATTATCTACATTACCTCAATTATTGCAGATCTTGTTGTATAGCTCCTTCTTTTGTTTACATTGATCAAGTGAAGAGCTCGTTATCTGATTGGATAGAAATAGCCGCCTAGAATTGTTGGGTTGGAAAAGACGGTGATTTTACTGGAGAAATCAGGTGTGTGATTTTTGTACATTTAATTAACTAATGTGATTTCTACTCCAAGATTGTCGTCTAATGTTGCCTTTTTCCTTCACACTCGGTCTGGTACTTGCGTTAAAAATTTTAATATATCGTGGTGCTTCTTTTGTAGTTCATGAAGAAGAAGGTATATCATGCATGGCTGAGTTATTGGAAGAAGGAGAAGCTGGAAACACTTATGATGGGAAGTTTACGCACGTGTATTTACTTTTTGTAGTTAAATTTTTGAAATATGAGTTTCAATGTAATTTTATTAACTCCAGCATTTTGTAAATGTGTAATGGTACAATATGTTGCAATACAAGTATTTATTTTTTTGTTCTAGAATCATTGTTTAGTTCTATATATTATTTTTTTGAATTAATATGGTGATAATAATATTAATTTTCTTCAGCATATAAATAGAAAAGCAAAATATTTTAATTTGGAAAAAAAAAACTTCTTGGGACGAAATTATTGTCTCAGTAGATCTTGAATTTTATGTGACAAAATAATTTGTCACAACAACCAATTGAAGAACCTGGTTTTTGTGACGAAAAGGGTTTGTACTGACGAAATCAAACTGTTTATGTGACGAAGGTTTTGTCGCAAAAAGTAAAACACTTGTGACGAAATTTTGATTTGTCACAATATTTGTGACGAAAACATCATTTTGTCGCCAAATACCTTACGCGACGGGGCCTACGCGACGACGCCTGCGACGAAACAAATTGTCAAATAAAGTTTTTAGTGACAAAATATTAAGCTCTTGCGACAAAAAAATGCGTCACATAAAGTCCTTTTTTTTGTAGTGAAAACCGGCCCCGGATGAGGAGTTGCACTCAATCTCCAGACGCCCCGTCTGGTGGTTCAGTGTCAACTTTCCGGCCAAGAAGTCGTATGGCACCATCACTTTTTCCAGTGCGTTCTTGAGCCTAGCGGCAACAATTTCCGGTGGGAAATCGACGTTGGCGGGGAAGAAATGGACCGTTTGGACATGGAAATTGAGGACTTGGTCGATATTTGACAAGAAAATGGACTTGCTTTCAGTTTGTTTGGAGGGATATATATATTAGGGTTGAACTTGAGTATTTAGCATCTAGTACCTAGTGTCTTATAAATATAGTGATAGTACTTACTACTTAGTATATATATCCCATTAAAGTAGCATCCACAAAATGCCATACATTTATGATAAATAATATTTTAACCAAATTACGGTTACCCCATCAAGTAGGTCAAATTACGAAAAAGTCCCTCTTGTTTGGGTAATTACAAACATTTCCTCAACATCTTCTTACACGTTCACCATTGCGGTGTGAATTTAGTAGAATCTTCTAGATTATGTGGAATATTCTCCGATTTGTACCCCTTTTATTCCATTCGAGCTCCACACTTGAAATAAGATGATCATAAAATGTGTCGTTTGGCTAGTAAATATCAAATTGTAGCGCATCTGAAAATGCATTTTTGCACAAAACGAGTACAAATTAGAGAGCACTTCACGGAATCTAGAAGATTATGTTGAGTTTGACATCATAAAGATGGACGTGTAAGAAGATTCACAGTTGAGTGGGTGGTTGTACCTACCCAAACATGAGGGTTTTTTTGAAATTTGACAAAACCTCAGGGGGTTGGCCATAATTTACACTATTATTTTTGTATTAATAAAGTTGTTAAAAAACTAATATTTGACTGATGGATTATTGAAGTATAGTCCTCAATTCTACCCTTTAAAGTTGGAATTATTCATGTATATTGAAAGAGATCCGGTCAAAAGAAAATATATAATAAAAATCAAATTATAAAGATGAAGAATAAAATTTTACAAAGGAAAATGTGGTGAAGAAATCTATAATCTACTAGGGGTTGTCTAGGGTCCGAGAGGGTTGTACTTCTCGGACCGTAAAATATTTACTCTAGTGCGTTCAAAATATTTAACTTTTAATCTGATCCATTAATTGTTGTGTACGACCTAGTACGACACTAGGGATTTGAAAAAATAATGTACGAACCCAGTAAAAACACATCGTACACCATCGTACTTTGTATAAATTACTTAACTAACCTTATAAACTCAAATGAATAAATTTAAATATTAATTCGAAAATATTATAATAGTCACAATCAATTAACAATTACACGTCATTTTTTTTACCGATCAACAAAGTTAAAACAAGAACAAAAATCATCCATTTTTTCCCTGACCAATCTTCATTGACACATGGATAGAGATGCAATACAAGTATTTTCTGGGTGCCATCTCCGGTGACGAAGAAGTCCGTCTAGATCTCCGGTGACACATATTTGCGTTGTTGTCGCGAATTGTGGTGGAGGAATGAAAATCGATGGTGATGTTAGGTAGAATGGCGACATATGAGAGGATTCCGAATGGGACACCGATCTGAGCAATGCAGACCAAAACAAAGGGGCAAATATGGGTTAGGGTTTGGATTTTTTTTCATTTATTTATTTATTTAGATTTCATAGGTGTATTTAAAAGTTAATTAAAAAACTGAATCCATGAAAATGAGACCCACATAAAACAGAATCGAAGTGAAGAAACTTGAATTAAGGTTCGATTCTATAATTATAATTCCACAGATAAATGTTCTTGATAAGATTTAATATGAAAGGGATGTCTCAATTTCCCACATTCTTTTTTATTGATTCTAAATATTTATAACATGTTTAGTGCAGATAATTTGAGATGTAGCTGTAAGTTTGCAGATTGAGATGAACTTGAAAGTTTGCAAAATGTGAACAGAGTGACCTTGATTATAATTTTTTTTTTTCTTTATTTGCTTGGAAAGTTGACTTTCATTTGCCAAATTCGTTGGTGTAGTACGAATTAATTCTGTATTATCAGTTTCTTGCGGGGAATTTTGATTTGGTACTAATGTTTTTGGATGATAAATAGTGGCATATATTAAGGCCTCGTTTGGTTGGGGAGATTAACCACGATTAACTAAATAATTGGACCTTGTTTGATGTTTTGTATCCTCAATAAATTGTCGGGTCGACCCGCAAATATTATGTTATCATGGCTTATCTTGCTTTTTAGTTATGTTTTTATTGGATCTTCCAAGATCCAATAATACAATTGGATTTTAGTAGATTATTTAATCTTATGTTGGCAACCAAACGAGCCCTAAGGAGAGTACTAGTATAATATCCATTTCGTTGCAAATGTTATGCTAAATTGCTGAAACAATCAGTGTTATAAGTAATTTTTAATGCCTACAAGCACAACTTTATTGCCCGCAAGGGTGGTCCAATTGGTGTAATGGCATTGCAAGTCTTAGCAAGAAAAAGAATTGCACGAATAAATGATAAATATGCCACGATAAATAACCAAGTTAAAAATAATAGGAAATAACAATACATGCACCAAACTGCTAGTCATTTACGTTCATACAAAAAATCTGGTTGTTTCTTAATCAAAGAGGAATTTTAACAAATACATTGACTACATAATTTCATTTTTATATGCATATACAAGAAAAAATGGACATACCTTGCACTATGCCCATTGCCGAGAATAATCACAGTTGGTTTTTTCCCCAAAGAAGTTTGCCGGAAAGGGAGGTAAAAAGATCGATGATCAATGTTTATATTTCTTGAGAGGAACTGAAGGAGGATAATGGAATTAGGTTTAAATTTGAAGGAGAAGAGTCGAAGACTAATCAGATTTGACGTAATATTATTTTTTATTTGGTATAATTTTAAATTTGTTGATATGTAATTAACCTTTCAATTATTAAATTTCTAATTAAGTTTTCAATTAATTAAAAGGAGTTTTATGTAATTTTATTTGTCCAGTAGGGTTCGTACTTTTTTTTGCTGGGTACGTACTTATCCTACTTGGTACATTTTTATTGGCGGATTACGGTCCGAGAAGTACAGCCCTCTCGGACCGTAGACAACCCCTAATTACTATATCAACAGTTAAGAAAATGATATATAATTACAATTGCTTGCATCTCTTGGGTGCAATCAGAATCAAGAGCTCCGATCCAGTTAAAACCGAGAGCCTGGAACGAATAACGAATGCCTGCAATAAGTAAGTCGGCATGGCAAATTACGTAAATACGTAACATGTAAACTTGGCTAAGAGAGCTACTCAAACACCGGCGGAACTTCTATGGGGCAGGGGGGTCTGTTGCCCCCCAGATTTTTTTTTGTTTTTTTACTACTATTATATATATACTATTACTTATACATAAATAATTGGGGTAATAGCAAATAGGCCCATGATAAGGCCACTTAATTAAAAGAGGGACATCCAACTTTTTTGTCTTCCAAATAAATCCAACCTATTTAAACTTATTTGCAAATAAGTAAAATCCTTTTATATATACCAAAATTACCCCCAATTCATTGAAACCCAATTTAACTCCAATTTCATGATTTACACCCCAATTTCATCAATTAACCAATTTTAACCCTAATTTCAATTTTGACCCGCCACCACCGGAGACCGCCGGTCGCCGCCGTTGACCGGCGTTGATTTTTTTTTTTTTTTTTTTTGACTTTTTTTTCCGGCCGGTCAACTGTCGTTGACCGCCGGGTCTCCGGCGTTGACTTTTTTTTTTCTTTTTTTTTCTTAAATTTTTTTTTTAATTAATATTACTATCTTGGCTGCTAAATTACTGTCTCCGGCAGTTATTTAACAGTCGGAGACAGTAATTTAACTGTTAATTGACTCTTTTGTTTTTTTTTTTCTTCAAAAATATTTTAATTAATATTACTGTATTCGTTATTAAATTACTGTCTCCAGCAGTTATTTAACTGTCGGAGACAGTAATTTAACTGTTAATTGACTTTTTTATTCTTAAAAAAAAATATTTTTAATTAATATCACTGTATTCGTTGCTAAATTACTGTCTCTGGCAGTTATTTAACTGTCGGAGACAGTAATTTAACTGTTAATTGACTTTTTTTTTTTTTTTTTTCCTTAAAAAATTATTTTAATTAATATTATTGCATTGGATGTTAAATTACTGTCTCCAACAGTAATTTAACTGTCTTAGACAATAATATTAATATTATTGCCTTGGATATTAATAATATTATTGTTCGGAAAAATAATATTCATAATATTAATGTCCCAAACAGTAATATTACTGTCTGAGACAGTAAATTAGTAGCCAAGACAGTAATATTAATTATTTTTTTTTCTAAGAAAAACAATTGAAAAAAAAAAGTTAAAAAAAAAAGTCAACGCCGGAGACCGGCGGTGTCTGGTGGTCAATGCCGGAATCTGGCCGGAAAAAAAACATTTCAGAGAACAAATTATTTTCTGAAAAAAAAAAGTTTTGGGGGTTAATGTGATATATTTGTTTAAATTTGGGGTCAATGTGTAATATTAAAGAAGTTAGAGTATAATGGGTGGAATTGATAAGAATTATATTATTGAGGGTATTTTAGACTAAAGACATGGGGATGGGCTTAATTGAGAGACTGTTTTTTTTTGGACTAAAATGCATTTAAGTCCCATATGATAGGCCTTTTTGCCATTTACCCTAAATAATTTGTAATTGGTTGGTATATTATCTACTATTATATATTGATTTTTTTATTTACAATATTTATATATGGACATTAAAACATAAATTATTATTTCCACCTTTTTCACAATCTCAATCTCTAATCTCTATTAAGGTTACGATAAAAAATAATATAACATAAAAAAGAAAGTATTTTTTTTCTTTCTTCTCAATGTTTAAAATTTTCAATTTATCGAATTTCTATGTATTTCAAGTTTTTTTTTTAAACACTTTTACTTATTCAACTAAATGTATACTATATTACAATTTATTTTACATAAGTTTATGAATATTTTTTTGACAACAATATATATTACCCATTACTTATTTGTGTTGGTTTTCTTCATAAATATCCCTAAAAAATTTCGGGGGCGCTGCCCCCAAACCTTCGCCATATTTTTATTAACTCTCTAAAGTTTTTGGCCCCCCCTACCGAAAAATCCTGGTCCCGCCCTTGGCCTCAAAGCATTGCTCTGTCAAAAGCTACATCTCGTAAGGAGTACGACTCTCTTCCGTTAAATACGAAAACGCACACAATACGCATCGCCCCTTTTGTTTTCCAGCACCGATTTTTTTTACGAAATTTAACAAGGATGATGATTTTGACTACGAACTGCATGTGTTCATGATTTCGGCTGGGTTTTTCTTTTGTTATCTTTTGGGCTTCGTAATGTCTAAAAACCACAACCAATGATTTTTGGGTGGCGTTTCAATTTTTTGGGCCTAAACAATCTATTTTTTTAATTATTAATTACAATGTATTATGGGCTTCGTAATGTCTAAATGTACGTGCACAAGTTGACTAATTGATAAGGCCATATCGCCCATATGGGCTTAGCCCGCATAATTAAAGTGAATTATACCATAAAAGCCGAAGAAAGGCGGCCTAAAATTAGAAGCCCAATTAAAAAGCATATGAAATCCAGGTAAGGAGAAAATGTCGTTAGCACCTTAAATCGTATGACGACAAAAACACGAAATTATATCATAACGTGTTCCTAAGAGACCTCGCGAATCGGCGTTTTAGGCGAACAATATGCACATTTCATTTTATTTTTCTTCTAAAAATATAAGTAATGCGCTAAAAAGAAAAATGCACGTAAATTGCCCCCACACAAAACATTTGGATGACGAAAAGTGGTAGAATTGGATCAAAAAATGCAAATTCTGCTTGTTATGTATATCACTTTTTTTTTTTCAATTATCAAAAAAAAATACGCAACACTTTTTGCTTTTGAGTACTTTTCATGAATTTCAAAATTTTCATGTATTCGAATGTTCTTTTATAAATCGAAAAGTGGTGGTGCGATTTGGACAATTTTGCCAATGATAAAATAATGTTTCATTGTTTTTTCTAAGATAGAAAGATGCATATGATGTGGTCTACAAATTATACATTATTTTATAAATAAATCACAATTTATTTATGGAATAAAGTGTAAAAGTGTTCACTTTTGGCCTTTTTGCCAATTAGATATGGTGAATCAATGTAGATTTTGGAGTACATGATCAATTATTATTTCATCAAAACATCATTTTTTTTCAATTTCTTTTTTTCTATAAAGTATACATTAAATTTATGTTTGCTTATAAGTATATACAATTATTTAAATAGTTAAGGTCTCAGTTCAGTTACATAAATCGGATTAATATGGATTATCCTGTATTGTATTAATTTTGTGTTGACCGAGTAATTAGTCGATTAGTAAGACGTTTGCACAAACATTTTTCCACTTTGCACCCCAAAAAAAAAAAAAATCATTCAAATTGCAACCTAGTTTAAAAAAAAAAAATTAGTCGAGTAATTAGTCGAGTAGGTATGATATTTAAAAAAAAAAACAATTAGGCTTAATTCCACTTTGCACCCTCAAAATATACCATTTTTCCACTTTGCACCCCAAAAAATAAATCATTCAAATTGCAACCTAGTTTATTTTTCGGCCACAGTTTCCGTCGTTGAACTAATTTCTGATAGCCCAACAAAGCTCGAAAATACATTAGGAATTTGTACCCTGAAGAAAAAAAAAATCAATTGAATAGACAAAAATGACCATGTTGACAATCATAAAATAAGTAAACGACAGAAAATTATGTCCAGAAAATAGACTTGAGTGCACTTTGAATAATTAAACATGTTTTGAGGGTGCTAAGTGCCATAAATTATTTTTGAGGTGCAAAGTGTTAAAATAGTATATTTAGAGGGTGCAAAATGAAATTAAGCCAAAAAAATAATTAAAATTTGGTACTACATTCCATTGTCCAAAAGCATTTCCATTTAGAGATGAAATCGTCATTTTTTTTTACATAACATCCTACAAAATTAATCACATAGTATATTCACTACAACTTTTATTGAATAATAACATATGCAGACCTGAATTAGTTTGAATCTTGACAATCAAACATAATACTGACTATCTAACTCGTATAATCTAGTCAAAATAACTTAATAATGGCAATCAAACTCTTAAAAAAAAAATCCTATCGATCAGTATTATCAAACGAGACCTTCAATTAAAGTTTTGGTAATCATATAATTAATACTAACTTTTAATACTAATATAAGGTAATATATTTTTTCAAATGAATTAATATTTAGGTACATATAGTTTATAATTTGATTTATTTTCTTCATGTAAACAAAAATGAAACATAGAGAGAAGTAGTAAAATTATTACCATCAACCATTTATTCATTACACGATATTACAAATTACAGAATAGTAGAATATTATTTCTCCATAAATATAGAAAGCTGGCGTACGCAGCTTCACTCTTACAAGCTTTAGCCCATTTCAATGAAAATATTCTCATACATGCATATTGCATAATCAACTTTATTTTTTAATAATAATAATATTTGAAGTTCATAACTGTACTGGTCTTCTCCCACCGGTGCCGCTCTCCCTCTGGCAGTTAAAGTAGACCGCCGCCACAGGGGATCCAAGATTATAGGTCTCTGCAAAGTCCCTGGTGTTGAAATTCTGGCGCCACTCCGGGGCGTACACAGTCTCCCGCCCTAACTGGCGGAACAAGATGAAGATCATACGGTGAATCCCCATGGAAGGCCGTGGACTCTCGTAGCACACGATCTCTTGCCCTTCAATACATTTATTTATTTATTTAATTGTACGAATTATGAAGACCATTTTGTAAGATATGAAATTTAATAAATTACAAAATAAAAGAACACTAACCAAAGTTTGTCCCAGTGGATCCAGGAATATCCGTAACCATCCTACATTAAAAAAAGAAATATATCAATTGAAAAAATTAGTTAATACAATTGAAAATGAAGAATAATATTTATTTACATGCAATCCACATGTATATAATATGCAAAATAATATATAATAATCCTCGTATTTCTTGAATTAATTCTTATATTGTATACGTATGTAATTTGTAATTTGCGTAATTCGAATGTATATATTATATATTCTATGTATACGAATAGTAGCAAAAATCGTCTCACCAGTGCAGATATTCTCTAAGATTAGGATCACTAGGACTCGGGGCATCGGGATCCACCATAACCTACAAGGTACGAAAAATAGCCATACATATACGTACCGTAAATATGTGTAAATTAGGTACGTATGTATGTGTAGATTAAACGAGGGGAAAAAAACAAAGAATTACCAAAGTATAGAAGGTACGAAAATCGTCCCCTCCGATATCAACCCTAGGCTGATTCACAATGTACGACGGCCTGAAATCGCCACCGTTATTCACTTCTCTGTTATTATAAACCACTCTGAGCGTTATGGACGCTCCGAACTGATCCAATACATCCCCTATCACACCTCCAACGACTAGTGGATTTCTGTCTCTTGGCATTGTGTATATATAAAAGAAAGATATATATATATATATATATATTAATTATATATATAGAGAGAGAAAGAAATAAATATCTTGAAAATATCTTTTGCTCTCACCTTATAAGTTGTACATTTAGATCACAATCTATAGGAACTATTTATAGTTGCACAAAATGTAATGGCCTAGAAAGAAAATTGACAAAGAAGATTCTTCTTTATTTAGGAGTTATATTCAGGGGGTCCAAAGAATCCATATCCTAGTCATCTATTATTCAATTAATTCACTTTAATTGAATTTAAGTTGGCTAAATTTGAGAGGTATATACAATTATTGCACATTATAAATATTGTAAAATGATATATATGTAAAGGGAAATCAAATACATGGACCTGGTTGCATATGCTGATTGTATGGTAGAAGAGGAAGATTCGTACTGCAAAATGATTGGGCCTATTTTAAAACGAGTGGGTTTAATTAATTAATACAGCCCGCCTCACATACCAATCCATATGGAATAAAATTAAAATGTCCATCCGGTTGCCTATCTTTTGATATTGGGTTCAATTTTTGTTAAAAGACTCAAATTTTCTTTTTCGTTTTTGTTTCCGAAAAAAAAAAAATTTGGATCCGAAACGAGCGGTTTTCGGGCGAAACGCTTTAGAGGTGATCAACGAAAACATCTAAGTGAGTTGTCAAGTGTATAAATTACACTTAGTTATATGTACTTTCGATTGGACTTTTGTTTGAAATAATACTATAAATGCAGGTGAAGAATCGGGAGTTTCGAGATCATGAAAGACAAATGGGATGAAACGACGTGAAAATCGGAGAAAACTGAACTTGTTCTTTTTTAATAACATAAGTAGCTAAACTCGTAACCTGAGATTTCATTAGAAAACCCTATATATGTGTGTATTAAATTTCTTATTTATGCAAGTTTGATAAATTGTTTATTCTTCTAGTAGTTGATTTGTTTGAGGAGCATAAAAATAGCTAACCGACGTTTGTTATCTGTGATTATTAGAATTGCATCGAAAGATCGTTGTAATAGGTAGACGGTTGGTAGAAGAACCAATTTCATATGTTTGATGTTTTTGGCATGAATATAGGATAATCCTATATCTCTCTCTCTCTCACCTTTATTCCTTAGGTAGCCATAATCGGAATTTGTTCTTAATGTTGCATGTGTTCATCGATTATCCTACAATGTTTAAAGAAAATGAGAAATCCATCTTTTATGATAAGTTTCTTCATGGGACGTGTTTGGAATATACATGAGATTCCGACTTTCGATCCAATTTAAGTTCGGAAAATAATTCCAACCTTATTCCGAATATTAGACTTAAATACCAATATCATTTTATATTTTAGGCGACCAAAAATTAGAAATTTCCAAACTTTGCCGATTCCGACCCGAAATTTTTTGATTTGAACAAGTTTTTTCGTTTCAATTTCTGAAATTTCAATTTCAATTTTTTTAACTAGTTTTTCACATCCGAAAAAAAAAATTCAGAATTTTCCTTCAAAAAGGCTAATTTTGATCCTATCGGTTAACGTTTACATATAATCTTTGAGTTTATTAGCATTATAAATATTATCCAAAAAATACTGTAATTCATTTTTTAGCACACGAATCCAATATGGTCGAATGTGAAAAAACTAAAAAGTATTTTTTTTTTCTTTTTTTTTTAATTTGAATAAGTCGAAAGGAATAGTGATGTATTATGTTGGTGTGGTACGTATACATAAATGAAAAGGTGGTGAGGGCAAATTGGACAATGTTGCCAAGAAGAAAACAAGATTTTGCGAAGATAGAAAGATATATGCACTGCACGTGATGTGTGGTCTACAAATAATATATATAAAGCATGATCATTTGACCAAGTATTTTTTTTTTCTTCTTTTTTTTTTTTTTCGGGAATAAAGAGGCACGTGATATTTGTATTCGCTTATGGTGAATCAATTTAGATTACGAGTTAGATTTTATGGTGAATCAATTTAGATTTTGGAAGACAACCATTTTAGTGCACTTTGCAGTATGAATATAAATGTTTGGAAAACACAAAAATATACTAATTGAATACACTCCGCTAGCGGATCGCCGGAGCCATGATTTTAAGTTCGACGAAGGGGCCGATGCATTGAAAAAAAAAAATCTGAGAGGGGGCCCTTAATACGATTGTACATTTTTTTTAATATATTTTTATATAAATTAATAGAGATTTGAGAAATGTTGGGGGACCATGGCTGCCTCTGGCCATATGCTGGCTCCGCCACTATAGTATTAAAATCGACGATAATATTTTTTTTATTTTTTATTTTAGTATTTCTATTCATTGTATGCACCGCAAGTTAAAATTTTAATTAATTGTCAACCATTCGACAAATTTCTCATTGATTATCAATTTCTTTTTAGTAGTAAAAGACCGATCGGTCGAAAAATTAGGTGATTATTTGTTTTTGAAGAAAAATATATTTTTGAAGTAATTTGATGACATATATTGTGTGTGCAAAATGATTTTTTTTTTTAGGATTACAAGAGTATGGATCTGAATACATCCCCTGCCACCCCTTCTAGCACTAGTGGATTCCTATCGGTTGGCTTTGTGTATAAAGATATATAGAATAATAAAGAATATATATTTAATATATATTTAATTTCACAGTATCTTTTCCTTTCACCTTATTAGTTTTACATTTAGATCTCAATCAATATGAACTATTTATAGCCACATAGATGCATAAATATAAAGGCTTACAAAGACATTTACTAAGAAGATTCCACCATTATTATTTTCATTTTTTTTTGTCCAAAGAATCCATATATCCTAGTCTCGCACGTAGTTTTTTTTTTTTCGTTTTTTTTGTCAATTTAAATGAATTTGTTTATGTCTCTATAAGATGTAAGGATTTGTAATTTCATTACTTTAAAATTGATATATATATTTATTATAACAATTTAATTATTATTATTGAATACCAGCTTATTGCTATTGGGCTGTACGGAAATCTGATTTGCTTCGAGTAAGTGTTATGTGGGCCAAGAAACGGGCCAATTTCACTCTTATAAATCCTACAAGTTTGGGTAAATATCACTTAGCACCCCTGTGGTTTTCACGTTATGCACTTCACCCCCCTCCGGTATCAATTTGGTCATTTTAGCCCCAGAGGGGGGGTGAAGTGCACAACGTGAAAATCACAGGGGGTAAGTGCTATTTACCCTACAAAATTTATTTCAATAAAAATATATTTATTAAAAAAACAAACACCCATCACAATATTCAATAGACGTACAATATTACAACATCACACAGTGCCATGCGTATACAAATTATTTTTTGAGTATGTATCTGAAAAAAATATTTTATACGTAAATACATGCATATAATCTATCATGCATGCACAATTCCGTACGTGCTGCATTTTGTATACTCCATGCACCATATGCATACATACAACATGTACCTTGTGTTAATTACACGGAATCTTGGCTTAATTCAACTGCAGAATTGCAATGGAAAATCCAAAAAATAAAAATAAAAATCATGGCAAATACTTACGAAACAAAGATTCAAATTTGTCCATCTCATTAGCAGGCAATGCAACCAAGATATTCACACCGTTGCTTCCGGCGCCGCCGATTTCGGGGAAAATTAATACGATATCCTTCCTGTGGTACACCACAGGGCAGCTATACCTCGGCTTCCCCCACGGATACGCCACCTCATCAAACCCTAATCTCCACCACGAAGAAATCAAGAATTCCCCATTAGGAAACCCTTTGAGTAGATCTCCCCCCAATCAACTGCCGACCTTGCGTACTCGTCGTTCATTCTCTAGCTGCATGCATGAATGCTGGATTGGGATACACCAAATCTCCGATCTCGTCTAGAGAAAACTCGGCGGCTGCCACCACAAAACCGACCCCGGATGAGTAGTTGCACTCAATCTCCAGACGCCCTGTTTGGTGGTTCAATGTCAACTTTCCGGCCAAGAAGTCGTATGGCACCATCACTTTTTCCAGTGCGTTCTTGAGCCTAGCGGAAACCATTTCCGGTGGGAAATCGGCGTTGGCGGGGAAGAAATGGACCGTTTGGACATGGAAATTGAGGACTTGGTCGATATTTGACAAGAAAATGGACTTGCTTTCAGTTTGTTTGGAGGGGTATATTAGGGTTGAGTCTTGAATTGCCACCTTAAGATCTTGGATGGCGGTTTGAACAGATGGTGTTTGGTACAACCGTACAAGGTTTCCATCATATGCTCAAATCTATTTTGGGTGTGTGTGTGTGTTTATAATGGTGTGTTTGTGTGTTTTATTTAATTTCTTCTTTTATGGTAGATTTTGGGTATTTATACTTGCAAATGTTTCAATCAGAAGATCCATGCAAGCAACTCATTAACTACGTCCCAACAAACTCAAGAGTAAATTAAAGATAAAAACAATTAAACTATTCAATATATATATATATTTATTTATTACATGAATAATCACTAGATTACCATTTATTTGTTTCAATTAAGAATGTGCTAACCAGAGTTTAATTTTTTTTCCATGCAAGCATTAAAATTGATGGCGCATTTATTAAGTGGTTGAGGGGGGTTTCCTTAAAATTGAATAGGAGTGCTACACAAGTTGGTTGGATGAATTGTGTTGTCTAAATCAATGTTTTTAAAACCGGACCGGACCGGCCGGTCCGACCGGTTCAACCGGGAACCGGAAGCCAGTCCGGTCCGGTTAAGCATGAAAACTCGGATGCTCCAAAAAACCGGTCGGAAGGCGAACGACCCGGAAAACCGTCGGTTGAACCGGAATATCCCGAACCGGAAAAAACTCGGGTTTCGTCACTAACTGAAATTTTAAGACAATTAATTTATAGATCTGACTGAGTTTAAAAAAAATGTATATGGATCTGATTAGCAAGATGATAGAGAAACAAGAAAAAGAGAAAAGTCAGTCAAGTTTGCCGCTGAAATAGACGAAGTGCTGTTGCTCCGATCTGGATATAAGTTCTACAATGGTGGAAGAAAGAAGAAGACGAGATGGAGGAGGAAAAGAAAAAGAATTTGGCGTGGGGTAGGTGGCTGGGGTGCTTTGGAGTTTGTGATGTGTCTGTTTTGAGAGAGAGAGGAATTAATCATATATGAAAAAAAAAAAAACAGAATATAGGTATAAATAAAAACTATTTAAATATATTAATAAATTTAGTTAATTAAATTATTTCTTTTTATAGATGTTCAATAAATTAATTCAAAATTAGCTTAATATTATTGTATTGAATTTTTATGACGAATAAATTTATTAAATTATATTTTTTAAAGATAATAATATTATAATTATTCACAAATAATTCAAAATAAAAAATATTTAAAAACCCGGTTGGACCCCGGTTGGACCGGTTCGACCGTGACCCAGTTGACTAGCCGGTTCAATGTCCGGTCCGGTTTTCAAAACATTGGTCTAAATTTTGCCAAGTGAGCTTTTATTTTTCTCCACATCATCTTTTCTTGCTATTGCTATTATGGTATTAATTATGCCTCCATATTAGGTACAAATTAAACTACTATAAGGAATAGGTTCCAAGGATATTTGTAATCAATCATCTAAGAATTGAGTGATGTTATTGCTAAAACAAACTCAGAGCTCCAAATCGTATGAAATCGCCATCAAAAGAACGAGCTCAACGAGAGGAACTCAACGGCAGTTATAAATCCTACAAGCTATATATATATATATATATATATATATATATATATATATATATATATATATATATATATATATATATATATATATATATTAGTTATAAATATGTGTTATCAATCACATAACAAGGTAAGCACTATTTAGGCAATTAATTAATATTATTTGCTTATATTGTGATAGTTTTCTGACTTGAGCGTCGGAGCACAATCGTCGGGCCACCCCCGGCGTGTCACCTAGTGTTTTTAACTGTTTTGTAGGTTAACGAGTGGAGCGATCCCTTCGACTACCTCGGACGCGTGGCAAGGACTCTTGGCATTCCCGATATTGGGCTCATATATACATATATATATCTGTGGGCTTCAAGACCATTGGGCTGACCCAACATTTTGGAGCAGATATATATATATATATATATATATATATATATATATATATATATATATATATTAGCTAAGTTGAAGTCCTCCCAAATAAGTATACCTTAATTAATCTCCAATAAAATGGATGTAATTATAAGCTGGAAATTAAAGCTGAATTTAATTTTGATGAACAGATGCATGCATGCATGCATGTGTAATCCAAAAGGTACGTACATATAAAAAGTTGAAAATTAGTGACTCTTAATTAAGCAGAGAAAAGATTCAACTAATAGGAACACTTTGGCCCGGCCCCTTTAAATAAAGATTGAAGCTACATAGTTAGGTGCTCAATATATATAACGATGAATTGAATTACCAACTCATTACTCAATCCATATCAATGCTTCTACATATGTCTGTAACAGGACGAACATAAAATATAATTTAAATCAAGTCCACGCCGAAAGCAATTCTCGAATAGGAAAAATCCATTCGAAAATATGTCCGCAGTACAACAGCTGCATGCGTGCACCGACGAGGGACCTTGTCATCCTTTAAACATCCGTACTATAAGCAACTAGTTGCCGACAAGAAACTATATATAATCGAACATCAAAGTCATAAGTACTGTTATTTAACCTACGAATAACCATATCCGATCCGATCCTCCAACTGTGATCGATGTATACATCATACAGTTAAAAGCATGCATGATGTAGTTCTTCTTTATGAGTCAATTAGGGTTGAGACAAGTTTAAGGATGACGTATTTGCTGCACAACAAATACGTTATCTCTATGCATACATGTATTATGTACAATATATAAACAAAATGAAGTCGTTTCGTATGGCGGGGCCAAACGGTCGTTTCACGACTATTAAATAAATATAATTGACTCATAAAGTCGGGTTCAAATAATAAGGAAACCCGACTTGCATCCAATACGGGTCGGGTGGGCATATATCTATAATGGTGATGAGCTGGCTCTATGATGGGATTGGTTGTGGATAATATGGCCCATAGCCCACCATGTTAATGGATTATCCCCAAGAAGGCCCAACAACAAATAAGTTACACCTTGTGCAAATTTTATTTTATTTACAAAAAAGTGGAATTTACATAAATTTCTTGACTTTCTTTTATAGAAAATAAATTGAACCATAATTTTGAAGTTGCACCAATATTTATACTATAATAAAGTTCATATGATTTTTTTTTTTTTTGTTGCTTAAATAATTTTGCAACATTTTCTCGTACTTTATTATTAATTTAATTCCAACAAAGTATAGCAATACTACGTTGTACATTATTCAACGATAGTTGTACCTTCTATTTTTTCCCCTTTTCTTTTCTATTCATAAAAGCGAGGGATCACTACCACCATGGCACCATATAACATTTTCTCTCTCTTCCACCCACATTTTTATACATATATAGATTATAGAGAGAGAGACGTGTCCACTTTGAGTTTCTTCTGATTATCATTTATTCTCCGTACATACAAAAATAAATTAATTTTAGAGGGAACAATAGATTGATGGAATCGGACGACGAGGTGGCGGCGATGATGATGGAAGTTTCCGACGACGACGAAGAATTTTACGGCGCCGGAGATGGTGATTATGATGATGATGATGATGATGTTTTTCTGGACCATGTCTCAGACGATTCCGATGATCTCTCCTCCCACCACCACCAATACGGCCCTCGATCACAGGTCATTTTTTTTTTTTTTTTTATCTCAGATATTTGTTCCCCAAACTTATTTCATAATTGAGCTACCTAGTTAGTTATTTCCTGAAAATTATTATGATATGCGCTCGGGTTATTCAGAGTTCGATCGGGGAGGGTGGGCGGCAGGGTAATTTAAACTCATATAACAGTTTATTGATTCATAGCATTTTTCTTAGATAATTTGAGGATGGTATGTTATTGTGTAACACATGTTTAAAGAAGGTTTTATTTATAAGCGGTATCTTGGTGATGCTAATGATTCTTGTCCAGGTAAAATCCAGCCATTTGTGCGTTCGTGACTTATTGATATTGTAGTTGATTTGGTGTGAAATAGTTTTGGTAGCGTTTATGAGGATAACAATGGGTATTGTACTTTGGGAAACGTGATACGGTGTATTCTTTAGGTTAGAAGCTTCATTTTGGTGATTTTTATGTGCATAATCATTGATTTCTGAAATTATGGAAAAAAAATTTGAGTTCTTTCCCGGATTTATTCCAAACTTTCCATTTTGAGCTGATATTGGGTTTGTTGCCAACTTTCTATTTTGAGGGTAGTAAAATTGTAGAATTCTAGGATTTTGGTCGGGATTTTGACTATGGTGCATTTATATGTAAATGTGAATATAACTATGTTTGCTGTTGAGGGGGTGAACTACTCGGCATTTTAGTTGTAGATCACAATTCATGTACTTCCCGATTGCTACTTCTATGATAATCTTTCCCTCTAGAGTTAAAAAGTTACACCTCTTTAGTCTTTTCTAATCTTATTGTAACTTGTAAGTCTCATTTGAAGTTGGGTCTTGAGGTCCCCTGGTAGTTCAATGCTCAATAAGATTAATGTACGGCAACCTGAAGTTGCTAAGGCCGTTTTTTCTTGTTTTGTGACGTTGAAGTTAAAATGATCCATTTACTATCATTTATAGTCAGAAGAACCTTTATCGTAGTTATGATTACGCAAACGTCTAGTGCCTTTTATATATGCTTGTGCTTATTTATTATTATTATTATTATTATTATTATTATTTTTTTTTTTTGTCCTCTTATCATGTTGCTGGTGTTATTATTATTTTATTAATTCATTCTGGATTGCTATTTAAAGTGTTTTTACACGTCTCTCTCAGAATTATAAAATTTTAAATGAAGATGATATTCGGGAATGCCAAGACAAAAGTATTACAAAGATATCTACAGTCCTTTCAATCTCAAGGGATGCTGCCGGCGTTTTGCTCCGCCACTATAACTGGTAACTTATTCCTAAATTAGCCTTTTATCATTAAAACTTTAATGTCTCTAGAATGTTGTTGCGAGTCTAATTCTTGATCATTAATCAATATGCACGAATCATTTATATGACCTTTGCTTTACAAAATGAAAGTCAGTCTCACTTCTGCGTCAAGTGAAAGTGGTGTCATGAAACTAAAGCAAATTAATGCCGTTCTTTCTTACTGAACAACTGAATGTGCTTAAAGATTTATCTGTGAAATTTGGTTATTTACCTGCCGAGGAAGTCCTTGATATGTTCTTTTCTGACAGGAGTGTTAGTAAAGTGAATGATGAATGGTTTGCAGATGAAGAAAAGGTCCGTAAGACTGTTGGTTTATTGGAGAATCACATTCCCCTTCCTGATGATAAAGAGGTGATCATGATATGTAGAAGCTGCATTGTGTTTCAGTTAAAGGGCTATTATGGAATACCTTCGAGCAATTATATGTAGGATTCTTCTTAATTGTGTACTTTCTCTGCAGCTAACTTGTGGTATCTGCTTTGAAACTTATCCTCGGGATAGGATGAATGCTACTGCCTGTGGCCATCCCTTTTGTGTTATATGCTGGCAAGGTCTGAATTCCATTCTTACATCTCCATAAACGATGTATGTCATCATTACATAAGTTTGTACTTATACCTCTACGGTGCAGGATATATTGACACGGCCATTAATGATGGACCTGGATGTTTGATGTTGCGTTGTCCTGATCCATCTTGTGGTGCTGCTGTTGGACAGGATATGGTGAATAAATTAGCTTCTAATGAAGATAGAGAAAAATACAACCGCTATTTTTTAAGATCATTCGTTGAAGATAATAGGAAGGTAAACGAGTGTGTGCTGATTTGTTAAACATGAATATCATTCTATGGGTCTTCATAGAGTATGTTCTACAAACCTTGCGGTCTAGATTTCATCTTAATTCTTTTTTTTTTTTGTGTAACAGACAAAGTGGTGCCCAGCACCAGGTTGTGATTATGCTGTAGATTTTATTGTTGGTGGTGGAACATATGATGTCTCTTGCCGTTGCTCACACAGTTTTTGCTGGAAAGTGAGTTTCAGTGTTTCCTTTTAATATTCTATTTTCCCTAGCTGTTTTAACTATAACACTTCCGATTCTAGGATTTGACACTTGAAAATCATTTTGTAGTGCGTCGAGGAAGCCCATCGCCCAGTTGATTGTGGAACTGTGTCCAAGTGGATAATGAAAAACAGCGCCGAATCTGAAAACATGAATTGGTAAGTTAGAAAACATGTTAATATGTTAGGTTAATCATAGGTAAGGGGTAATAATGTTGATGGTATTAACTTAAGGCCTTTGATTCACTTAGCTTTTCCTTACTTTATGATATCCCTGATATAAATATCCGATTCAACTAAATATTAGATGATCTGATATATTTCTGATTGGGTTTTTCATTCTTGTAGACATACCACTGATTCTAATCACGTGTATCTCATGGTATTTCAGGATATTGGCCAACTCGAAGCCTTGTCCAAAATGCAAGCGGCCGATTGAGAAGAATCAAGGTTGCATGCATATCACGTGCACACCCCCATGTAAATTTGAGTTTTGCTGGTATGCTTTATATTTCTTGCTATGCGATTAAAGACATCCTAGTTTCCTAGTTTTCAGCAACTACTTTAAACTATGCTTTCTTTCCACATGCGCATTTCTTTTTAAGATGTTGCCAACTCTACAGTTCTCGGTGTTTTTCTTAATCTTATGCTTGCTTGAAATGATTAAATACTCGAACAACCAAGATGTTAGTTATCTGCATCTCGTGGTCCATTTCTTCTGGAAGCTGTGGCAACCTTGTCGTTGTATGGGACTTGATAAGATATTTTTGCAGGTTGTGCCTTGGTGCATGGACAGAACACGGTGAAAGGACTGGTGGATTCTACGCGTGCAATCGTTATGAAGCTGCCAAGCAAGAAGGAGTGGTAAGATTATCTGGTTTGTCCCATAGCTGGGATATAATTAGCCGGTATGCAATTAAATTGAACTATTTTTTCTTTTCCAGTATGATGATGCTGAAAAACGAAGAGAGATGGCCAAAAATTCTCTAGAAAGATATACACATTACTACGAGAGATGGGCTACAAACCAGTCGGTAGGTATATATCTCCTGTGATGTGGGACCTGGTATATTGTAACTGATTCTTTGTGGAAAATTTTCTACATTTACTTTGTTCTTATTCCACTAGTATGTGTATATTAAGTAGGATTCCACTTTCACCATTGATATGATATATTAGTCCACAAATATGAACCCTTGAAGCCCAATTAGAATACATAATAATTTCTGCAAGCAAACTTGGACTCTATCTAGACATTGTCACATTTCTTCAAGTAGAGAATTAAGTTTGCCCATCTCTCACCTGCTAATCGATCCAAGAAAGGCGGTTTTGTGGCTACTTTTGTATCTTATTCTATTCTATTTGGTCATAATAAGGGCTTACATATTCTTGTGTGAATTTATTTGACTCTGCTTGAACTTTTGAATGGGTTTTCACTTTTCAGTTTCTTTCATCTTTTGCATGAGTTACGTCTAAAGTAAATCTATTACCTTTTTGCAGTCTAGGCAACGGGCGGTTGATAACCTACATCAAATGCAAACAGTACATGTAAGAAACTTGTTTCTTTTCGAGACTGTTTCTAATTATTTCCTACAAAGATTATTTGACTGCTGGTAGAGGCAACTTGATATACTTGTTTTGACATCATTTTGCTGATGTGCACGACAAATACGTACTAAAAAGATATGTCTTTTCTTATATAAATGGAAGTTATTGGTATGCTTCTAGTTTAGAAATCTTGAACATTATTAAATACTAGCAATTGATAACAGGAACTTGGTGCTGTATCTGATAATTGACGATTAATTATCTCACTTAATGTTAAAAGTAAAAAAAATTTATCAAGTAATCCAGTGTCAGTTGGTTGATACATTTGAAACCATTTATAATTATACATGCATCTGGTGCTTGTTCTCATGCCTCTGTAAGTTCATTGATGTTACTCTGTTGTGCAGCTAGAAAAGCTGAGTGATAAGCAGCGTCAGCCTGAATCTCAGCTTAAGTTCATTATAGAAGCTTGGCTACAGGTAATATATTTGCCTTAGAAGTATGTATATCAGCTTAATTTTTCATGATGTATATTTGCCATAAAATATGTCAAAAAATTAATTGGTCATATAGGATAAAAATAGTAGTCTCGGCTTGTGGTACGGGACTCACTTTGATTCTGTGAACTCTTTAAGAAAGGCAGTTATCTATATATTTTTCTCTTAATTGCTTACATTTGCCTTCTTCAGATCGTTGAATGTAGACGAGTTTTGAAGTGGACATATGCATATGGATATTATTTACCAGAGCATGAACATGCTAAGAAGCAGTTTTTTGAGTATCTACAAGGTATACGCAATTCTGCAAAATGGGATTTTGTTTTATTACAGTCTTTTCCTGTCATTACCTACATATGTCTGTCTTTATTGTTTAGGCGAGGCAGAGTCCGGTTTGGAACGGCTCCACCAATGTGCAGAAAAGGAATTTCAGGGGTTCCTCAACTCTGAAGGTCCTTCGAATGAATTCAACGAGTTTCGAACAAAGTTAGCTGGATTGACTAGGTAAATTCTTCTGACAACAACTATATAAGTACTCGACTACTCGTGTTTATTCATCTTGTCTTAAAATATTTCCATGATATTGTGTTTTCTTGGTTTGACCTCTTAACCGTAGGAAAACTTACATTTGCAGTCTATTTTCTTCTCTCTATAGATTTCGATCTTCTGAGTTTAAACTACATAAAAGATAATTCTATTTGTACAAGCTTCAAGTTCTAACTTCGATCCTGCATTGACTTTTAGACGAGATGTAAAAATGTGGAAGTTACACTTTTGGCACATATAAAATATAAATAGTAAATTGAAAATTAATTGTCTCACATCATTAATCGACTGAAACCCTCCAAAAATGTGCCTTGTCTAATAACTGCAGTGTGACGAAGAATTATTTTGAGAACCTCGTTCGAGCTTTGGAAAACGGCCTATCAGATGTGGACTCTCTTTCTCCATCCACTGGCAAATCAAGAGGCGGTAAAGGCAAGGGAAGTGCATCGAGATCAAGCAGTTCTAAGAACATAGATGATTCTGGCCATTGGATATGTGAATACTGCACTTACGCAAACGCTCGATCGTCCACTGCTTGTGAGATGTGTCAGCAGCTAGGGGGGAGGTGAATCCCTCTCTACTCTTCGAGTATTTTTGTATGGAACATTCGATTGTGTGTATCTGTATCGAATATAGATTCCCCACGAGTATTCTTGTGTTGTATATTATACAGTCATTAAATTAAATATTTGTTAGGTAGATTGATGTTAATAATGAGTATGTTGATTGTAATGGTGATTACTGGAACTGACTGATTGAATACATATTACCTGTTTAGACTAGGATACAAAACGCTACTCGAATTTCAAAGTCTCGTTGAATTTCACCTTATATGTATAAATAAGAATAACTCGCCGAATTTAGATCATTTTGAAATTTCTCACAGGGTGGCAGCAGGTGCCGAATTTGCTTACACATAAATAAGAATAAGTAACCAACTAAATTTCTCTCCCCTATATTTCTCTCGCCAATAAGTAAGCAGAATAAGCATTAACGTAGAACCTATAGATGATTCACATACAAAAATTAACTATAGATGACTTAATTCATCTTCCTATTGAAGTAACACGAAACGCTGTATCTTCTCTTGAGCAACTATTCTCGTTGAAATACATCTTCGTGCATAGAATTTTATATAGAATGGATCCAATCTAGCTGAAATCTAATATTCCATCGAACTGCAAGTGTAAAATAACACTTCCAAGGATTGATGACGGCCTTACCTGGTGGAAATGCCACTCGAGTTTTTCTCGGTTTTCCAAATAGTATAAGCCAACAATAGTGGAATCACCAGGCTGTAGACCGGGAAATGTATGATTGGGTTCATCTCGTATGCTTTCATTAGAGATACACAGTTCTGCAATATTCAGCATTACTCGTTAGTAAACAAAAATGCAAAATAAACTACGTAAAAAAATTGAACCTTTATTGCACTTGCATTTTGTAAAGAGAAAAAACGTTTCTCAAGATGAAATTTCATTGGAAAAAATAAACTCATACCTTGAAATGCTTCAAGAGGATAGCCAAACAAACCACAAGGAACAACTTCCTACGCCACCGCTTAGGTGTAGTAGTTTCTGATGCCCTGTTGAACGAGGCAGATTCCTTATTCGAACTATCATGGTCGTCTTTTTTCTTACTCGAAATAGAGAGAATATAATCACGATAAATCCCACTTTCAACAGCCAACATAATAATCAACACAATCGAGGGAAGAACTACAAAAAACATATGAGGAAGAACCACCACCATTACATCCGGAGATCCAACAATTTCTATCTTCCCCATACTATCGAATCTCGAAACCCAACCTCTAAAAGTCATATATACCCTTTCTCCTCCACTTTGCGTGAACACTTGACCATAAAACCAAGGGCACAATATAAGATAAAAAAGGTAACCTATCATAGAGAACCATGCAAGAGGAACATTGTATAGTTCCGTAAATACCCAAGAAAAGCAATTTACGAAGCTCTTGTTAGCTTTAAAATGTCTATATGTATACCGCCTCTTTGAACAAGAGAGTAGTACTTTTGGGATGAGAAGAATCGGAAGGACTAAACCGTAAAAACACCATAGTATAGGGTAGTACAAAGAGTCCCATTGACAACCCATCACAATAAATTCTTTCCAACTCCATTTGAACCTAGCAGGGGTTCCACTTATCGAAAATGGTCTGAGTTCAGTGACAGTTAATCGACCCATTATATCAGTTGATTCTATTTGAAGTAAGTATCGCTCAGGAGATGGATCTTCGAAAGCAAGAATATTCCACGGGGCCACATAAAGATCACCGTGAGACCCACTAAGCCTTTTCATTGGTGTATCTAACACAAGAATCAGATTTCCGGAGCTAGAATCGTATACCTTAGCCAAAACCGATACAATTGGAGAAGTAGAGAAAACAAGAGCTCTTATGGCATCATACAATAAAGGGTCGTGGTTCCCACATTTATAGTTTTCATATGATAGTGAATCGAAGCGAGAGTCCAAAGGAAATGTCGGCAGTATGATAGTTTTCTTGGCTCCAAATTCGAAGTCTATATCGACGAATGAAATACGACCCCTGTCGATAGCTAAAACTCGCATGGCTCTACTCTTTCTCCAATCCCCCATTTCCAATTCCCAGAATTCATTGATTTTTGTGGGGCAATAAGAGGTGTTCTTTGAAGGTGTTCGATGACCGTTCAATTGGAATAACTGGTTGGAATATTGAGCACTATGATGCCGCTTTAAATTCTTTCCGAATTTTGTATGCAAATGGCCGCATAAGTAAGCAGCTAACGAGTGAAACGTGAAAATATCCTTCAATGTCTTTCCGGAATTTGTGGCCGCAGAAAACGAAAGGGGGAAATGGCCGAAGGATATTTTGGTAATTGGCTGAGATGAATGAGAATCCCATTGCGAGAGTTCGGTTTCTATTTCTTCCAACATTTCATCTGTAGGGTGTCCAAAGAGATTAGTGGGGCCCCGTAAACCTGAATTCGTCGCGCTGTCAAAACCAACGAAAAGAAGCTTCCGTTTGCTGGTCTGCATGCATTATTAAATCTTATTTACCTTAGCTAATACAACATCAATTTAATCTTAAAAAAAGAAAAGAAAAAAAGCAGCAGAAAGATATATTAAACCTGAATAGTGATGCTATTGACTGTTCGGGTCCTTTGTAGCTGTCCATTGATGCTGTATTTCGAGAAAAAATCAAAGGATCCACCAATTACAGGAACTCCAAAGTTGTCATGATTTCCTCGAACATCGTAAAATTTGGTTTTGTTAAGTCCACTTCTCTTGACAACTTCATGCATGACGTTCTTGTATTCGATCCACTCCTCTTCGTCTTGTTTCATTGTTAATAAATCCCTGCTTTTGCCGTCTGGAAGAAATGTAACAGTAAAAACTCTATGTAACGTAAATGGCGTTGTATAGATTGAAAACACTTGAAGTTCGTTTGAAGACGTTATTCATGTGTTTAAGCATCAATGAGGCTCCAATGTATGGCAAATTCACTTAATTTCCTAAATTAATCGTGAAATCGGCAAAATAGAGAAACCCAAATCAAAGGAAGGGCTCTTCTAATCAATCATTTAGTTCATACATCAAAATAAAAACAAACTTTATTATCATAGTAGCAATTGAGACAGATTTATTACCCAAACATCTTTCAAAATCACAAAATCAATGATTTTCCCCAATCAATTGAAGAACACCATAAAAAAAAAAAAACAGTGGAGCAAAAACTGACCAGTGAGATCGCCAGTGATGAGGACTAACGAAGGCTTGATGAAGGAGAGTGCGGGCCCCACAATCTGATTGAATTCCGCAGCCCTCTCAGGGCGGTGCACGCTGAAGTGGAGATCGGATAGCTGCACCACCCACACCAGATCATCGTCGGGACCTCCCACCAGCTCTATCGCCACTCTATTATTGCTATCGCCACTCCCATCGACGCTGTTGTCGGTAGAGATTGCCGATGATGGCGGCAATCGAATTGCGACGAATAGCAGGAATACAACAGTGATCGGAATCCCGTTTACCATTCCTCCTCCCCTCCGTTTTCTCCTCATTCTTCTCTCTTTCTCTCTCTTTCCTCTCTCTCTCTCTCTCCTTCTTGCAATGCTGGCTCTGGTACTGGAGTTGTCTTTCAATATTTTGCAGGAGTTTCGTAAAACGCGATTTATTTAGAACAAAAGCACGCTTTTTGGAAAGATTTGACTTTTGAAAAGCTTTACAGAAAATCGCTGATTGGCTAATAGCGACTTTTAAGCTTGAAACGACCCCTAGCACTTGTGGTTTGTGTTGCGTTGCAGGTTAAGAAAACTAGAGAGAGAAACAGGATCGGTTTTAACGAACCTCTGTTTTTCCACACACACACTATTACACGCACAAAACGCACATACACACACGCGCCGGAATTCAATTCTCTTATCGGAGGACCACTTCCTACTGGTGGGTGTTCAATTATTCGCTCAATTTTAGTTCCTAGCAATCTCAAAACCCACACGAAAGATGAAGTTTTTGAATCATTAGCCTCTTATTAGTGTTATCCATTTCATTTGTATGCTTATGATTGTTTTTACTTTAATTTTTGTATCCTCGATTGAATTTGCAGATTCCGTATCAGTTTCTTGGCGGTTTTGATTCTCCTTCTTCAACTGTGCTCATAATTTCTGGCTATTAAATGTTGGAGCTGCCATTATTTTGCAGGTAAGGTAATTCATCCTTGTATTTTTTTTTTGGATTGCATAGTACATAGCTTTATTTTAATGCAAACAAGGTGGTTGTCGAAATGTAAAATCTTGTTATTGTTATTACAATTGAGCTCAGAAGGGGGTGTTTGGTAATGCTGGATTTGGATATCTAATCCCATGAAAAATGAATTTGATACCCTAACTGCTGTTATTTCTCGTACATTCATCCGATATATGGGTGGAATGTACTTGAGTACATATACATATATTTTTAGCGATTTCTTCTTTTAGGTCGTGCATTCTCCGAGGCTTTAAATTTGTCCTTTTTTTATGTGTAATAATGTGCAGTTGATGGCCTGCCAAATGGATATAACGACGTTGCATTCTATGTCTCTCGTTGTTAATGAAAGATTCGAGAGACCAGGATTGTTTTTCAGGCATAGTTGTGGCGGTCTGAATTATGCTCATAATTTCTCTAGACATACACCAAATAAACTTGGTTTAACTTCAAGAAAGAGGTACGTTCTTGAACTAAACTATGATTATGATTATTGAAACTACTACAACTGCCTTCGTTGGTATTTGCGAAAGCTTTTGAAAAAGTAGCAGTTGGTGCTTGTGAGTAAAACTTCGATATATTAGCTTATTCTCAAAAACTCGAGGATGTTTGCAAATTCCATATCAAAATAAGTTGATCTGTTTGCGTATCAAACTTCAAATTTTCATCTTTTTTGCTATAAATCTCTAAAATGACCTTATAAACTGGATTTAGATCAAAAAAAATTATAAGGGTACTAATGTCCAATGCAGCTTTAAACCGAAAAAGCTGTTGCGGTAATGCTTTTCAGATTATAGCTTAAACAACTTACTCTAAATAAGAGCAAAAGTTGCATTTGCAGACACTAAAAAACAGATTATAAGCCAAAAAAGGCTCGTAATATCTTTCCAAAAAACATTTCAAACACAACCTTAATCCAGCTTTTTCACATTTTTGTAGACAAGGATTGAAAATAGCATTTGCGTTGAACACCGATGGATTTACAGCCAACAACAACCAAGACAACCTGAATCAAAACAACTCCGGTGGTCTAGGCGAAACTCGTTTGGGCAGAATAGTCGGTGCTGGTGGCAGACAGCTACTGAGTAAACTAAACTCCGCTCGGAAGAACTTTCCTATGAAGGTATTTCTACTGCTCCTAGGTTTCTACACCGCTAATGCTCTAGCCACAATCCTCGGCCAAACAGGTGATTGGGATGTACTTGTGGCCGGAATCGTAGTTGCCGCCATTGAAGGCATTGGAATGCTTGTCTACAAAAAGCCCCTCTCTAGCAGCAGATTGCAGTCTTTGGTGGTGATGGTAAATTATTGGAAAGCCGGTGTTTGCTTAGGCTTATTTGTCGATGCATTCAAATTAGGTAGTTGACTTTTTTTCTATATATAACCTTTGACTACTGTCTCGAGTTTGACTTGATACCTGAAGGGCATTACGGTCGTTTGTTATTGTTGTCTCGTTTCCTCCATCCGAACGAAAGTGTGTGTGTGTGTGGGAGGATTGTTTTGTAAATCGTGTAGGAGCTCTGTTGATAGGAAAAGGCGAAAATGTGTCGGTTTCTATAACATTTTAATCATTGAAAGAGTTTTTCTTGGCTTCCCTTTAGTTCCATGGTTTCTAATATATAAAAAAACCGTTCTTTATATTATAAGGTACGAATTACAAAGCCTGGTGTACTACTACATACGTACTTTCCGACGACAAAATGAATCAAAAGTTCCGAAAATTCATAGCAGTTTTCACTGGCTAATGATGAACTCCACTACTCATATTGTCCTAATGAAATTTTCTTACTCCTAAAGCTGCAAACCTAAGATAAAACAAATTGTCTGAATTCTGAAGGAAGAGAAAAACTAAGTTAGTAGTAATGTGTACATCCATCCTCTATGATGTGGCATTAATAATTCCTCTTGATTAATTTTGCAAATTTTACGTATCGTTCCACACAGTAAAAGTCGAAGCTCCATTACACGAATCCACATTGTTGATATTCCTCGCTGCAAGAGTTGGAACAGCAATAGGAATACTATGATTCCAGCTGTCACAGTTATTATTCGACGACGATTCCTGAGATTGTTGATGATAATACAAATAATTCCGTGCATGTTGTTGATAACTGGCATCTGCCGTCGTTGTCATTGATCCAAACATGCCCTCATGAATATTCCCCACATAATCATTACCGTCATCTTGAACAATCACAGTCCCCATCATCGGCATCGCAAATCCATTCCCACGATCATCTCCGGAATCACTATTTCCATAAACTCCGGCATTAGAAACCGAGCTCTGCTCCATTACATTGTGCATCAGAAGAGAAGGCTGCAAGAAATTCTGTGTGTTGTTGTTCCCCAGTTGAAGCTGATGATTAATTTCACTAAAATTACCATGACTAATCATCTCTTGATTATTATTATTAAGATTATTATCTTGCTCTTGTTTGCACCATAATCTTTGATGGGAATTATAAGGGTATATTGCTTGCTGGAATGCAATGGTAGGCCAGGCATTGGTATTCCCATTCCCATTCCCATTCCCGTCGTTATAACTAGCACGGTGCAATTCCAGAGCCATATTCTCGGCATTTTCAGCGTCTTTTAACCTTTTTGCAGCTCCTCCGATTGGTAAATTAGTGCTCTCCATTATGCTTTTGACGTCATATCGGTTTATTTCGAAATTCGTGACGGCATTTAGGCCTCGGAATTTGATGGCCGCTATGTCGTATGCTTCTGCTGCCTCTTCTTGAGTGCCTTATGATCATCAAGAAATTAACCGAAAACGTTTATTTAATTTGCAGGTAATTAAAAAGAAATTAATGATTGTGTGGTAATTAGTTAGATAATATTGAAACAATTATGAAAAAAGTTGCTTACTGAAAGTTCCCAAGTAAAGGTCTTTGTTCCCTGCAACTCTACCAATCCTTGCTTGCCATCTTCCATGCTGGTGATGTCTGTTAATTATATGTATATATACAAAGTCTTGATTATTACATTCATGCAATGGAATATGAAATTAATTAATGACAAAAAATGAAGTACTGGCTAGGTAGAACGAATATATTAATTAATTACCTCGTTACTCCTCGATATATCGACGCCCCACGGGAGAATCCGCTGCTTTTCCTGCATGAAAGGTACAATTTTTTGCATGAGATCAAGCTCAATATATATATTATGTATGCATCTACACATGTATATATATATTTTATTTTAACCTTGCCATAAACTAATTAATTAGTATATAAAGTAGTATATATAGTTTGCTGTTTATAGATATAGAATACCTTCTTAATGATGCTACATACTCCTGCCTTGTCATGTGCTTCATATCCTCTATTTCTTTCTCGTAGTTGTTAATCTATATAAATGATTAATAATATTGAAAATTAACACCAATTAAAGAGAATTACTTGTAACAAATGCTAGCTTGCAATTAATTAATTATTTGAATATTAGTGTATAATATATAGTAATGAATTAATCACCGGAAAATTGGTAGTGGTGGTGGTTCCCCAGTACTTGAGTGCTGCTAAATCATAAGATCGAGCTGCTTTGTCTTCCTTATCATAACCTCCTGCAATTTTATTTAATTAATTATTTAATTTGTAGAATAATATATTATCATCACATTTTTTTGAAAATGTATAGTACTAATTACATGAAGAGGTATATATGAAAAAAGACAAATACTTACCCAAGTAAACTGCAGTAAGATTATATTTAATTAATCACCCCCAAAAGCAGGCAGATTTGAAAAGAAGACAAGGAAACCAGAGTTAATTAAGACCAAGAAAACCTTAAAAAAAAATGAAATGTAATAATAACAATGATATGATAATGGGAGCTGAAAGATTAAATAGAAAAAAAAAAAAAAAATACCTTGCCTTCCTTTACGGGTTTGACCCTCTCTTCTACAAGTGTTATCCCACAAATGTGCCTCATATCTGCCTGTCCATCTATGCCTGCATGCACCATTACTACATATCAAAAAACCTAGCCTTCTAGAGAGAGAAACAAACGAGAGAGAGAGAGAGAGAGGTATATATACAGATACAATTACGTACAAACCTTGTTACACCGCGGTAAATAGAGGTCCTTTGTCCGAACGTCTCTACAGATTTCCGAGGCACTGATTCCAATAATGCACCACTTTGACCGTCCTTGCTGCTTTCAGATGTACAGCTCGTGATCTCCGTCGCTGCTGCTGCAATATTATTGCCGACCACAACTAGTGGCAAAGGAGAGCTCGTCTGTGACTGTGAGCACCCCGTGCTCATGGAAAGCGACAGTGTCTGCGCACCGCTGCCGCCCGCCTCCGGGTTGTTTCTGAGCCAGTTCTTGATCATGGAAAGGCCGATGGTACTACTATTATTATTATTAGTTGTGGCGGCGGGGGCGGCCTGAGTTTGTTCGTACATATTAGTGCAAGTGTTGTTGCAGATTAGGTTATTGTGTTGTTGAAGCTGGTCGGCGAAAGAGTGGCCACCAAACCCTAGAAAATTTTCGAGTTTCGGACTGCTGTTTTGATTATTATTATTATTACTACTATTATCTAAGTAGTTGTGGCTGCTGCTACTGCTGCATGATACAGAATTCATATTCCAATCTGCAAATTTCAAAAAAACCAGCACAATTAAAGCAATAATAAAAAAACTTGTCATTCTGCATGAAGTTAAAATCAATAATTAAATAAAAAAGAACTAACCTTGAGAGTGATGAGAATTAGTGTTGTTGAAAGGTTGGCAAAAGGGAAAATGAGGGTTTGGTGGTGGGAGTTGGTTTTTCAGACAAGGAATCAGATGATGATCGAAACATGATGATGTTGATGATGATTCATCAACAGTAGTAGCATAGATTTGTGCACCACCTGCAGGTGTAACAACTGAGATTTGATCAGAGCCGTTGAAATTTACACCCAAGTGATTATTATCATGATGGCCGGGGACTGAATTATCATTTTGTGACTGCTGATGTTGTTGGAGTACTTGTTGAGCTGAAAGGGGGAACCCTAATAACCAGTTATTATTCATCGATCCAATTACGTAATAGTTAATACCCCCTTTTTTTTTCTTTTGTCGGTTGATAATTCTACTCAGTGTATAAGTAGAATTATTAATGCATCAAGTTTGAAGAAGAAGAAGAAGAAGAAGAAGAAGGGTCCAAAAAATGAAAGGAAAAACTCTCTGTTAACAAAGCAAAGTGGAGATGTTTATATGCACAGTCTTTCACACACAAACAAGTGGACATTTTAATTCTATGTTCTCTCTCTCTCTAGGGTTGATGAGGGGCATAATCGTCATTTCACAACAAGTGAAGTTTTGCAACATTAAAATTAAGTGCCTTCAAATTGGAATTAATACAAGACTTCTTTATTTATTTTTTATAATAAAGTTTCCACTGGTACTCATATACTATAATTCCTAGCTTTTAATAATAAATTATCATTAAACTTAGGGTTTGCAACTACTTAATTTCCCCTTCGCAAAAAAAAAAAAAAAAAAGAATTAATGACAATAAGGGTACGTACACACCGCACGAGCACCATATCAAACAAAATAATATTATTGAACTGTACTGTTGCCTGCTATTGCGTACAGTTATATGGTGATAATTAATATATATATATATATATAGCTGATAAATTCTCAGCGAGGTCAGTCCAAAAACTAAGATATATATATTATCATTTTCATATAAGTTAATGGCATTGTTTTACCCTAATTGCCTTCATTATTTTCTAGATATTACAAGACATGCATACATCCACGTCATCACCATCATTATATTATTCTAATTTTTTTTTTTCAAATGCAGATTGCTCCCCCGCTTCCAACGGGGGCTTGTCTGTATATGTATAATAATATAATATTGATGGTACATGGTACGTACTATGCTCTCTGCAGATAACCACAACAACTCATGCATGTACTACAATAGCAATGTTATATATACATACATACATGCGTATATATATATATATATATGTTGCATATATATCATACTCGTAGCTAGCTAGCTAGTAAACTGGAAGCTTGATATGTTGTTGAAGGATTAATGCTTAACATTAAATGTAAAATTACTATATTATCCACTATCATGTGCCCCTGTAAGAGGACACATACCCTTGTCTTGCGGGCTATATTTAGTACTTTTCTTAATTTCAAGACTGTTTATTATGGGGACAAACTGGTTTTATAAATTTTGTTCCTTCTGCGCCTAATTAAGCTATATCCTGATCTGCAGAATAATAAGTAATTATTACAACTATAATTTGACACATCCTCTGCACAATAATTATAAGGCAAAAAGAAAAGAATTGTAAAAAAATCAGCAACAATTCGATTAGCTACTTCACTCATTCAGAGATTAACTAATGAGAACCCTAATTATTCGCATGCATTAATTAATTTGCTGAAATTAAGTTTGAATCATATATCATATTTTAGTACTAATTAAATATGATTTTTCTTTATAGTTTTCATAATTAATTAATATATATAAATTTCCCTTTTAGTGACCTCCTACTCCTACGCACTAATATAATGTTACTTGATAATAATCAATTTCCTTTCTACTATACTATATATGTAATAAATTAAAATTTAATTTTAGTAGTGACCAATTACCGAACAGAAGGCCCTGACATTGGATTCACTAATTCAATTCTCCAATATAATCAGCCAATATAATACACCGTGAGTGTGTGAGATCAGAGACAGGGAGAAAATGTATTATATATCTCGAAGGGTGCAAAAATATAATTATATATCATAGCTAAGTTTGACCGTTGAAGAAGAAGAGAATAAAAAAAAAAAAAGAACAAATTGCCACCCTATCAGAATTTGTTGCATTATTATAAGTAATGCATGGATGGTAAAAAGGAGTAGTAGTAGTAATTGGTAAAAGGTTAAAAAATGAATATTACTCTCTCTCGGTAATATAAATAGATCATAATCATGACATTGTCTACATGCATGTGACTACTAATATAAGTGTGAGATCGAGACTACTTAATTAACAGTCAAAGATCAAAGACTACTCCTTCAATTCATCACTTTTGACCATCGATCATATTCATATGAGAGAGAGAGAGAGAGAGAGAGAGAGAGAGAGAGAGAGAGAGAGAGAGAGAGAGTGGGATTAATTGTATTGGAGAAATCGTCGGAGCACCCGTGCCGCCTCGGTAACAATTACTGTTTCATTAATTAATATATATATATATATATAATGCATAATTATATTTAGTACTTATTAGCTTGTTTGATTTGATTTGAGCTGTTATTAATTGCACAGTCTTAAATGCAAATCAATCTCATCTTATAAATATACATTTATCCTCATCAAATTAATTATATTCCTTTAAAAAAAATTAATCTAATTATCTGGTTTTTATATTTTCCTTAATGAGTCATTCAACATGCAGGTCGACATGTGTGTATACATGCATGCATATGTGTACGTTCTTCAATTTTATTTGAAGAAATATTTGAAAAATATATTTAATTTGTCGTAAAAAGTTAAGCATATATCCATGGGATCAATAAGCTAAGTGTTGATACTAATTAACTTTCTAGTACTGTAATTCATGTTGATCTATAATTTAGAAAGAAAAAAAAGTAGTCCATAATTTAATTATATTAATTAGATTATATTTCAAAAAATGAAAAACAAAATAACTTGAAAACGTGCCCAGATTTAATTGGAAGCAATCTCAAAAAATAGGGATTGCAAGGGGAAAACACTCATTATATTTGTGTGTGTGTGTGTGTTTGAATGGTACTAATACATACAAATTAAAGTAGTATATAATATATTAGTAGGTTGTTTGTTTTTTTCCCATGCGTACTACTGTTTGTGACTGTGTCTTAAAATGATTATTTTATTCTTTTTAGTTAAGGCATAGCAAAGTCATCGGAATGCTCGTTTTCTTATCTCTTTAGTGTGTGTGTGTGTGTTTGATCAAAAACTAAAAAAAACCTGGAAAACCGGTTGTCGGGATTCCAAAATCACCTTATTTATTTGACTTGGACCACAGCTGCCTTCTTGAAAGTTTCACCTCTTCAAATCTTTCTTTCCTTTCAATGCATGCATTCATTTTTATATATATATATTATATACATACATATATACATGTCTGTGTGTGTGTGTGTTTAATTTCTGTGTGTTTGTGGTATATCAGTGTGCTCGTGCATGGCGCTTGAAGCACGCAGATTCAGTTTTTTCTCAACAAGATCTTGCATTAACAACTAACTTTAATATATATATATATATATATATATATATAATATAAATCAAGCATCCCATACATACTCTATTTTGTCTTTAATCTATAAAAATCTGTGCGCTATGAGCAGAATGCTGACACAGTTTGCTAAAATGTGCCCCTCTATTTATTTGGGCTTACAACAAGATGCTCATTATGCTAGGCCCATCTTATACTACACACATTCACCTAATGATATACCCTTTAACTTTTGGGGGCCGGGCCCTTTAATTTAATTATATATCTCCCAACACTAAAATAAAAACTTATATATATATTTCATTTTTTTTTAATAAGCAAAGCTGGCTTGGGGCCCTACAATCTAGTATTTCCTGCGTTTTTCCATGTTTGATTAGTCTGGATATCGTATTAGTAGAGGGATACGACCCACCTCGAATCAAATAGAGCAACATAAGTGATGATGATGAATGATCATGGATTTGCTCTCAGCTGGACGAAGATCAAACGGTTGTGTATAAGCTAAGGATTTAGCTGGATGATGATGATGATGATCAATGCTGACGTGGCAAGAATACTAATATTAAATATAAAAATCCAAATTAGCGATCGTCGAACTTGTGTTACATAAATGTTCGCGTGTGCCAAATATGTGCAATGCAGAAGGAGGAAGTAAGAACAACAGTGTATTTATTATTACTAGGTGTATTAAATTAGTATAATTATAGTAGTACTAATTAAGTAGAGTATGCATGCATAACTTTAGAATTCTTAGTATTGGGAGAGACTTGTAACCACTTCTGGATAAGCTGAAACACGCTCTCGTCTGTTAATAGTCCTCGGTGACTTGCACTTACTCCCACTCTTTCCGCTGCTTCAAAATTATCACCCTGCAATTTCATATTTGTGTATGTCGTCCGTATACTAATGTAAAATCGAATTTATGGAAATTTAAGTACCGAGTGCTCTTTTATTCAATGTCTTACCATTGCTGATTCTGAGGGGACAGTTCCATCACCGTCTACGTACGAGTATTCTGGCTGAAGTAAATTGAAGTAACACAGTTAATGAGACTATTACCAAAAATAAAAATCAGTCTATATATATAAGAGATGATGAGAAATAAATAAGTTGTGTTTACCAATGTGTGACATATTTCCGATAGATCGTCAATGGGAGTAGATTCAGAACCGTAGCTGCAAACGGAGACAAAATGTTTAAATATATTAATATGATATATCATCATTGGTTGCCTAACCAAATATTTCCTTAATCTTGGCAAAACAAAGTTCAAAACAAGCGTTTGAAATTCATACGCGCATATCTTGTTTCTTGGCAAAGTTTGAAAGCCATCATTAAGAAAAATTGTGCCAATATTGAATAATTGGCATGTAGAGATTAAGATAAAGAGAGATTTTGGGCTACCTACCAAACATCAAAAGGTGTGTCGAAAGATGTTCCGTATATGTTGTAGAAAGAAACTCCGTTCGGAAGTTGAGTTTTATTGATGAGTTCTCGAGTTGTAGCAGCCCATTCAAGAATTGCAACGTTGAAAGGGAGAGCTACTGTTTTTCCACCAATATTAAGCTGCAATATATGAAGGAAAAAAAAATTCATAATTGTTGCCTCGTCAGATCTAAATTCAAATGCCTTGTTGATTTGTTCGGAAAGACACTATAAATATCAAGGAACTGTAATGCTTGATGAATTTTGAAAAGATAAGAGGGAAACGCACACTTGGTTCCTAATTCAGATTCAAGCTAATAAGAAAGTACCTCATTGTTTTTTAATGCTTCTTCAAAAAGAGTGACGCATTCATTACGGCCATACGTTTCCAATTCAACGGAAGATTCTCCATCATTAGAGTGCTTTCTCCATACTTGAATCTCAGGTTGCTTCTTCCAATTGAAATCAGGGTTTGGCAACATCTCATATACAGACGGGCACTCTACCAGCTAACCACATACAAGCAAGGTCAAGTTGATAGGTTAGAGAAAGAAAAACAATGAGAAAGAACAAATCAGAAATATTTTGCGACACAATACGAACATTGAAAAAATTTAGTGAAGCCAGAAAGGGTGAAAAATTAGAATATCAGGGGCTGAATTGCTTATCTTCGTTGTACGGGAAAATATAAAAATAATCAAGAATTCAAAACCAAGAAGGTATACTTCTGAAGCCCATTATGAAAGTATAAACACAATTTTACTGTCGTAATTTAACGTAAATTTATTGAACAAGGTTGATTACCAGTTGATGCATTGACCATCTTGATACGAAAAAGAAGCTTTCAAAACCTTCAACAAACTGCAATCCGGTAAGTATAGAGTCATTGATGCATCCTGGAGCACCTGCAGAAGCAAACAGTAAATCTAACATCCAATTTCTGCGCCAAAAGAATAATTTAGAGAAAATATATAATTAACCAAGTCGAAATTAGAACTGATAAAAGCGAAGTGCAAAGATTACCTTGGAAGGGAGTGGCAATGGTAATCCACTTATTCACATACCTCGAGAAGATCTGCAGTTTGAAGGTTAAGTCTTGGATTAAGTTTCCATTAGCAATAGGTCAAAAATTATAAAACGGTTATAGAAGTGTTACGGTAATCAGGGTTTTGGAAATTAAAACATTGAATTTGACATACTTCACTATGAAGAGATATAAAACAGGTGACGAGCAATCCTCCCATTGAGTGTGAAATTATGTTGACTTTCCTTCCTCCCGAAGCCTTATATGCTGCCTCCAGTTTCTCTTTTAGGCCGTCCATTAACTGCCCAATTCTGAGGCATACAACAAATAAGTAGTAATCCTCCTAATATATCTGATAAAAGAAAATGTAACAAGTTCAAATACACACACATAGCACTCGCTGAAACATAAATGTATCACAGCAGGAATTAACCAGGTAAATTGTTTTACCTATTGCTTTGACGAAAATCGTATCCATACCCGAACAACGTTGTTCCTTTCTTGTACCCACATCCAACAAGCATCTCAATCATGTCATGAAAATGGTACACGTCGAGAAAACGCAATATAAGACATTGTTTTATAATGGAGGTGTGAAGAGTCTACTGTACTCGGAGCAAATAATAATAGCTTAATAACTTCAGAGTGTATGCATCACAGTTTCTGATTGAGCATAAACAAGTTCAGTAACAAACACATACAAATGAGCATATCTAATTCGAGATGAACAAATTGTTCAGTGGAATACAAAAAAGAAGAGAAAAATGAATGACTAAAAACAGAGCTTACTACGGAAGGGTCCAAAATATCAATGGCATAAAGCCCATAATCATCTTGAGGCACAACAATTTCAGTATTATCATCCAATGCCTCTGTATACCCTGCAAGAAAATAAATTATAAATTACTAAAAAAAAAGGAAAGGAGATAAAGATTACAGTTTTAAAATAAGAGAAAAGAAAAAACCTGTATCGGGATTGTAAATGGACCACAGCTTCTTCTTGAACTCCAAGTCAGCCAACAATATGCGGACCCATACCCGGGTCTCAAACCCGAGCTTCTTCGGTTTGGAATTGAGAATTGAACCGGCGATACCCGAAATTAAGACGACGGGATCGCGGTCGGTTGGGCCGGAGCTCCGAGCTCCGTAGAAGCAACAGCAGTAATCGCGGAGCATTTGTGAGATGATCCGGGTGGGTATTCGGGTTTGGTATGCTGTTGTGAAGGCTGGCTGTTGGGGCGGCTTCTGGAAGTTAGAACTGAGAAAGACTAATTTATTCTTGATTACAAAGGTGGCATAAATATTAAATAAAAAATTATCTTTTTATTATGAGATTTGGATATATTAATTAATCCTTGATGGATAGGATAAGTATTATTTATGTGGATTATATGATATTAGATACCCCCATTTAAATTGTTTTGGTACAAAATTGTGTGAGGCCAAATTGCAAATTAGGTGAACTATAGGTGATCTAAGCAAAGAGGAGGGTCGAAAGCCTAAATTGTAAATTATAGTATTAGTATATATAATTCCACTCCACTTGCTACATTTCCTTGTTGTTAATTACACTATTGACATAAATACAAATTCGATTATCTTCAATTTTGTTAATTAACTATTTGACCCTCAATCTTTTACGAAATTGTACTAATCATTTTCTTGAGATACTCGTATAAATTTGCGAGGTCAATTCGGAAATATCCCATAATTCTAAAGCCAGTTTGACGCAATCCGTAGAGCAACTCTCCCAGATCGTAATTGAAGTGCTCCGAGATAGCTGCACCATTCCTCTGTGTTAGACATCAATTTGACGTGATTTTCGAAAAATATATTGCAAGAAAGGAAAATAAAATACTCGTTCGAACCTTGTTCCACTTTCAGCTATGCTTTTCAGGTCATCTGCAGCAATGCTGAAAATCATGTCAATACTTCACCTCCCGGACTTTATATTTCCAACTTTCGATTTTATCATCGGTTGGATTCGACTTGACAAAGCCGATATCAAAACAGCAGTAGTGAGATTTAGACCGACTTGGGTAAACAAGTTCAAGTTCAAAATGGTTTTTGAAATGCAATTCTGGAAAATGAAATATTTCATACCATGTTGCCGTAGAGATGTACAGCATACATCGCGACTTTTTTCATCAGCGTGGCTCTCGGCATCGATGGAGTGAAACCCAAACCTAATAATAACGAATAAAACAATAAATAACACGCATTTACACGATTATAAATACGTGTGTGTGTGTGTGTGTGCGCGTGTGAGAAAGAGAGAGAGAGAGAGAGTATACAATCAAAGACTTAAATCCATAGGATCATCCCCAATGTCTTGCACAGAATCATTGTTGCAGAAACCGCAAGCATCGTTAAGATTGAGTTTCATCTGCAACGAAGAATCGGCCCTCTTCTCGAGCCATTGCAATCTCCTCTCTAAAGTCAAAACTGCAATATGCATGATCCTGGTTTCAACTTGGGCAACCTTAGCACAAGACCGGAGTAAGATGTAATAATCAGCATGAACAGCATATATATACACGTCTTCCCTTCTTCTAGCATAATGTAGATAGTCTTTCCTCTTGACCTTAGTCCTCGGAGGAATATAGCAGAATTTGTTATCTTCCATATCCAACTTCAACTGCTTTATTGCCTTATCTTTGGGGCACTCCTTTGAAGGTCGATTTTCACACGCTGAATCTTGATCACGATCACTACATTGTGATGTACTGCAAGTGCTTTGGTTATCTGATGTTTCGGCAGCCTGAAATCACAAGATGTTAAAACTGTAGATATAGTATCATATTAAATCTCAAAAGTTGGGGGAGAGAGGAAGAGTTGGCGTTGCTAATTTATCATTTCCTACAGGATAACGTTGACAAATTACAAGTACCTTGTTATTCTGATAAAAATCCCAGAACTCCTCCAACAACTCTTTTTCTAAAGGACCTTCATTTGATGACTGTAATCCAGAGAAAACTACATCCTTGCAATACTGGAGGTATGACAGCAAGTCGTTGGAATATTCTGTGAAACCAAGGCCAAAAATCTAGATTAATTATGCCTTCTAATGTTAAGAAACTAAATAGAAAATTGAATTACAGTTCAAGATTACACGTGTTATAAACTATTACCATGCATATAATCCAGTTCACTATACTTTGCTTCCAGAATATGTAGAAGCTCCATAACATTCAATTTAGAATCCAGAACATCTGACTTAGAATAAGAAGGTTCAAAATTGGTGGAAGATAAGTCCTCATCAACATTCGTATTTACATGGCTCAAAGATTCAGTATCTTCATTCTTATCACGGGATGATGAACAATAGGGATTAGACAGACTGGATTCCCATATTCCATAACCATTTATTCCATAAAGAACCCGTATTGTCACGATCAGTATTGACATGACACATGCACGAGTAGGAATTCTAAGATCACTAGCTGACAGATACAGTTCAGGAGGAGTCGACCATTCACATATCCGGCATGCCAAAGGAAGAAATTTGCCAATCGGAAGAGATAACTGCCTAAAATAGCGGGAAGCAATAGCATAGAAGTTCACCGGAGGCAACTGTAGACAAATTTTCTGAGCAACATCAGCTGCCATTGACTCCAACTTCTGTGATGAAATGGGTTTGATAGGTCTGAACATACGACTGACACGAATTGGGCATGTCTCGGAGTGAGAACCAATCTGCTTTTCTATTTCAACAAAAGCAGCAAAATAAGGAAGCTTTCCTTCAAGGGTCCAATTCAGCATGTCCGATGGCGTAATTGCCTCCCTAGCCACATGACAAGCAAGGAAGGAGATAGCTAAAGAACAAGATACAGGTATTGTTCTTCTAAGAGATTTATACCATACATATACTACACGCTTCCCATGAATATTAACAGGTTCCGGTCCATATGTAGACACAGCGTTGAACTCTTCTTCCCCTGAATTACAAATCGGGAAAAAGTTAAGCTAAAAAATATTTCAAATTCATGTTAAAGACAAGACAATGAAAAACTATATGACAATTTGTCATGATGGCATATCTGTCCTCTATGATTAAACCTTTTTTTCTTTCGAATTTTCTTACTGAATATCCTACAGCCTCCAACTGCAAGACAAAATTAGCTATATATGTAGAGTTGAAGTTGTTTCATTTTTTTTTTTCTTAATTTTTTTTGAAGATTTGTCTTGAACTAATTAAACCAACGCAAGAACATGTGAAAACAGAGATTTTGTATTTTATAAATTTTTTTCGCACCTTGTGTGTGAGCCTCGGAATCATGAACAGCCTGGTCTGCCCATTCATCAGCCGTAATCCTAGTTGAAGCTACAAACCTTAACCATAGAGGTCCAACAAGCCCAATAATTACAGGGCTCACATTAAACTTCTCAACTAAAGCCTGACACTGCAATTGGACCATGACCTGAAGGCCTGTCAAATATCTTGATCTAATCTCAGAATAGTATTCGTCATAGCTAAAATTCTTCTGGGACGAGCCAAAATCACTTGGTTCAGTAGGTCCAACTCCATCACCCACAACAACTTCCATACCAGCAGTTGAAATATTAGGATGATCCAAATGCTGAGATGTGGTGAGTTTTACTTCAGAGATAGGTTCAGCAGCAGTTGGATTGACAGTGCGCACTCTGTTGCAACTGGCAGAGTAACGGTTGAAAAGCTCGTTTTCATCAAGGCCAGATTCAATAAGACCCTCAGCTCGTGAGCCGCAGTAGTCACAATAGTAGAAGCCAGTGTCATCTTTGGAAAAGCCAAGACCGCTGCCACAGGTATGGCATATCTGCATTAAACTCCCTGCCATTGCACCTATTCAAATATATGGACAAATATTGAATCATTTCGTGAAAATGTACTGAAATTTGGAGTTAACTCGTAGGACATTGAGTGGAAAAACAAATGCGAAACAGATTAACTTCAATTATTAATGACAATACAACTTTTGCAAACAGATCAAATCTTTTCAACTTGGTTCTACATATTTTTATGTAGACTAAAAGCATCCTAATTCCTGATTTCGAAACAGTCAAAATTTGAGTAATCACGCAAATAAAGTTTAATCGTATAACCTAGTAAAGCAGCATGATGAAGCCAAATATTTTCAACAATCCAATCAAACTGCCTGAAATTAGAATTCGTGAACGCTTCTTGCACAGATTATTTTAACAAAAAAAAAGAGAGTGTATGTTGTTCTATCACATTGCAAAAATTCAAAGCCTATCGTTGTTTGTTCACCTGATAGGGTTCTTCTTCACTTGAAGCATTAAAAACACCAAGTGCTCATGAATACAATTAACATTAGAAAAATAACTACATTGAAGTTTAAATTCAGTTTCTTACAAGCTAAGTAGAGGACGAGATTGAACAACTGAATTCCTTCTTTGTGCGGCCACTTCGCGCGGCCGGCGGATACTTTTGCTGAAGGCGGCGAAACGACGGCCGATGGGATGGCTTCGGTTTGGGGGTCCGGTTGTGTCCGTTAGCTCCGACCGTGATTCAAGTAAGGTGGTGGCGGAGACGAGCGGCGGTGGAGCTCAAATTGAAATTTTGAGTGTCGATTTCTCGCTCGTGATTTGGTTTTGTTAAACACTAATCACAAAATAAATCCCGAAATTAGTGTTATAAACATGATTATTAAATGGGCCACTGTTTCACGTGGGCTAATTGACAAACCAGCCCAAACAAGTTGTAGAATTTACGGTTTACCCCCTAGCCCTATTTCCCCAAATTTTGTAGATGTTGTACTATATGCATAAGGGGATGTACATTTCCTCATCCAGAAATTGAAATTGGACCCCAACAACATCTACAAATCGGGGAAGAAACAGCTCTCCAGTTGAAAAGGCAAACCACAGATTTCTCTCTTCACCTTCTTCAGCAGGCAAAGCGAAATGGCGGCGAGAAATGTACTCCTGAAGCACCTCAGGGTGAACGTCAACACTATGCTGCAAAACCCTAGGTCTGGCGCCGGCGGCCTCTCGCAGCTGATCAGACGCCACTTCTCCGACGAGGCGAAGGGTTCTTTCCTCGAAAAATCCGAGGTCGCCGAACGCGTCCTATCTGTGGTCAAGAAGTTCCAGAAAGTCGATCCATCGAAGGTAACCAACCACATCATTTGCTGTTACATTTCAGCTTTTTTTTTTTTTTTCTCCTCGTTAATTATATGTTTGCGGCTTCTGGATTAATAGGTGCTTGAAAAATACCTGCATTTCTTGAGGTATTGTTGTTTGTAATTGACATTTTTACTGCTTTATTTAGCTGAAATTGGAATAAAAATGGAGACTTGCATAAATTGGAGGTGTGGGTTTCGAAACGTAGATGCAATGGAAATGGCTGTGTTATCTTCTAACAAATAATCATGTTTTGTTAGAGGTTACTATAAATATTTTCAAGTGTTTGAGATGAATTAGAAAACAAAAGTCCTATATTATATCAACTGTAAAAGCTGCTTTATGATATTCAGTAATCTGTACTTGCCGAAAAACATAGTCTGCGTCGAATTTTGAAGCATATATCGTAAAAACCTACAGAATAAATCGGGTAGCCAATACTATACCACGTTGTTCAGTGGTTTGTAGTTGATGAATAGTGCTGGGACTCCTCTTTCAAGCCATACTGCATTTCGAAAGCTGTACAGCTCCAATTCCAAGAGCTCAAATTAGTTCTGATTCGACCTTTGTCGAAGAGTTCTTTTATCACCTTTCTGAAAGTCCCGACTAGCATGGTCCTGTAGCAAATGTTCTAAAATGTTATCTTCCAAATCAGGATTGTGTTCTCACCAATCCATGATATTCACTCTCTTATTAGTTAATTTTTTTAAAGAATTTGAGTTGTTCATTACTTTGTACTCGTATTTCAAAAGAGTAGTAGTCTTTGTTTAGTATTTCCGTTTTTATGTTTACTGTGGCATTCAAAAGGTTCGTTCTAGACAATTAGATGTAAATGAGGTTCTTGACTGCATTATGAAACTTCAAACATATATTCTAAATGTCTTATGATTATTGATTATACAGTGTTGGATTGTACTCGGAATTAACACTTTCTCCACCCTTCGCCTACGGCCTCATTTTAATGGATCATTATGCATTAATTTATAAATTTGTGGTTCATGTTTTACAGATATAGTATTTTAAGAGAATTTCTTTTTACTTGATGATTTTTAGAAATGCTGTTTGGATTTCGTGATTTGGGTCTTTGGCTAGTTAAGAGAAAATTATAAAGTTTGTGTGTGAAGATTCTTATGTAGCATGTGGTTATGTCTCTCACAGTAGATTTGTTCGTGTGCAAATATCTTGATAATTTTTTTTCTTTTTTTTCAATGACAATGAAAAGGATCCTGAACTGAGATGGGTTTCCCTTCTAATAACATATTGATTGTTTGGTGTTCACGAAAGTTGTACTGCTAAGTCAATAGTAAAGGCAGATTTCAAATGAAAAACCACACACACATCAAATTGAAATTAGGGGTTGGAAATTGCAATTTATCTTGAAGGAAACTTTATAGTTTCACAATTTAGCTTGGCCTCACAAACGGTCGGAAACTCTGATATTAGGACCAGTTCTGCAATCTTCTTGTTGACGGGATTATGGACTGCATGTTTTTTCGTCTTTTTACTTGTGCTTTTCTGTCTTATATGACACTAACGGGAAGCTTCGTTTGTGATGGTTCATATTTTTGTCTCCTAACTTCTAAAGACATATTTCTATTTATATCACATGGATTATGCGACTAACTTTGTCTGAAATTCGAATGCTTTAGGTTACACCAAATGCGCATTTCCAGAATGATCTTGGACTGGATAGCTTAGACTCTGTGGAAGTTGTGATGGCTCTTGAAGAAGAATTTGCTTTCGAGATACCCGACACCGAAGCAGACAAAATCAACTCAATCAATCTTGCCGTTGACTTTATTGCATCTCACCCCCAGGCAAAATAGTCGAACACCTATGCTTCCCTTTATATTTTCTTCCTTCATTCTAGCTTAACTATGTCATGGCTAGTTTTTTGATCTGAATATTTCTGTTTTGAGAAAAAAAGAAGCAGCTATTTATTAAGCTGAAATATCGAAGTCTTTCCATGTTAAAACATTATTTCGGGTTATCGTTTAGAGCACGCAGGTGATGGTGTGCAATTCATCACATTGAAATAAATCTGGATATGATCAAAGAAGTTGATTTGGATTTCTATTTTCCATGATTATTATTCATTCTCATCGTTTATTATAGTTTGCCATTTGGGAAAAAAATAGTTATTTATTATTATTATTAAATAATTATTATTGTGGTCTATATAGGAAGACTTTGACTAAAAAGGGACTTGATGCCTGCAGTCTTCCCACATTTTGTCCAGTCAACTAACCCTATTCTTTCCTATTATTACAATAATGGTATTGGACTTTCGCGCATTAAAAGTTGTGGAATTTTGGCCATATGAAATATAATAAAATTTAAATATTATCTTTTCTCATTCCTTAAAAAGGAAATGTATCTATTAACAATTTACAGAGAAAAAATTGACTTAAGCATTAGGATTTTTATTTAGACGATTGATGTAACTTATTTTATTTATTTGTATTAATGAATTGAGATACTATCTAAATTCTACTACTATTTTCCAATGAAATTGAAACTAAAACAAAAAAAGAATCAAATTGACCAAAGGACGCATTAAAAGGAATCCCATTGGTCGAACTAACGTGCCAAACGGGACCCAAATAAACTTGAAAAGGAGGGCATGACCGTAATAAAACAGAAATTACGGGGTCAATAACACAACAAACTATTTATAAGTATACTGAAGCAGAAAGAAATTAGCAGTATCTAGCAAATGGCAAAATCTAAGCACAAACCACTTTTGGTAATCTCATTTCTAGTACTGTTCTTTTCACTCATATGCTCTTCGTTTGCTGAGATTATCTTCGAAGAGCGTTTTGAAGGTAATTTCTTCTCTCTAATTTTTTTTTTCGTTTTTTCCTGTTTTTTTTTAGTGTATTTCGAGCTCTCTGCTAGCTGAATCACTGCTTATGATTTAATTTTACCGAATATATTTAGTAATTTTGGGGTGCCCGCGGATATTTAGTTAAGTTCACTGATTTTTTTTCAGCTGGAGTGATCTAGTTGTTGCTCTGTTTATTTGTTTATTTTTTGAATAAAAGTTTGCAATTTATAGAGAAAATTGAGGAATTAATTTTTTATTTATTTAATTTGTGTGGAGAAGATGGATGGCAGAGTAGGTGGGTGAGGTCTGATTGGAAAAGGAGTGAAGGAAAAGCTGGATCTTTTAAGCACGCTGCAGGAAAGTGGAATGGTGACCCTGATGATAAAGGTTTTTTTCCTTTCTCCCACTAATCATATTCAATTTTAAAATGAAAAAATAAAATTAATTATCGATTAAAGTAATATATAATGAGTTTTCAAGAGGTTACTTATTTGAGATGTTTTCGAATTGATTTCAGGTATTCAGACGACTACTGACGCTAGGCATTTTGCGATTTCCGCTAAGATACCGGAATATAGCAACAGGAATAGGACTCTGGTTCTTCAGTATTCGATTCGACTCGAGCAGGACATTGAATGCGGTGGAGGTTATATAAAGCTTCTTTCGGGTTACGTTAATCAGAAGAAGTTTGGTGGTGACACTCCTTACAGGTATATGTGTACCATAGTTATCGTCTACGTCCCAAACATACAAAGAAACTCTTGAATTTTTATTTTATTTTAACTGCAGTGTGATGTTTGGACCTGATATATGCGGCACGCAGACGAAGAAACTCCATGTCATAGTTTCATATCAGGGACAAAATTACCCTATCAAGAAGGACTTGCAATGTGAAACGGATAAGTTAACCCATTTTTATACGTTCATTCTTCGGCCCGATGCATCGTACAGTGTCCTGATTGACGGTCGAGAAAGAGACTCGGGGAGCATGTATACTGACTGGGATATTCTACCTCCCCGCAAAATTAAAGCGGTCAATGCGAAAAAGGTAATACTTACATATTTAAAGCCTCTTTAATAACTACCATAATCCGAAATAATTGTTTTTTTTTTTAAGTTCGCATGCGAGAATTTTTGCAAGAAGAGAGTGAAATAGTAATCAAAACGAATGATTGTATTCTTTTGCACTTATGATTTTTTTATCTTAAACCATTGTGACAGCCTGCGGATTGGGATGATAGAGAATATATAGATGATCCAAATGATGTCAAACCTGAGGTATTGAATTTTGCGGGTTACGTTCGGTTTTTTGACATGTCATTAAATGCATTTTTTAGTTATGATGATTTTTTCCTAATATGCATTTTTGCAGGGATATGATTCTATTTCACGAGAAATCCCTGATCCAAAAGCAAAGGAGGTTAGTTGGTCCACTAAAGGTCAAGATTTAAATTTCCGAAAAGTGCGATGTAGTATATTCAGTTATTTGTTTTTTATCCTTGCAGCCGCATGATTGGGATGAAGAAGAAGATGGACTATGGAGAGCACCGAAAGTTCCAAATCCAGCATACAAGGGACCATGGAAGCGTAAGGTATGTCGAAATGTTTTAAAAACTACCAAGCAATACTACATTCTTATTTATTTATTAATATATAATTACATTGATGGCTATTTTTTTTTTGTCATGCAGAAAATCAAGAACCCTAATTACAAAGGGAAATGGAAGATTCCTTGGATTGATAATCCTGGTAAAGCACGTTTGCAAATACCTTTGTCCAATTATCTACGAATACTGGCTTTCGAATCTAATTTCACTTTTGATTCTTACCATTTTCCCCTTCTCGTGGTTAGAATTTGAAGATGATCCTGATCTGTATGTTTTGAAGCCGATCAAGTACGTTGGAATCGAAGTTTGGCAGGTGAAAAACATAAAGCTAGCATAGTAATACTGCATGTTTTTCACCACATCTACTAGCATTTATGGAATTATGGTATTTAATTTGACTGGAGTTTGGCATGCCTATGGTTGTCAGGTGAAAGCCGGTTCCGTTTACGACAACATTCTGATTTGCGATGATCCCGACTATGCAAAGAAAGTAGTGGAGGAAGTATTCGCTAACAGGGAGGTGGGCCCCCTGATCCTATCTATCTTCAAATTACACTATAGCCACTAGCCTCTCTCTCTCTCTCTCTCTGATGTGTTTTTTTGTGGAACTTTAGGCTGAAAAAGAAGCATTTGAGGAAGCTGAGAAAGTGAGAAAAGCAAAGGAGGAAGAGGTATCAGCCTAAACAACAACTGTTAATTCATTTCACATGGAAAAATCGAAAACTTACAAGGATATTATTGACTTTATACACAGGAAGCACAAAGAGCAAGAGAAGAAGGCGAAAGGAGGAGAAGAGAAAGGGGTCATGACAGAAGGGATAGGGGCGACCGATACAGGGACAGATACAAGAAGGTTCGTCGGTTCTTGCTCAATCTAATTCCATTCCATACTTGTTTATTTATTAATTTTGATCGAAAATGATTCCTCCGTTAAAATCTCTAATGTTTCAATTGCTTGTTCATCTTCACTTTTTGGCCTAGTTAAAACTCGTTATATACGAGTGAATGTATAGGTTTCATCTCGATTCATTGAACACTTGTAATGCATATCCAGTGCTTGCACTTATGACACCTCTTTCGTTTCACCCCGAATAAAACATTTGAAATCTGATTTATTTTGCAGCGGCGTCATGATTACATGGACGACGACTATCATGTGAGTATTCTAGTTTCTAATTTTGATTTCAGATTCTGTGCGCATTGAAAATATTTACTTCCAAAAATGTGATTATTTGTTTGTTTTCTTTTTCAGGATGAACTTTGATTATACTCTACCCTTCTTCATAAGCAAGACATATTTGGGTGTGCTAGTTGATAGTTATCTGTATTAGCGAGAGAAGGCGGTTAATTTGTATGCTGTGTCTTCAACTTTTCAAGAGCAAGAAGAGTCTTATTGTTTATGTATTTGTCTTGCTTAATAATTGCTTACCTTTGGATCTATTATCATATTTATTCTATACTTTCAATTTTTTTCTATTATTAATGGAAAATGATACACCATTAAAAAAAAATCATAATCTGATGTTGATAGTTTTAAAATTTGAATATTGCTTTAGGTGAGTTAAAAGAATAGCATATTTGATAAACTTGTTGATTTTGAATGATGAATTCGTAGTCAAATTTCATTTAATTGGATGGAAGCCCATTTATAGACATAATTTTATTGTCTTAGTGTCATGAGATTGATGCCATGTTTGCTAATTTGAAACAGCAAGGACTCAAAAGATGATATATCATATCAAGAAACAAACAAACACCAAAGTAACAACCATTCTAAACATTAAAAAAAAAAAGAAAAAGAAAAAAAAAATGCTAGTAAAAATACTTAATGATTACAAATTGCAAAGAATAAAAAATGAACCCTTTTTTTATTTTTTTCCAATTACGTCGTAAAATCTACTTCTGTTCGTTGTTTGGAGAGACCAATTCAGCACCATTATTGGCATTGTGGATCTTGTCATCGTTCATGGAATGAGGCCATAGCCATGCCAGACTCATCCTTTCTTCGTCGAAGGTCCACTGAGATGGCCACTCCTCCCAAGTCTTTGCATTCTTCAACTTGTTAATCAGATCTTCTGGCAACGAGATGTGTGTGTTTATATCGTAGCACGATTCTTCATTTGACAATGCCATTCCAGACAACCTAGTATTCTCTCAAACACACAAAGCAAAAACACAAAAGAAAAGAAAAACAAGAACAAGTATATATTATCTAATATACACTTGTTATGAGTATTTGTGTGTGTGTTGTGTACTATTTGGTTCTCCTGTATTTATACAAGTCCCGGGTCAGTTACAAAATCAAGATTTCGAGCAGCATATCGGAAAACAGTGGGCGTATGGGAAAAAAATATGCAGGAAAGGCATGTTTTTGCTGTCGCGTAAGGTAAATATGGCAACTAAGTGTTGGCATATTGCCTCTGTAATTCTTTGTCCATGTCAGGTAATTATGGAGTTGTACCAAGATTTGCACCAGCTATTATCCTACTTACCGTTTGGGAAGAATATTCTTTTGACTTGTGCTATGTACAGTACATACAATACTGTCTAATTTGCTTGCTGGTAAGAGAATTAAATGTCATATTGAATCCATAATTGAAAGAAAAGGAAAGAGATTGAAATCAATGAGAATTAAAATTTTCCTTTGCATTTTCCTTTCAAACAAAGTAACTGCATCATTCACATTGTTTTCTCTCTCTCCTTTTTCTTTTTAAAACCAAATGGAGGGAAACTTTTAATTAAATCCCACATCCAGTGTTTACTGACCTGTTTTTGACTGACTTGATGATGTTGTGAACTACAGTAAATTCCCGGAGTCGATATCGACATTGGCAAACTGATGTGACCTGTTCACCAACAGCTAATCGTTGTAATAAAATGATGAAATCATCGGCCTTGTTCTGCAATAATATTAATAATTATAGGAGACAGATAAGATGGAAATGAAGTATCGACTTTCTCGGTGCAAACGATTTGAGAGACAAAGGAGCAAAGTGAAGGAATTGACAATTAATGAGCCCATCATAATACTCTATATTATGGTGAAAAGAAGCAAGCTGAGTTCAACGGGACTCTTGTATAGTCAAGAAAACCCGTACGAGCGATAAGATTCTAAGGCTAGTTTCTTTCTAGTGTTAAAAAGGCATTTCCATACTCGAAAATTTGCAATTAGAGGAACTTTTCTTCCGATCTTCTCGAAAATAAATTAGGAAATCAGAAATTGATTTATGACAAAAAAATCAATCAATTAGGAAATCAAAAATCGATGAATGAAAAAAGAGACAACAAAATATGCCGAATTCAACAGTACATAAGAGTTTGACCGTAGGCAGCATAACATTGAATCGATTTCTCCCCATTCGGTGGCTTCAAGTTTCTTCCGTCTCAACTACGGTTAATAATGACTAGAGCACAAACATTATTCTAAGAACGTTGATGGAAATCTTCAAAATTGTAATGCTCGATAAATATTTAATGTAAATGAAATCAGCCGACGGAATGAGCTACAAAATACAATTAGAGGACCGAAAGAACCAAGGCATATGTAGCACCTAAGAGGGTTGTGACATTGTTTGATGATTACTTCATTATTGTTATCTAATGTAATCTTTCAGTAAACTGTATTTTAGTATTGATTGAATGAAGCATGAAACATAAACATCGTAAGTCAAGATCTAAATAATAAGACTTCTATTCAGTTTCGAATCAATTTACCCCAGTCCTAAATTTCTTTATATGAGCTAACTTCCGAACACTTTGATGACGAGGCAAACAATATAGTGTGATTTTCAAACAAATTGAGCCAACGACACTTTTAAAAATTTGGTGCACAGAATTTTTTACAACCTCCATTACATTAATTCATAGAATTAGAACAAAGGGACTTAATATCGAAGCTACTACGTTTAGTTGAAGTGCACGAAGGTAATCTACTACAAGTTATATTAAAGCTAAAGGCCTCGTTTTGACTTTTGAATAGATAAATTATGATTAGATTAAGAGATCTAATTCTAGATCTTAGTAATTGATGTCTATAAGATGTTCTAAATTAGTCACAACAACTAATAAAACCTATTTAGCAGTAATATTCAGAACTGGTAATTGCAACACGAAAACAACCAAGAAACTAAAATTCAATAAATATGAATCAGACTAACAAAATTAAGCGTAACGTCAAATGATCTAGCAAGAAAGTAAACCGATTCCTCCAAAGAACAGAGACAACGAACCAAAAACAAAATCCAAATATTTTAAGATCCAACACATACATCACCACCAACATGACTATATCTAACGAAACCAAAGGGGGGAAAACAAGAAGCAAAGGGCAAACAAATAAAATAAGACGGCACTTCTCATAAACGAGAAATAAAATGACAAAAGCAGGATTAGATCATAACTTATTTATTTTATTGAAATATTTGATAATCATTCACGGAAAGACAGAGAATAATTTTAATAATTCTTCCTTTGGATATCAGGGAACTCTGCGATTCATACTTAGCTCATATATCATCTTCAATAAGTAGATAGCACAAATTGATCGAGGACAACAACCCACCACATATGCTCCTCGTCAGACGTCCAAGGATAAGTCCACTCATCCCAATTGTTGACGTTCTTCAAAATCTCAATCAAATCATACGGAAGTGAAACATGAGAATATCCGCCACCATTTTCCTCCATTTTCTCCGCAACAGATTAAGAAGCTCTCAGATTTTGTTTCTCCCATTCTTGCTTTGCTTCCTTTAAATACAGCTGAGTGATGTAATGGAAGGCAATCTCGAGCAGAAAAAAGGACAAGTGAAATAATTAATTACAGGAAACGTTTGGTAAGTCGGGATATGCATGGTGTATTGTGTGGCTTGCAAAAGGTAAGCTGGCATAGCGGTTGCAGTAAATAAGGTAAGCTGGATATGACGATGCCCATAATTGCTCTTTGTCACTTTTACGACCTGTGGCTGTTGTTTGTATATTGGGTAAATTTGAGTTCTTAGCAAGGTAATCTCAAAATCGGTTCATCACGAGAAATTTTATTTCTGTAAAATCTTAGGTAGGATTGTCGACACCAAATTAGAGGGTAAGTGCATAATTAACTTGGAGTTCGAAGAGGCTAAATCAATAATTTCCCCCCCTACACCATCGCATATGTACACGTGTACGTAATTGAGATTATCTTGGCATTGATCCTAACATGTAAACATTCACAATGGATTTTTAATTATATATTCTTTGAAATGACAACTTATAACAATGGTTCACATATGCATTGGTGAATACTTTGCCGAAGCAGTACTAAAATTTACGTTCGGAATATATGCAGTGAGAGAGTATGATCGATTGATTCCTAAGATTTGGATAAAAGCTTGTGTTTTTCTTTTCTTTATATATTTGATTCAGTGCTAAGGTGGAAATTTAACAAATTGCATGTACTGATTGAAGACTCAAAGTTAAGTTTCTCATATCCTATAAAATCAAATTACATTAATACTAATCCATTTTATACCAATATCAACAACTGTAGTAGTGTCCTAATCACAACATAAGAATGAAACGAAGAACAATATAAGATCATACCTAAATGCTGAACAAATACACCATCTTCACACACAGTCAGTTATATAGTGAATCAATTGCTCATAAATATTCACCGACAATATTATAGTTATAGATATATATAAACAAAATTAAAAAAAAAAAAAATTAGGGAAAGCGACGACATTTTTTCACCTGGAAATTAAAATCTTCGTCGCTGAACAGGATCTTCATTGAATTGCTGAACTGAATGGGAATCAAATGTGTTCTTCTGTGAGCGTATCCGAAATTCCGAATAAGTATATGGGTTTTGTGAGGCACTACACATTACGCTTTGTTTCATCGAATTAAAAAAAATTAAATTAAACTAAGATTAATTAATTAATTAACTAATCCAACAAAATCTGATTTTAACTATATTTTATCAATTTATTACATCTGTTGAAGAAACTTATTGAAGGCCCATAGCCCAAAGCCCACTATTGTCTACAGGAATTTGTATTTAAATAATACATTATATTATATATATTATATTATTATAAAAGTTATAAACATCGAGTAACATTATTATATTTAATTTTCAAGTGCTAGTTTGGCTATTAGTAAAGTTTCTAAGAGGCTATAAGCAATTTATACAAATGTCAGGTGCCCAAACAGAATTTACGCGTTCGACCCCAACATTTCTCTCCCAAACCCCAAATCGAACCCTAAACGCACTCATTTACTGGTTCTGTAAGCGGGAAATTGGAAGGAGAAGCAATGGATGCGTTGAGGAAACAGCTGGATGTACTGATGGGAGCGAATCGCAACGGCGATTCTCAGGAAATCACGCGAAAATACTACGACCGTGACGTTTGCCGTCTCTTCCTCGCCGGCGTTTGCCCCCACGAGCTTTTCCAACTCACTGTACGAATTTTATCTATTATTTTCTCGTTTTGAAAATGTGGAAGTTTGCCGTTTATTTACTTTTTCTTACTGCTAGAAAGTGGTATGAAGTCAGGGTTTACGATTTAGTAGTGATTTTTGACATTTTGCTAGTGAATCGGGGAATGATGTGAATTTTTTTATGAATACAAGTTTCGAAATTATGAAAGGAAAAATGTTGTGAATTTTGGAGTTTTGTGTTTGGTCTATTGAATATATCGGAAATGCTTATTTTGTTTACTCATTCAGCTATGCATATTTGTGTAGAAAATGGACAAGGGACCGTGCCCCAAGGTGCACTCGTTGCAGCTGAGAAAAGAGTATCCTTTCTCCGAAGAAAATTTGTAACTCTTGTTCAAGTTTTTGGTGTTGTAATTTATCTGCTTACAAAAGTATTTGTTTATAAAATAATAACGCATACATGTTTTGCATGATGTAATGACTGATACCATTGTTGCTGTATGCATCATTGGAGTTTGATTGTCTATTGTGATACTTTAACTCTTCTTCAGATATAAAGAAGCAAAAGAAAAGGGTCTTGATAATTATGATAGGGAATTAGAGGATAACATAGATAGACTTATTGTTGAGTGTGATCGTAAAATTGAAAGGGCTCTGAAGAGGCTGGATGAAGATGATGCGAAAGCAGCTATCGCGATTTCTGTAACTGAAGTTACCCAGGTAGATTTATGTATTCCAGTGATGTTCCCTTTTGGACCTTCTGTTCATTCTGCAAATAATTACTAATATTGTGGAATTGCAGACACCGGAAACTATTGAGCTGTCGAAGCAAATTAAAGAGAAATTAAAAGAAGCTGATCAATTTGGTAGGTTTATTTATTGTCACCTGTTCTGTTGGAGATCAATGTTATGGTTGTCATGTAAACTTCTTGATTGGTTAATTGGAATTAGACAACATAGAAGATCATCACGTTTAGAGCAATTCTCTCTATGGATTTCTTGTCCGATCTCAGTCTATTGGATTTTTTCTTCACTTGATGATCTATTGAGTACACATCTTTTATCTGCTTATGTTGCTATCCTGTTTGGTATTCAACTGATGATGTACAGAATGATATTTTGGTTTTGTAGATTTTGAAGGAAATACAGACATGAAGATTCGAACTCTGGAAGAGGTGGATGAACTAAGGACCAAAAGAGCAGACAAACAGGTATTAAAGGCTTTGAAACAATTATTTATTTGCATCAACAAACAGGATGTAACAGAAGGATAAATGCTGATTGTTGTACAATCGCAGTCGACGCTTCTTTTGGATGCTTTCAACAAAGATCGTGCATCTCTTCCTCAGCCCCTGACAAGTGCTCCTCAAGCGGCACCAGGGCCAGCAGCTCTCCCAGATCCTTTCATTCAACAAATGATAAACGAGAAGCTAAAGAAAGCCGAAGATCTTGGTAAGATATTTATTTAAACAATTTAAAACATATACATACTTCCTGTATTTTGACATTAAAGGATTTGCAGACAATATAAACTATGAAGGGGGCTGTGAACACAAAGTTTCTTGAAATTTGTTTCAGGTGAACAAGGAATGATAGATGAAGCACAGAAAGCACTGGAAGAGGCTGAAGCACTCAAAAAGGTCTAGATCTATTTCAATGAATTTTACGCAGCATTTTGTTCATGTGCAGATATTTTTTGCATTTTTTTTCTTTGGCCTTTGTTATTACTCTGTTTTGCTCATCTTGGACTGTAAGTGGCGACTGCCCTGCTAAATTTTTAACCTGGATCTCTACTCGATCGGTACTTGAATTGGACTACTATTTATTTTCTCCATTGTTTGATTCAGCTGCCAGCACGACAGGAACCTATGCTGGATTCCTCAAAGTACACAGCTGCTGATGTGCGCATTGTGAGTCTCTTGACTCTCTATTCTGACAGTTCTAATTAATTCATTAGTGCCAAGTCTGCCATTGTGATGTTGCTTGCAATGCAAAACATTTCAAAATTCAAATTAATATTGCACAGTGTTTGGAAGTGAAGTCCGATTGGATGTGTTTAATAATGCATTAGTTTCATGTACTTACAGACTGATCAGAAGCTTCGTGTCTGTGACATTTGTGGAGCATTCTTGAGTGTTTATGACAGGTAATGATTTGTTTGTCTTTTGAGCTATAAAATGTACTTCCTAGCATTTGGATGACAAAGTAGTTATAGAGTTTGAGTACTTCAGTGTTTGACCTGGCGATTACACCTCCTTGTCACCAGCAGGCTTTTGGGCCCAGTTTTACGAGGATTACTTTTGCAGCTAAAGAATGTGCGTTATTTTCTGTTTTATGCTTGTTGATCATGCTATTGCAACTAGAAAATTTATCAGGCTACTTTTGCTATTCATTATTATTCTTAGAGTTCTTGAGCTTGTTATGATGAGGTTTTCTGTATTTGGATTTCAGTGATCGCCGTTTAGCAGATCATTTTGGTGGAAAACTCCATTTAGGGTACATTCTAATCAGGGAAAAGCTAGCTGATCTTCAGGTATCAATGCATAATGTTATATGCACTTATTCACTTAATTTTTTTTTATTTTTTAGACTTAACATCATAATAAGATCTCATTTCTTTGCTTGTCATCGTTAAGGTGCTTTAACATCTAATGGTAGAATTTTGATTAATTTTAATCTCTCTCTCTCTCTCTCTCTCTCTATATATATATATATATATATATATATATATATATATGTATGTATATGTATGTATAAATTTAAGTATTATAATTTTTGTTTTAGCTTTTATGGTTTTTAAGCTTAAAAATACATTTGTTATTCTGAACTTTCGCTGATAGCTACTTGTTCAATTATTTGCTTTCTGTAAAATATCTCATTTTACTTCAATACCTAAGTTAGTACTCTGAATATTTTGGTTCAGGTGCTGCTATAATCTTTCAATTTCTTCTATAGAGATTCTCAGTTTACTTGTCCTCTGTGAGTTTTCCTTATCCTAGTAGAAGAGTCATTTTTAATACTTGAATTGTTGGATATTCATGGAAATTCTTGTTCATCTGAGACTGGGAGAAAGGTAAGTCAGGTGCAGGTAATCCATCAGTTAGATTTTGATAGATAGTATACTATTTTGAAGTTCTTTCAAGTAGATTTAGAACCTAATGAGGGGAGTTCATTTGGTTAGATCTATCTAGATAAAAGATAAGGCTTAGAGGGTTTGCGGGATAAACTTTCATTAATAAGAACCAGCAATGTACGATATGCTTAGCTTTATGAAACTGCGGCTTAGTTAGTGACATATTGGTTATTTTGAGTCAAAAAGGCGGTTTGCTGCCTCTAAGCTTTGCTGGTGTCGATGTTGCATTCTGTTGGACCAGTGAAGGTGTTGTATTTCTTGGTCTGGTCTAGTTATTATACATTTATAAAGCTGATTGGCCTAATATTTTGCTGTTTTGAGATTTCTCCAAACTTCATTTTTATATGAGATTTGTTGCTTTATTTTCTATTGCATTAGCAAACTGTTCACTGATCCTTCTTGAGTGACAAGTTCATGAAAAAATCATATTTAAAAGAAACAGGGATTAAACAAAGGGGCAGTAAAGTTTCTTCAGTCAATCGAAAATATTTTTATTTTTCTTGATTATTAAATGGGTTGATTTGTAATATATCGTATCAAATATGTTTTCCTTTTTATCTTTACCAGGAAGAGAAAGACCAGAAACGTAAAGCCCATGAAGAAGTGAGAAGGTTGATATGGAATTGTTTTTGTTACAGCACATCAGCAACTTCTTTTATATATCCTTCCAGGTGATGTAGGATAATGACTTTCCTTTTTTTTCGTTTTTTATTAATTCAGGTCGAAGGATCGGAGAAGCCAGGACCGTGAAAGAGAATCTAGCAGGGACATGGATAAAGGTGATAGCCGTGATCGTGGAAGAGATAATGATCATAGGATCAGAGATCGTGATAGGCATTATGACCGCGGTAACGACCGTGACCGTGAGAGAGGGAGAGACAATTCTCGCAACTATGACTCAAGGGCCCACAGAAGATCCCGTTCGAGGTCAAAAGACCGCTCGAGAGATTATGATCGCCACAGGTTCTATATCTATACAAACATATACTTGCTAGTTTATGGTTTATTTTGGCAAATTGTTATAAACATGGTTGTTGAATGCTCTTTGTTGTAAAAGATTTTCTTCAGTGTTACTTTTTATCTGCTATATTTTGATTTATTTTTTTTTCAAAATGTGGCTTTTCATTCCAGGCGTTACGACCGATACTAGTCGGCTGAATCAACATCGAGTGAGGATGGATCTGCAGTTGTTTGTATTTTCTGTTTGGCTACGCTCTATTCTAAATATATAAATTCTAAAATTCAGACATGAGCTGTATTTAGGCTAGTTTTTCTTACGACTGTAAGCATGATGATTGTTGCTTAACTTTATTTGCTCGATTCGCACAACTCTAACTCTATTATTATTCATGTAATATTTGGCGCAATATTTTTAATTTTATGTAGCTATTCATTTGAAACACATTAATATTTCATGTTATGAAAGAAACATTTTTTTTAATATTGATGTAATTGACATACATAAATATGAAAGATATTGAAATATAAAAGCAAGCGCAATATTTAATTGAAAGTATATAGTTATTTTGACAGAAGAAAAAAACGTCAATTTCGAACAACAACAACCCCCATTTTGTTTCTCTCCTCTCTCCTTTTCATTTTTGTAAGCCCTAATTCCAAAACCACAGGAAAATCATCCCAACATTTCCCACGCAAAATCCCCAAAATGGCTTCCGATAACTGCCCTAATCCACCAACAACAAAAATGATGACGATGTTACTAATCATCTTGACATCAGCCCTAACCAGCGGCGCTGGAGCACCAGAAAATTCCCCTTCCGGCGATCGTCAGACCTCGCCTGCGACGTCGTTTTACGATGTCCTCAAATCCAATGGCCTACCCATCGGCATTTTCCCTAAAGGAATCTCCAACTTCTCCATCGACGCCGCCTCCGGCCGATTCGAGCTCCATCTTCTCTCTCCTTCCCCTTGCGACGCCAAATTCGAGACACATATCCGATACCAATGCAACATCACGGGCACCGTCGGGTACGGAAAGATTGCTAATTTGTCCGGGGTTGCTGCCCAGGAGCTGTTCCTATGGCTGCCCGTTAAGGGTATTCAGGTCGATATCCCGAGCTCCGGGTTGATTTACTTTGACGTTGGTGTTGTTTTCAAGCAATTTTCGCTCTCTTTTTTTGAGACGCCCAAGGATTGTAATGCTGCTACGATGGATGATGATGTAAGAGAGGACGTCGTGATTTTTGTCGACGATCGTGACCGTGTGCAGGTTGTTGAGGTTGGTGTTTATGATTTCCCATTGATACTCCCTGTTTTTGGCATTCATTTGTTTATGTTTTATCTATAGTGTGTACAAAATAAGCTTGTATGAATTAGGATATTCGTGTTTTATGCAAATCGTGTCTTCACTTTTTGTGTTCATTGATGAGGATTGAGTTCTCTGTGTTAGCTCTGTTTTGCATAATAACAGAGTAATTATTTGTTAGGAGCGCGTTGAATCGAGATCTAAGGATTCATTCATGGAAAATTGATAAAGCCCTTTCCTTTTGCCCCCCTTAGTATTCTGGAATGATACGTGTTTACACACATACGCGTATTCGTTTTAACGAAAAATCTTAGGTTCGGTCAATTTAGATGGTTCTTGTGGATTTAGTGATTGAAATCTTCTAAAACAGGTTTGGAGTTGTGTTTGTTTTGTATCTGTTTAGCCCTGTTTGCCGGACATTCTTAGGTAGATTGTTGGAGAGCTATTTGCATCTGTATGTGTTGCCTGGCATGTTAGTAGCTGCAATGATGAAGACTTGAAGTGTATGATAAAAAGATCACATTTTTAGCATATTACATATATCGATTGTGTTACGAGAATCATGTACCATGTAAACGTGTGTACCATATGTTCCATGTCACACAAATCTTATTCCAATAATAGCTCTTATGACGTAAATTGTTATGTTTATAGTAGGAGTAATTGCTATTGTTGTATTTACCGTACAGTAAACGAAAAGATGGTTTTTTGATTTGTCTGACTTTGCAAGTATCTATTGGAGTCTCAGAAAGAGGAAGGCAAAGATCATATTTTTGTAATGCTAAAATCAATTGTGACTTCCATTGCAGAATTTCATGGAAAAACATTCCACAAATGAAGAAGGAAGAGCGGTTTCTTGAATTATGACTCTTAGTTAAATTGCTGAGCGTTTCTCGTTGCTTTTGTACGATGCCCTACGTTTTACATGCCACTTGAACGAAGCTATTGACATTGCAAGAAGACAGTTTTGTAAAAGTTGATAATATATAGTTTGTTAATTAGGACAAGATGTGTTTGGAGGTTGTGTTGGTTTGGGTTGTATAGCATAGCAGTCACAAAGTTTGTTGTTGTTTGTTCATTTTTCTTCCCTTCGTTTTCTTATATAGGTATTTTTTATCTGGTGTTCTTTTCAATTGGTCAAAAGTGTCAGTGTTGTAATTTAAAGAATATCTTTACTTGAATTGTATTTTGATTGTATGAACTTTTGATTGCACAACTGTATTTTGATTGCTTATAGATATATTTGATAGAATGAAAACTAAATTAAATAATAAAAATAAATAATATATATAAATACAATTCGCACTCGATAAAGTTTATTAACAGACAGCTAAAACCCTCCTCCTCCGCCCCGAAAATGGCATCTATCCCACTCCTACGCCTCTCCCTACCACTCCACCACCGCCAACACAGCGGACCCACCGCCCTACTCCTCCCTCACCCGCTCAAACACACACTGATTTCACCACCCAGCCTCCGCCAAGCACCCCGAAAGACAACCACCACGAAGTGCACCTACACTCCCACCCCCGCCACCGACCGTCTAATTTCCGCCGCCGCATACTTCCTCCCACTCTTCAACGGCCTCCAGTACGGGAGATTCCTGTTCGCACAGTACCCAATCTTGGCAGCCCCGTTCCAGCCGCTATTCCCATTACTCTCTCTCTACCACTCCGTTCCCAGCGCCAGCTTCGTCACCTTCTTCGGATTGTACCTAGGTGTGGTGAAAAACCCTAATCTGAGCCGATACGTGAGATTCAACGCGCTGCAGGCGCTTGTTCTGGATGTGCTGCTGGTGTTGCCGGTGTTGGTGCAGAGGATATTTACTCCGGGTCGATCTGGCATCGCGCTGAAATTGACTGCTTGGGCCTATTCTGGGCTTTTTATGTTCGTGGTGGCCTGTTTTGTATATGGGCTTGTATCCAGTGTTCTCGGCAAGACTCCATATCTGCCGCTTGTTGCCGAGGCCGCCGGCCGCCAATTGGACTGACTTTTTCCTTTGCTTTCAGGCCCTTTTTTTTATTTTTTTCGTTTACTTTCAGGCCCTTATTTTATATTTTGTCATGGAATGAGTCCTTTTTTTTTTTTTTCTTTTTGAATGTAATGTTGCATTGTTTATGTTGGTTATCTGCCAATGCCATATAGTTCAAAAGTTGAGTTTGGATTGTTCAAAGTAAAATTACTTTGCTAGTTAATTAATAATTAATTACATAAAATTCTTTGATAAATTTGGGATTTAATGTTGTGTGTGCATTTTATAATCCAAGATCGTTTTCAATTTTATTTTTCCAACCTAGTACCAAGGAAAAAAGCAGTTATTACAGAACAAACTATTACATAAATAGAGTATCTAAAGTACTTAGTACTACAAAGACACATATCCTCACATCTTAGTAAAGATTGTTTAACTAGTAGTATTGCTCATTAAACAAAAACATAAAACACTCCCAACAACTTCTAATTTTTAATGACGAACAAATCACGATCACCTCATTTTGGTTCGATTTCTAACTAGGTCTCATCCAGCAAACAAAAAGAAAGATGAAAATTAAATTAATTTCAGCATTTCAAAACATTCATCGTAATAGGAGGATGAACACCTCGTGCAGCTTTTGGTTTCATCTGCTCTATGGTTCAATCACAAACAGAGGCTGCAGCAGTAAACAAAATATAGTAAGAACATCAATTAATTAAAGGGGGATTGGGGATAGGAGTGTTGGTATTAAGCGACAATGATTGGTCCAGAAAACTCACAGTGTCGACACTGACTGGCTTGCCATCTTCTGCAACAATCTCGACTATTGTTCCAGACCTATCGGACTGCACAGAGTAAATTCAGGCATTAATGAGATATACCGTGATATTTGGGTAATATTTGGGTCTCGATGAACTTATAAAAAAATGGGAAATAAGTCAAAACTGAGAAATCTACTGATTTTTGGGGCGATTAATGCTTGAACAGAGACCAGAAAGCCAAAGTAATCAGTTTAAAGAGATTTCGGATTGAAGAGCAGAAGCAGTTAAAGGTCAGGTGGTAGTTTTACGGAATAACTGCATATAAGATGCTTACTTCAATTTCATTCATCAATTTCATGGCCTCGATGATGCATAGAACCTGTCCCTTCTGTACTTTATCTCCAACCTGTGAAAAGAGGTAGTATGTAACACAAAACGGGAAAGAAAGAAATATGTAAAATTGTAGAAAGAAGATGCGGATAATTTATTCCTTTTGTCGAAAGAAGTCTAGGCTATGATCAAGAATGATGAAACTATTGTCACATTTATGTTGAATTACCTTCACAAATGCTGGCTCCCCAGGTCCTGGGCTTCTGTAGAAAGTTCCGGCCATGGGACATTTCAGAGGTGGATGAGCCGACTTAGGTGGCTGAGCTTTGGGCGGAGAAGGTGGTGGAGTTAGCGCAGGGGAAGGCGCTGCAGTTGGTGCAGGAGAAGGAGCCGAAACTGGAGGCAGTAATGAAGGCTGGGGTTGTGACTGAACATACGTAATAGCAGGAGTAGGAGGTGGAGGTAAGGCCTCCTTTTTACGTATTAAGATCTCACAGTCAAGTTGTTTCAAGTGCAATTCCACAATATCTTTGGAATCAACCAACCTGCACGAAAGGAAGAAGATGATGTGACCTCGTTTACGATTGAAAAGAGGCATTTAAAGGGATCATATAACTGAGAATGCATACTTGAGAAGGCTTGAAACTTGTGTAATGAATTCACTTATTGATTCTTCCGTTGCCAAAACAGTTGGTGGAGACTCGTTAGATAACTTCACATCCTTGGCTTCGACAGATAAAAGCTCTGATTTGCTAGCAGTGGAGGCTGCAGCTTTTGGGGAACCGTCCACAGCAACCTTGAAGGCAACATATCTCGGAATGAATGAAGAACGGATTTTGAAAAGAGTTTCTAAAATGAAATTCAGGGGAAAAACCTTACCTCGTTCAATTGAGCTTTTATCATGGCAGAACAGTTCCAACCAGTCTGAAAACCGTGCAAAATGTAAGTCCACATTGAGAAGAGGATTAAAGTGAAGCCAGTTGAAAGAAATACAGAGACTAATGCATTTTTTATGCGGCAAGTATTTGAATGAGCATAATCTAAATAACGAAAACACGAGGCGCATCGCGAACCAAGACATTTTCAAATTTAGCTTCATCATTTCCCTATAAATAACTTGTAAAATTTCATTCCAACTCTTAAAAATAGGTACACCCACGCAGGCGCAAATCTATTCCTTCCAGCTCGAGCTCCAACTAATTTGGAACCAAATAAATGAATCAATAGATAGCATGTCTGCATGAAAAAAGCACACTGCATTCACACAGAAGCGTAAATATAACCAAATCGAATTCGATCTCACAAAATTCCGCTTCAGAAAAATAACGAGTAATTACGCAAATACATCTTCAGATGAAATAAGAAAAATTAACATTTTTAAGGAAAAAAAAAAAAAGAGAGAATGATTTGTACCTTGGATGAGAAGTGGAGCCTGGACCTGGGAGACAGGCGAAAGGAAACCTTGTTGGAATTTGAGCGGAGGAAGGAATGACGATGGCGGCCGAGGGGTAAACAAGTGGAGGATTTGTGGGCATTCTCCGTCACGGAGGCCGCCGCCGATGCGGTCGCTGCTCCAAACGCCGACGCCATTGCTCAGTCACGCAGTAACGGTGGGGATTATGTGTGTGAAATTTGGGATTCTCGAGTGCCAGAAGCAGTGTTCGATGGAACCAAAGAGTGGAGATAACAGCTGTACCTTTGCGGGCCTGAAAACGGTGGCGTTTTAAGTGCGTGGGACCCTGCGATCCAGACAAATTTTCAAATGGGCCCCACGCGAAATGCTGCTACCTGTGGAGATGGTTGCCAGGTAGACTTTTCTTACCGACACGTGTGCGCCAAGATGAAACGAATTGTAAATTACATTACGGTACTCACATTTAACGGTTATTGCTAACTGGTATACCTGCAACACATTTATTTGCACAATCACTACTTATTATTAGATTTTTTTTTTTTTTTGCTTTATGCTAAATTTGTGGGAAAAGAAAAAGAAGAATGAACCATGAAGAAATTTCAACAAAATAAAACAAAGGATGTATGACATGTTGAGATAGAGATGGGTTCATCATAATCTTTTAAGAGTCAATCTTTTGGATTTTCTATTTTCAAATTTGTGGTAGAAAATTGGTTCCTTTCTATTTCCCATATTTTTAGATCAGTATTTTTATTTGCCACAAGAAAATTGATTTCAAATTCACAAAAATCACCCGACATATTCGCACAAATCAAAAGATCTCAAGGGTAATTTGGTCATTCAACACCACTAGAAAAAATTAACGGTTCAGTTTCCTCGACCACCAGCTTCCGATTGCTCCCCATAAATTCCACACTCTTCTCACTCTTCATCTCTCTCTATCTCTCTCTCTCTCTAGTCTCTACTATAGATACGAATATTCTGTATCAGAATTCTCACACAGTAAACACAGAATCCCGTACGTTAGAAATGGCTTTGCAAGTGTACAGTGCAGCTCCAAGGACTTCCATGGTGCAAAATTATGCGTTGCAGGGTTTTTACATCAGCAAGCAGCCAGCTGTGGTCTGCGTCGCAGGTGATTACACCCAGCCGATGAGGAGAAAGGGAAGGGATATGAGTTTTCGGGTGAAGTCCAGTTTGGATGCCACGTCAGCGGTTGTTGCGGAGGTAGGCCGGGTGACAGAGGTTAGTATGGCAACTTTTTGGCCTATTGTGGAAGCCGCCGGTGACAAGACTGTCGTCCTCGATATGTACACCCAGTGGTCAGTTTATCAACTCCTCATTTTTTTTCTAGTTTGGTTGAAAATGGTTCTGTACGATTGTTTAGGAGGGAGCGATTTTGCCTTTTATTCGGCGGAATCATCTTGATATTATCACCATAGGCAATAAATATCATTGAGTGAAATAAATCGGATAGATATTTACCATTCATTTACGCACAAACACACACATGGTGTGTAGATGAACAGTAAATGTAAATATATGCATTCATTTATCACGACTTATTCGGTTTTTAACTTTCAGGTGTGGCCCGTGCAAGGTTATGGCTCCAAAATATCAAGAATTGTCAGAAAAATATGACGATGTTGTCTTCTTAAAACTCGACTGCAACAACGATAACAGGGTTTGTATTTACTCTCTATCTCTTTATCTATGTGTGTGTGTGTGTGCAATTAATTTGATCTGATACGATGATGAATGCATTGGCAGCCACTGGCAAAGGAGCTAGGGCTTAAGGTGGTTCCAACATTCAAGATATTGAAAGATAGCAAGATTGTTAAAGAAGTTACCGGAGCTAAACTTGACGATCTTGTCGTTGCAATCGAGAATGCAAGATCTATTTAGCATTTTCCTTTTATTTTAATTTAGGCTACCCTCTGCAACCCTGTTAATAGATCAATATTCTCAACCTTATTGATTAATCATACTAGAATTTCTGCAATGCAAGTTTTGCTAGTATTTTTATGTAACTATTTCATGTGTTCATACTCGACATTATCACCAAAGATGATTCGACCTTGAACAGCTCTATAAGGGTCGACTGTTCAAAGATTGGGAAACGAGAATGTAATGACATTTTTTTATACGAGAAAAAACTATTAAAACGCCCGACTTCTTTTATAACTTAGTAAAAAGTCAAATAATACACTCATTTTACAAATTTCTAATGTCAATTGAATGCAGGACGAATTTTCCAACCATAACTCGTTTGATATAAATGAATTAACAAAGTCGTTTATAACCTTTTACCTGTGTTGGAGCGAAGCCTATTCATGTAGTCTTGTTCTTGTTGCACAAATCCACTGTCTTGGAGTCTCAAGATCATCTCCAGTAACGGTTGGTATGTGCCAATTACCTTGTTTCGACTCCTGGAATTATGTTTGTGTAGCAAATAAGTGAAATTTTCAGACATGAACCTAGTCCAGAAATCATAGGTTTTCATTTAACAATTAACATGCATCGATATTGTCAGCACATTAATCTTACCTGGATGACATGTGAATACGGTGGCGGCATGTGTAGGGTGAGCAGCCCATCTCCAGAAGGTTTTAACCTCGCCTGCCATTTATTCGAGAATCACATTTTAAATTCTTACCTGTAGAACGTAGATAGATTGAAAAAAGTGACCTCTGACGAAATAAAAAGAGAATAAAAACCTGATGCTTTTCTTTCCATCTAGGGAAAAAGTTATTGCCGAGAAGATTGAACAAGTGATCCCTCATTTCATCGTTTGTCACCAGCAAACACTTACAACTGACAGCAGCATATAACCAATACCTGAAAGAAAAAAGGAGAAAAATAAATCGCATATAGCTAAACACAAACAAATAATGGTACAGCATATACAAAATCAGATAAACTTACCAATCATCATTTGAACCCTGAGGCGTTGCGTAAAGTGAGCCACCCTTTTTCCAGCTTTCCAACAATCTCTTATTGTTCGGATTTTGGGCAGGGCCACCACTTACTCGGCCTTGGTGTAGAATAATAAGAGGCAATTTCTTTGATGGGCTGATTTGACGCAATTCATTCACAACTCTCGCGATCTTCAAACAGAATAATCAGTCAGTCATTTTTACACAGCCATAATAATTTGTTTACGACTACACAAAAAACACATCCTACATAACTTTTTTGTCTTTTCATCGCATTTTCTCCGGAGGGTTATGCAAAGAGAGTAGAATTTTATTTTTACCTGAGAGAAACTGAAAGTATGTTTATTAGCAAGACCCAAGTTTGCACCATCAACTACAGCATCAAATGGACCCTGCCGTTGAAGCCATTCCTGAACCAGCCCAATTAACATCAGAATCATAAACCTTTTAAAATACGTGAAGCATGTAAGAAATACTGCACTTTACCATGCCATAACACATTGGTACGATAAATTCTTTAAAGTATCGGTCGTACATGTGATGACAACTTGTTTGAGACTCAGTCAGTTATTTTTTGAATAATCAAGTAGCATCAAATGGTCACAACATCAATTTGTTAGCTATATGCAGTCCTATCTCACAATTTTTTTTTTCTGCGTTAGCATCAGATACTTAGTAACGTGCTGAGAAAAGATTATTCGGCTTCAAGTGCCCAAATTTACCTTTAGGAAACTTTAGTACCTGACAATCTAACTTTATTTGATGTCACAAGAAAACGTTTTGAGATCAAATATACAATCAAATTTTGGGGGTGGAGCAAAACTGTCTTAGCTTCATATTATGATGTCACAATTTTTAATCTCCCTATATTGATCTGCCATTTCTCCAACACGTGTTGCTTGCAGAGAAACTGAAGTAGACCACCCCTTATTTCGCAAGATTTAATCTACTTTTTTTCCATCATAACTTCATCTTACAACTACTCGCCACATTCTTATTAGTTTTGTTAAATGCAGTTGTGCAAACATGTGTTATTTTTCAAAGTTGTTACACCCACTTTTACCATCAACAGGGCACATAAAACATTCCTGTTATGAAAATACTATATATTAAAATGATTTTAATAGAAAATTTAGGAGAACACAACTTTCAAATTTAGATCAGCTGCATTCTTTTGGACTGACTCCTGGATTCTGACAACTACCACAAAGTCTACGAATTGTCTTCCAAAACTGAAGTAACACCATTCTGCTTTAGTGGTTTTATATAATTTCACGGCTTACACAAGATTCAGCAAGAGAGAATATAACTCTTATGAAGAAGAAAACAATATCAACTCAATACCTGAAATTTTGCGAAGTTGGTTCTTGCTTCTTTCTGACTAGCCAATGTAGCCAACAACTCTGCAAACTTCTCCGTCTCCTTTGGATCAATATCAATACAAACGAGCTTCTCTCCACACGAGCGGCACACACCACTCTCGTCCATGGTGGTTCTCACCACTCTCCAATCACCTTTCCCCAGCCATCCCTGACCATGCCATCCACCCCCTCCCTCCAAAAACCCTTTCCTCACTTTTTCCATATCCCATTTCTCTTCCCCAATTTCAGAAGCTATTTTCGACTTAAACCAATCCGTAATCGTAGCTGCAGTCTCCTCCGACACCTGCCTCACTGTTGTCCTCAATCTGTGTATCATTTCATACACTTTCCCCTCTTTCTTGAATTCAGAACTAACTCTCAGAAGTGCAGTAAGCTCAGTCTCTTCAGGCAATACCCCATTGTCCCTCATATGGAAATCCACCTCATACGCCTCGTCAGCCATTCCCTTCTTACAAAAGCCGAATAGTGCTGGCCCATAAGACCTCAATTTTGGCACGATTCCATGTTCCGTCATTTGCTTAACGAGATCAAAAGCCAATCTTGGATCCTCTTTCGCAGCTGCCAATCTCGAAAGATTTGTGAATGTCGCTTCGTTTGGCTCGACCTTATCGATTCCCATTTGCTTAAAAATCTCGAAACCTCTATCCAACATTGTAAGATTCCCTTCATCTTCCTTGCTGAGATCACGATTAGGGCAACACAGATAAAGCAATACATTGTAATGATGCACATTGAGCTGAACTCCATTAGCCCTGGCCTCATTGTAGAGGCATAAAGCCTCCGTCAAGTTACCGTCCTTCGAGCATAGGTCGAGTTTGACACGTAGAATCATTTCTGGGGCCTCCCTGCGTGCTTTTTTCTTCGACATTCGAGTACCCGAATTTGTAGAACTTTGAACGAGAGCCTCGGCGGAGGTGGTGGAGTAGTGTGATGCTTTTCTCGCCATGGAAATGGTACCATAGGCTTGTTTTTGGGGATTGATTAGTATTGTCACCGAAGTATATCTGCGCCATAGTAGAGAATCGAAGCGTTTGGATTGGACAAATTGTGCAGTAGAGCTCTTGCGGAAGAAAGAAAGAAGAAGAGATGTTTTAGATGAGAGGGACCCCACGCGGAACAGCATCTGTCGAAATGGTTAGTTTTTTTCAGGAATCCAACTCGGCCGAACACAGAATCATCGCCGGCGTACACCACTTGTTCGTCAGAATTACTGAACGAACTCAAGCAAAGCAAACCATCATTTCTTCGTATTGGATATGGAATTCAAGAGAATGGACAATAAGAATCATGGGTTTTACAGTGGAATACCTCACAAATCAGTCTTTTATGGGGGAATCGACTCTGGCGACGCAGTGGGAGAGGAGAGAGCGTACAACGGTTCACTACAAATAGAATACCGGTAAGAAAGGATTATCAATGTACAACAATCGAAGCGAAAGGAACAAGTGGTCTAATTCAATTATGTTGGGCCGATTAGCCCGCCCATGACCTATGAAGGATTGGGCCTAGTGGTGGAATTGGATCCAATCCTTTTTTTTGGAACAATATTTGTCATTCTGAATTGAGAATTTCCAATTTCTGATTTTTCTAAATATTTTGGATTGGAATTGGAATATAGATGAAAATTTAATTTCCGATTCTAATTTTCTAAAATATCAATATTATTATTCATTTTATATTTTGAGTAACTTAAAATTTTGGAATTTCGAAGTCCACTGATTTCATTATGAAATTTTTCAATTTTGGAACAAGTTTTTTTCATTCCGATTTTATTTGGAACAACATATGAATTAGTTTTTCACTTCCAAAAAAAAAAAATCTCTGAAAATAGTAATTTCGATTCAATCTGTCCGATCTCTACTTCTAACTGGGGCATTGGCTCAACCTGGTTCATATCTTACGGGGTTGGCCTATCGAGTCACGTATCGTTTGTACTATTTTGTAGGTTAACACTGAGATTTGTACTAATTTGTGGATGTATATTTGGCACTTTTACTTCTACATTAGCTTGAACATGCCGCATCGAATTCTCGAATTCTTTACCTACTCGGCTTTGAGACTTGTGATCAATATAGACTAGTTTTTGAGCAACATGAGCTAGTGTGATTTACATTTATTCGCGTAATTCATCGACTAGGAAGTAGGAACTTATTTAGGAGTTATATTGAATTATCTAACAATTCTACTAAATCAATTCAAAGCAATGAATATAAACGGCTTTTGTTTGGGAAACAAAGTGTAAAACGACAATTTCTTACACTGCTTTTTTATCAGTAACTAAATGTAACAACTCTTTAATGTAGAACAATCCAATCAAATTACTATATATGTAGATACGAGATTTGGTCTTTAAATGACTTTGTAATTGACTCCAACTTAGGTCAACAAACTATAAAAAAAGGTTAAAATCTATTCATTTATTGCGGTCCACAAATTACATATTATCTTTTCTCACTGTGAGGTGTCTTTGAAGTAATCCAACTCATGATCATATTATATTATTTTGTTTTTTTTTACTCGAAGCCATTTCATAAAAACGAACGAATCAATTTGATGAGAAAGAAATCCAAAATTAACAGTAGAGACAGCACATCGGAAAAGATGGACTGTAATTTTCAGGGTGTCTGCACGAGAGAATGTCACTGAGTCAGTCTTTCTTTCTGCAGACGTATGTATATATATATATATATACAAACAGATAGATACATACAAATCATGAGATGGAGACGGACAAAGCGTGAGGTCAAGGGATGACTTATGCAGAAGAAGATCCGTTTCCAGACACACACCACCGATTGCAGAATAAATAAATATAGAGAGAGAGAAGAAAGATACTACCTTGTGTTTCTCTCTCTGTTACGTTAGATTTGAGATTGACTCCAAACAATTCTAACTACTGTGTGTTTGTTTCATAGGAATTTACTATATTTGAACTCATCCCTTTTGGTGTTTTCTTCCCCCATTTAATCTCTTTCTTGTCTTCTCATCTCCTGCACACGTTTTCAGTTCACCTCTCGCGGCGCCATTCACCCTCCATTTCACCCCCTATTCGTAATAAAAATCACATTTTTTGAGCAACCCATACCTTAGAACGGACAAATTCACGTTTATTCTTCTCACCCAACTTTGTCCTCTTCTTACAAGTTTTTCCATTCATTTAATTCACACGACTTGGGTTTCTTTTGATTTTGCTTACACTGTTTTTGATTTCGAGAGCATTTTGAAGGCTATGGATTCCGGCAATAGGTGCTTGCTTTGGTTTTTGCTTTTGTTGTTTGTGGTTCAGTTTATGAGTGTGGTGAAGGGCAATGTTGTCTTTCAAGTTCATCACAAGTATGGTGGCCGTGGTAACAAGAACTGGGCTTTGGGGGTTATGAAGGAACACGATTCGAGGCGCCACGGCAGAATGCTTGCCGCCTTTGATTTTCAGTTGGGCGGCGATGGTTCACCGACTAATGCTGCGTATGTTGTTCTGACATCATCGTTTTTTTTTTCGATCTGTAAACGTGTTGTTGTTCTATTGCTGCATGTGTTCGATTTAAGATTGATTTGTGTTTTGGGACTTTGAATTTGAATTATGGAGCAATGAATTTCAGTTCTTGACTATAATCATGTTTTTAAAAATCAATGATATTGAAAATATGCAATTTAACCTTCTTCAAGTAGTATGAATTGTTCGATTGATAAGTAATTGTAGTGGTTGGTTTAGTATTTGAATCCTATATTACTCATTTGTTCACATTGTGATCTTGCTATAAGTGTTAAGGATCTTCTTTTTGCAGGTTTATTGTTTGTTTACTTTTGTTAGGAAGTTTGAAGTTTTAATTTTCTTTCCGATCTGTTGATTCGAAAGAGGTGGAGTATGCTATTTGTATTTGCTGGATCTGCGTATGTTTACTCTTTGTAGAATCACAATCAATGTAGTGTAGGCCATGCTTCAAATCAAAACGGTGAACTTGAGATCCAAGTCACGTGTTTTTCCTAAATATAGCATCAAATCACGTGAAGTAATAAAACATTTCAGCTCGACTATATCCTCTACATGATTATGGACAGAAAATTAATGATATTTCTTGTCCTTAACAGCTCATGGTAATGTTTATTTGATTTGATTGATGCAGGCTCTATTACACAAGAATTACTATCGGCACTCCTCCAGTGGATTATCATGTCCAGGTCGATACAGGAAGTGATATTTTATGGGTCAATTGTCAGAACTGCGAGAGGTGCCCTACAAAGAGTGATCTTAATGTACGGCTCTTTTGTTTTTATTAATGTAAATGTAATCTTAACAGTGGGTAGTTTACTTCTATTACAACCTTAACGGTTTTGTTTTCAATCCTACAGATACATTTGAGGCAATATGACTTGACAGCTTCATCTACCGGAAAGTTGATTACTTGTAATGAAGATTTCTGTGATGCGGCAGTTGACTATGGTCAAAATTCAAATTGCAAGGCGGGAAAGAACTGCGAATATTCTATTACTTATGGAGATGGCAGCATAACAGAGGGATACTTCATCAGAGATAATTTCAGACTCGATCAAGTTACGGGAAACCTTCAAACATCAACAATGAACGGATCGATAGGTTTTGGGTGGGTTTCATCTTTGATCTTAGTGTTTGTTTTTTGCGTGTGTTATCTGCATGAATCTTCTTGAATGATCAATTGGTTATGTTATCATTGAATGATCGTATTCTATATATAGAGATGGAAAAAACAGAGTCATAATAAGGAAATAATTTTCTAAAAAAATATGGAGCGATATCCTAACCAAGAATACATATAAATTTACTAAATACTATCTAACGCTGCCCCTCAACCGTGGAGCATAGATATCAATTATGCTCGGGTTATTAAATAAGAAAACTTAAATCTACTAATTAGTAGTAACTACACTTTTCGTCATGGTGGAGCATATATATTAATAATGCTCAATTTGTTAAGCAAGAAGTCGTAAATCTACTATGTAGTATTGAACACTTTGCCTAAAGTGGATCATACATTGATCATGCTCAACTTGTCACAAAAAAAATGCAAAATTGGTTTCCTCATTCGTAGATCCATGAGAAGAAATGAATTTTCTTAAGGTGGATCATATATATTAATCATGCTTAATTTGTCACAGAAAATGCAAAATTTGTTTCCTCGTATATATTTTAATCATGCTAATTAGGATTCGCTAACTACGTTTTCCTCCTTCTAGAGTTATATTTTCATTTTATTTTGGTGAAATTTGTTTCGGAGAAATAAAATAATGTTTGTTGGATTTTGGGAAGAGATAATTCAGATAATATCTAAAGCGGGGTGAAGATATTATAGAAGAAGAACTTGAAAAACAAAGTGATGTTTGTTTGTATTTTAGTGAAAATTTGTTACTCTAGCAGTCAAATCGTATCTGAAGGAGAGAAACTTTTCGAATTTTTTTTCCCGATATTTTTTCAAGCTCAATTTGAAAAGGTTAATAATAACATAGTTTCATTTTGAGGAAAACATGGAAGAATTTCAAAACCAACTAAACATTGCCATAGTAATCGAGTCCGTATCGACCGACAAATAGATACTAGTCCGATCATGGTCGGGAATCTAAGATCTTGAGTTTGGTGATTTTAACGCAATTTCATATGTGCATACATTTATATACTCCATCAGTTTCAAAAGTGTTGTTTTGGAGAAACGTTTTTGTTCCATATTATTTGTGTGTTTAATATTGCAATGGTTCACTGATTACTCTCTTTCCAAATTTTCCCTCATTACTCATAAATTGTTTCAGGGATTGATTCTCACAAACAAAACAAATTATAAATGGACAAAAATTAGAGGGAAGGATATTCTAGTCGTATTGATTAGCTTTCTAAAATGCGCGCCGGAACCTTAAACGGCACATAATTTCAAAAGGAGAGAGTAACATTTATATTGGATATGCGTGTGTTGAAGTTGTGTCGTGTCTTAAATATTTTTCTATACAAATTTACGTATTTCATGTTTGTGTCATGTTATGATTGGCTTCCACCTAGCTTTCTGATTCGAAAGATGACGTAGATAGTTGTTTGTGAGTTGTGACATGTTTAACTATATGTTTTGGTCTGACTAGGCTGATTATCCAGCGAATCAATAATTTCAACTTGTTGGTCTAAGAATTTGGCTTACTTCTTCGCATGAACCGCTTTTGTCGTTTTGCGAACGTGTCTGTATATTATACATTTTGCTGTCGAATTCCGTCTGTCGCCTTTCACTTTATGAAGTGTTGATAAAGATGAATTCCTTCAGCTGACTGTGTAATATATAAACCGACATAATTATAAAGTGGTTGAGATTTCTTCTTATTAATTTATGTTTCATGTTTAAGTTCAAAAGGTGCAGTTTTTTTTTTATTGGATTTTCTCTATATCTTACATCTTTGTAATATACGACAGATGCTCAGCTAAGCAATCTGGAGAATTGGGCTCATCTTCCGAGGCAGTTGATGGAATAATTGGTTTTGGACAATCAAATGCATCCATTCTTTCCCAACTAGCTCTATCCGGAAAGGTCAAGAAGATATTTTCACACTGCTTAGATGGGAATAATGGAGGTGGAATTTTTGCTATCGGAGATGTGGTGGAACCGAAAGTCAACAGAACACCGCTGGTGCCGAATCAGTACGTCACATCAATTTCATTTTTCTGTGCTGGATATTATTGCAGTATTTTTAGTCATTTAACTGAAGATATTGTTTCCTTTCATATATCTGACTTTGTGTAATATAATTTTTAGGCAACATTATAATGTGAATCTGAAGGCAATTGAAGTAGACGGTCAATTTCTAAACCTTCCGACAGACATATTTGACACTCGATCAAGTAGAGGTACTATTATTGATAGTGGTACAACTTTGGCCTATCTTCCGTCCGTGGTTTATCAACAGCTTTTCGATAAGGTATGGTCTAAAAAAATTGAATAAAATTTCTTTCGGGATTGTTTTGTTTTGTCTTAAATTTGTCAGTGATCTCTGTTTATCCATGTATCTGTGAATAGATGATGGCAAAGCAACCAAATTCGGAAACCCATACAGTTGAGAATCAGTTCAAGTGTTTATATTACAAGGGGAAGTAAGTTTTGCTATGACTGACCATTTACTTTTTGGTTTATGAAAAATAAAAAATAAATTGTCCATTTCACATGTTTTTGCAGCATTGATGATGGATTTCCAGTCGTAAATTTTCATTTTGAGAACTCGCTCGTTCTGCCAGTTGCTCCGCATGATTATCTGTTTCCCATCAACGTAAGTAAACTGGATTACTTTGGTTTGATATTTCATTACTTGAACTGGATTGTGTTCGTCTTTACATATTTATGGCTCGGTATTTATGGAAAATATCCAAGTTATACTCATGTCGTATAACTTTAACTTTGCAGAATAACGAGTATTGTATAGGTTGGCAAAACAGTGCTTTACAGACAAGGGATGGAAGGCAGATAACTTTGTTGGGAGGTACTTTTCATGTTTATTTTTCCACCAAAAGTTGCTACTCGATAATTTGAAATATTTTGATGCAATTTTTTATTTTTTATTTATTTTTATTTGCAGATATAGTGTTAACAGACAAGCTTGTTCTGTACGACCTCGAAAATCAGACCATTGGATGGACCCAGTACAACTGTGAGTGCAACACTTCGGTTTCATTATTTTATTCTTATCTACATTTTTAAATTATGAAAAAATCGCAACTTATTACCATATCTTCTTTGTGCTGTTAATTTCAGGTTCATCGGGCATCAAAGTGAGAGACGAAGCATCTGGAAATGTTTACACAGTTGGCGCACACGACATATCTGCTTCTGCTTCGAGTCTGTTGAAGGTTAATGTTATTACAATCGTTTTCTTTATGGTTGCAGTTGTTAAACTGATAGGGTGAGTTTGTACACAAAGGGCAGCTTCAGTGAATGCTGCCCTTTGTTATATTTTATAGTAAACGGTTGATGATGCTGAGGTTCATTTTACTGAATCCTTGAGCTATAATAAAAGGAAGTGTTTGCTGACATTTCTTTGATCTGCTTCGGTATTTTCTGGCTCGTACGACATATTATAGAATTTATACACTGTAAAAACAAAATGAACCTAGGATTTAGGTTTTATAAGGTTGCTTTCAAGAACTGTACAACAAAATACACGACTGCAAGAAACAGGGCAATCTGGTAAACATCTCTTTGAAAACTGTCATCCCTCTGGAAAAACTGGATCAAGAAATAATTTTAACAGATTAGAACTTTCTAGAAGCGACGGGAAAACGGGAAAATAAGAGATTTACATGGGAAGAAAGTTTCACCTTTGTAGGATCACCGGTGGGGTCCGGATATATTTCGATGTTCTTGTTCTGTTTTGTTGCCCTGTTGGATAAGTCCTTGATGAAATCGGAAATGTCTTTTCCGGATTCAACTGTGGCGAATATCCGTTTCGAAGTCCAGAAATATGCTTGAGTGATGGGTGAAGATGCAGATAAATCCCATATTTCTTCGTGCTCGATGACTTGGCCACTGATTTGGTTGAGAGTGAATTTGGAGTTGACTTTGAGAATTAAGTCTCCTCCAATGATGGAAATTGGAGACTTGGGTTTTCCTTTTAGAGTCCATTTGATGTTTAGGACACTTGTTGATAACATCGTCATCTGCTGCACACTCTGCACAACAAAGTAGACAGTTTTTTAACCTTAATATGATGACGGTCTTTCTTTTCTTTTCTTTTTGTTTTTCCGGTAACCTTAAAATGTGCGAAAACTGACCACTGAGAGATTGTCGAGTGCATCAGTAGCCCACAATTGTCTCTTGTACTTGTCTCTGCCAGTAAAGCTTCTAACTGGATCCTGCATTTGTTTTCTTGTTAAGACATATTAGAAAACACTAATCTAATCTAGCTTCACTAATGATTATAAAATGTGGGGAATTCTGACAGGACTTGATAGATAATATAATCAGGCCTAATCACATGATGCAAACATTGTATAATCACAAATACCAAATCCAAGATAATAATCCTAACTAATCCAATTAATCGCATGAATTCGATCCATGCATAGATTACCTACCTTGTATTTGACAGAAACGGCAAAAGTACCAAGGGCACGATTGCCCTGCCTGAGTTGAAGAATGTCACGAACGAGTTGTCGAGCGGTGGATTCGACAGAAGGGCTGCTGATGCACTCGAAATCATTGCAGAGTTCACCAAAGTTCATGCCATCAACAATGGCATCTGCATCTGATGACGTGGCTACGTCATCAGAAGGAGACGCCTCTGTTCTACTATTTTCATTTGTTACTGCAGTCAGTCAGTGTAACAACAAATTTCATTACCATACATACATATTCAAGTGAAGTGGTTACTACTGCATAGTAATAATCTGTTAATTAAGTAAAAACATGGTAAAGGTACGTACCTCGGAGAGAAAAAGTGAAGGCGTATTGAGGACGAAGAAACAGAGAGGTGTGAGGAGGTTGTTGTTGTTTATGATGGTGAAAGACATTAGTAGTAGTACGAGGAGTAGTGCTACTGTTTATTACATGGGTTACTGATGACAAAGAAGAAGAATTGGCTACGAAAACTGTGGCAGAAGAGCTCATCTCTTTTCTCTCTCGGTCGAGTTTTTTTCTCCATTCTGAAAAAGAAAAAAATCCAGGGATGCTGTTGGTTTGTGAGTGGTTTTTCTGTGTTCCCCCACGAAATGTTTGTTGGTTTGTTGGATAAGGTTGTGTAGTTGGCTGTGTGGTCTGAATGCAGACACTAAGATACTGTGATTATCTGATTCCAGTTGTTGCCACGTTACCAATTCTGATCTCGAATAACCATTTCACAACAAGGTATAGTAACCGTTGAATCCACAAGGAATTACTGATAGTAACTGTGGTCACAACCATATTCTTCAATGGCGCATTTTATCAAATGGTTGGTGTGCGCATTCACCAAACATATCCTACTCACTGTTAACGAATGATGATGACGTGATGCGGATCAGAAGATAAGATTTTTACATCAAATTCTTTCAGGAACAAATTCTTGAAGAAATAGCAATTTTGCAGGAGCTGTGATCATCATTACCCTGTTTGTTATTAGTTGATAATTTTGACCTCTAATCTCGTCTCTATCAGTTAGTATTCTTAGCTTACAAACAAACCATCATTAACAGAATCTGGGCAGAACTCCAAATTCTTCAATTTTCTTTTTCTTCTTAAATATCTAAATATCTGAATATATATATATATATATATTTTTTTTTTTATGACATATTATTCCATTGAAGAATTTGGACCAGATTCAGGATGTGTCTTTTTCAGATATTTTTTTTATGTTAAAATTCAACATGAATCTGGAAGTCATACATACATTTAATTCTTCCTCACCATGTATGTAGAATCATGCGCTTTAATGATTTCTGACGTCACCTCTTTTTCCGATTTTTTTTTTTCTTGAAAATTGTAATTGAGCTTGTTTTGTTGTTTTAGTACCAACCTTGTTTCGTTTCTTCTTATCTCTCTGTTTTGTGTTTTCACACCTCACCAATTATTTATCTTGCACTGCTTCTTCTTTCTTTAAATACCTCCCAACATTTCTTGTTACAATCGCCTCTCTCTCACACACACACACACACACACACACACACACACACACACACACACACTGAGAGAGAGAGAGAGAGAGAGAGAGAGAGACAATGGCCATGCAAAAATCGATGCTGATGAGTGTATTATCAGTGTGCATGTTTCTGCAGTTGTATCCTCTTCAAGCAGCTCCTCAACTTTCTCTTGTCAACAATCTTCCTGGATTCAATGGCACTTTCCCTTCAAAACACTACTCTGGGTAATAATATATATAATATGATGAATTTTCTTTACTTTAATTTCAGAAAATAGAAATTGAACTCAACTTTTTCTTTTCTCTTGGTTCCCATGTGAAGGTATGTGACATTGAAAGGGAATCCTGCAAAGAATCTCTTTTACTACTTTGTAGTGTCGGAAAGAAATCCGACAACCGATCCTGTTGTTCTATGGCTGAATGGAGGACCTGGTTGCTCTAGCTTTGATGGCTTTGTCTATGAGCATGGTAATCAAACAACAATAAAAGGATGATAGAATATAGACAACATATCACTAACTTTTAAGACCACTTAATGAACGATTTCCTGTTTTCCGTTTTTTCTATAGAAATCGTTAATGACTCAACATATATGTATGTTTCGCAGGACCTTTTAATTTTGAAGCAGCAAAGCAACAAGGGGGCTTGCCTGTTTTGCATCTTAATCCATATAGTTGGTCTAAGGTTCATATTTTTCTATTATTTCTTGATTGAAATTAAATGTGAACCTATTTCTTCGTATTTTGATACTCATATTCGTGTATGGAATAAGGTTGCAAATATGATCTATTTGGACTCTCCCGTTGGTGTTGGATTGTCCTATTCTCCAAACACATCCTACTACGTAAACTCAGACTTAAAAACTGCATCTGAAACTCATCATTTCCTTCTTAAGGTATGTCGCATAATTCTTCATTTTTTTTAACAATAAATTCTTTTTAACTATTGCAACTAATTATTCTTCTTCGGCTTTTTATAGTGGTTTGAGCAATTTCCGGAGTTTAGTGCCAATCCATTTTATATCTCGGGCGAGTCATACGCTGGCATTTACATCCCTACTCTTGCTTCTAATGTTGTCAAAGGTACAAATAAGTGAGATACTTTTTATACTTGGGTATATGAATCCCCCTAAGCCTTATTTGAGTGTAATGAATCATGTGTTCATCCCTTCCATGCAGGAATCAAAACCGGTGTTAAACCGATTATTAACTTTAAGGTATTTCTTATGTTTTTACATTTTTGTTGGGTTTTTTTACTAAAATTTAGAATATGAATAACTGATAATCGGAGATGATTTGATGCAGGGGTACATAGTGGGAAATGGTGTGTGTGACCTTGAGTTTGATGGCAATGCACTTATTCCATTTGCACATGGGATGGGCCTAATTTCTGACAATATGTTTAAGGTTGGTCAGTAGAAAAACATATGTATATCTATATATATATATCATTCTACCTTAAAATTTGGTACATTGAGTAGGAAGCTGAAGTTCTCTGCAAAGGAATTTACCACAACTCGGTGAGCATTGATTGCCGGAAGACACTATATAAGATTGATTCGGTACCGAAACTTAGCATAACATCACTTGTATTTTTAAATCCATTCTTGTAGATTAGAGCTATTTTTACCTACTTTGGACAACTTTCTTGTATCAGATATTAGAAGAACTGAATAGATACGACATCCTCGAACCCTGCTTCCATAGCGGTGAAATAGAAGACGAAAAAAACAAGAGCCTAATACCACAGAGCTTTAAGCAACTGGGGAAAACCGAGAGGCCGCTTGGTGTGAGAAAGAGAATGTTTGGGCGTGCTTGGCCTTTCTACGCACCAGTCGAAGACGGGATCATTCCATCGTGGCCACAGTTGATGAGAAAGGTCCCAGTCCCCTGTTTGGTAAGTAGTAAATGCTCGAGTCAAACTAACCTAAATTATTGCTACAATTACCTTAAAATTATTGCCAGTTTTGAGTATGTGAAAATCGTGAATTTGTGCAGGATGATGTACAGGCGACTATATGGCTGAATAATGATGCAGTTAGAGAAGCGATTCATGTTAATCCGGTTAGTTTTCTACCACAAATCGAAACTTGACAGAATAATAAATGAATTCTTGACCTTTTTTTACTTATTAATATGTTTGTGGAATATGGTTATTAGGAGAGTGGAGAGTGGAGTATGTGTGTCGATATAAAATACACGCATGATGCGGGGAGCATGATCAGTTATCATAAGAACCTGACATCTAGTGGCTACAGGGCTTTAATATATAGGTAAGAAAAAAAGACAGCAAATTTAATCCTAGCAAATATATCGAGTTTTAGTTACTACAATAATTACTGTTTTACAGTGGGGATCATGATATGTGTGTTCCATTCACTGGAACTCAAGCATGGACAGAATCACTCGGATATAAAACCGTTGATGAGTGGAGATTTTGGAAATCCAACGGCCAAGTCGCTGGGTTCGTATATATATAATAATCCTCCATCGTATTTCTTTTCACTTTCTTGAATCAGGTTTTGATAAAATGTTATTTCAACTGCAGATTCTTACAGGAGTACGCTAATAATCTCACTTTCCTCACTATCAAGGTATATATATATATATATATATATATATATATATATATATATATATATATATATATATATATATATATATATCGATAAATACTAAACGATCCATGCATGGATTAAACAGTTATTAATAATAAATTTGATGAGCCTAATATGATAATGTTCTTGCAGGGAGCTGGACATACTGTGCCTGAATACAAGCCTAGAGAATCGCTCGATTTTTTTAGTCGTTGGTTACAAGGGCAGCCGATTTAAGTTCATTAACAAAGATGATATAGTATACTTCGTTCTGAGAAAAAAAAAGACATTAAACAGATGCATGAATGAAATTATGTAGTGTCAAAGGTTGTCTTTTTGTATCTTTTGATGAAATAATTGAGAAATGGCAAAAGTTATATGATATTTATTAAATGATGCTCAACAAAACCATTCCAATCCAATAAAAGAGTTTTAGGTTAATCAACTAATTAATAATTAATCATGGAATTAACTGCTGCAAAGGGGATTGATTATTCAACAACTCCATATGTATCAATAATATTATCATCAACTCCACTTCTTCAAACTATATATAAATACCTATGCTGCATTTCAATATTATCATCAACAAACATTTCTTCATACTTATTTCTTCATTAAGAAAAAACAAAGAAAATGGCTAAGCTTTCAATGCTCACCTCAACTGCAATTAAGCCCTTCATTCTTTGCTTATTGCTACTAGCCACCACATTGGCTAGCTCTGCTAGAGTTCTTGATGAAGTTCCCCCATTCTTTCCTTTTCCTATTGCACCACCGGAGATCGCTGATGTGGTACCGGAGGTAGCACCCGTCACCACCGCTCTGCCGAGCGGTCAAATTCCCGCCGCTATCCCACCAGTCATTCCCACAGAACCTCTGCCACCTGTCGTTGCACCAGTTGCCGACATTCCCGACACCACCGCCGCACTACCGGCCACAACCACCGCACCACCAGTGACAACCACCACGCCAGCTGGCGGAGCCACCGCTGCTGCCGCCGCCGCCACCACCACCGGTGGTGGTGGTGGGGAATCCACATTTTCCTTCTTCATGCACGACATTCTCGGTGGGTCTCACCCATCCGGCAGGGCGGTCACCGGAATAGTGGCCAACTCCGACGCGAACAATCTGCCCTTCTCAAAGCCCAACAACCAAATATTCCCAATCAACGGCGGAGTTCCACTCAACACAATCAACGGAGCCATCAACAACAACAACTACCCGTTTCTGGTCGGCCTGAACGGATCACCGAGCAACACTCTAATCCAAAGCAACGGCAACAACGTCGTCAGCGGCAACAACAACCAAGCATTCGTCACCGCCGGACAACTCCCGCAGGGCCTAACCCTCCAACAACTGATGTTCGGATCAGTAACGGTGGTCGACAACGAGTTAACGGCAGGACACGAGCTGGGTTCGGCAGTGCTCGGAAAGGCGCAAGGGTTTTACGTGACCAGCTCCTCCGACGGAAGCAGCCACACGCTGGCGCTGACAGCGTTGTTCCACAGCGGCAGCGAACACCACGAGGAGATTGACGACACCGTCAGCTTCTTCGGGGTTCACAGAACGGCGACGCCGATATCACACATCGCCATTGTTGGTGGGACAGGTAAATACGAGAATGCGAAAGGGTATGCCACCATTGAAAGTCTTCCTCATGAAGATCAGCACACAACTGACGGTGTGGAGACGATTACACATTTCACTCTTTATCTCACTCCCTAGAGAGAGAGAGAGACAAGATTATATTTCTCTTTTTTCTTTTCTTTTTAATTTCCTCCTTTGTGCTGATTTCATTTCTTTTTCTTTCTTTTTCCTTTTGATGATGTATGGTTCTTTGTTTTTCTGTTGTTGATGTATCGTTGTGTCTGTAATTTACTACGCTGTAAAAATCATTTTATTTCATCAATCTTTTTTATATAATTTTATTTTCTTTTATATTATATCTAATACAAAATTCAGATAAACAACTTGAAATCAAGAGATTACAGAATATTAAGAAAATAAATTTCTAAGAAGTTAACCAGTAAAAATGTTTATATAAGGGGAACAATTTCGTAATTAAAGTAAATTATTATCCAGGAAAATTAAATCCCTGCTCTCATTGGACAATTGTATCTTTCCCGAAGTTCATTAGTATTGTTGACTCACTGACTTCTCCGGCGGCTGTATTGCCTTCCTACCAGGTTGCCGCCGATGATGGCGTTCTCATTGGCGGGCTTGAATTTTCCTTCCTCCCCAGTCTGCAGAGCATCTTTCACATCTTGCTCCTCCTCGTCACCGTCGTCTCTTTCTCTCGACGCCGCCTACATCAAACGCGCAGCCGAATTAGCAGATAGATCTTCCGGGTTCACAGCGCCGCACCCTAATTTCGGTTGTGTAATAGCTACTACTTCAGGTACTGGAGAAAGGGTTGTCGCCGGTGAGGGGTATTTGTACGCCCAAGGAACCACCCCGGCGGAGCTGCAGGCGGTGGAGGCCGCCGGAGAACGGTGCCGTGGCGCTACGGCTTATCTCAACATGGAGCCCAATCATTACCTCGGCGACCAATCTGCTGTTTCTGCCCTTGTCCAGGTAAATTGGCTTTCCCAAATAATTCTGTAATTCGCTCATTGTGTTTCAAAATGTTTTCTTTCTGCTTTCAATTTCGATTTTGAGTGTAGAATGCTGTTGGTCGGAAATTTTGAATTACAATGTTGTTCTTCTACATTGCTAAACTCAGATGTATATTTTGTGGGTAACGATTTTTTGTTGTTCAAGAATCAGAGAGTTTGAACTACGTGTGCTGCTCTATCAATTCATTTAACAGCCATTCTTTTATGACTAACATTGTTCTCAAGAGCTGCCCGATTTCCTGTTTGTCATTGATATGACTGGATGAGTGCGAATGCCGTAAGATAACTATAGAAAGAGACTTCTTCGGCACAGTCAGAACCGTAAAGCTGTAACCTTTGTTTGATTAATGTATGTTGGAGAGAATTATCATTCTTTTTCAGCTAAATTCGAAAGTTGTTGGAGCCAATTTTTCTAGACTTTCTCACATTGGAAAAATACCTCCTTTTGACCCATATATGGATATGTCGAAGTTTGCTTTCAACAGGACACGAAAATATATGCTCATTTTTCGTTCTTGCAATAGCCGTAATTTTCTTATCCTTATGCCAGTTGTTTGTTGATTTACTCTAGTGATGATATTTCCACATTCATTTCTGAAGTAGAAGTTCCTACTGATTATTCATGTTTAGGCAGGAATTAGTAGAGTTGTCATTGGGATCAGGCATCCTTTGCAACATCTTCGTGGAAAGGCTGTTCGTGCTTTTAAAAGTGAAGGATTGCTCGTTGATGTTCTTGGTGAGGATCTCCAATGTAAAACCATAGAGGTAATCAATACATAACTTGAACTCACTGATCTATTCAATTCTTTTGTTGGTGAGGATCTCCCGTCTTGATATTTATTGAATTTCCTACCACATTCTAAAATCAAATAATTCTTTGTATATGCAAGTGATTTAGATGCAATCATCTTAACTTCGAAGACACTTTACGTACATTGTTATACGTCTCATATTACATTTAGTAACTTATTTGCCTTTTTTGACTTTGTCCCGTAGGAATGTCTGAAGTCCTGTCTTCTAGTGAATGCTCCTTTATTGTATAGAGCCGCTTGTCGAGTTCCATTCTCTGTTCTCAAATATGCGATGACCCTTGATGGTCAGTTCTGTCAAGTTCTTTCCTTTTTATTTATTTATTCATTTCCTATGATAAAATGCGACTGATTATTTTCTTAGACTACGACTTCCAAGTAGCATCTGTAATTGGTGCAATATCTTAATATTGTGCATTTATAAATGCAGGAAAAATTGCGACAAGTAGTGGACATGCATCATGGATAAGCAGCAAGAAGTCAAGAACCCGAGTTTTCGAACTGCGAGGCAGGAGCGATGCTGTTATTGTCGGAGGAAACACTGTACGCCAAGACAGTACGAATCTCTGACAGCTATTACTTTTCATGTATGCGATACTCGAAAACTAAATCAAATAGTTATTCAAGTTCAACTTTGAAAATTGTAGATCCACGTCTAACAGCAAGACATGGAGGTGGGCATTTGCCCCAACGAATTGTAATGTCGAAATCACTCAATCTCCCCGAGGTTGCAAACTTGTGGGATGTTACAGAAGTTCCCACTATGGTTGCTACACAGAGAGGTGCAAAAAGAAGTTTCCAGAAGTTTCTTGCATCGAAAGGTGTTGAAGTAGTTGAGTTCGAAATTCTAAACCCAAAAGTCGTAATGGAATATTTGTATGATCGTGGCTGTCTTTCGGTTTTGTGGGAATGTGGAGGTACATTAGCTGCATCTGCTATTTCTTCTGGCATTGTACACAAGGTAAGCATATACGTATGATACTATTACGAATGATTTTTTTCTTAACTCGTGGTGATTGAACTGTCAATTTACGCATATATTATATTGATGCAGGTGGATGCATTTGTTGCCCCTAAAATAATTGGCGGCAGAAATGCACCGTCTCCCGTTGGAGAACTTGGTATGGTGGAAATGTCACAAGCCCTGGAATTAATTGACGTACACTACGAGCAGGTGGGTCCCGACATGCTTGTGAGTGGATTTCTTCATCCGGTTCCCGACTTGACACCTGTCATCCCATCAATGGACGAAACTTCTGCAATTGATCCTACTGTTTCTCCATACGAAGCGAGCATCATATTCTTCTACAAAACATGGGATCCTTACGGAGCATTCTCAAACTTCTCTTTACATCCGATTTGCTTGCCTGACGAAAATGGAGATAATTACAGCTGGCCCAGTGTGGAGCACTATTACCAGGTCCATTTCAGTTACTTTTGTCCAAATACATATTTGATTTACATTTGTTCTTAGGTTTCCTTAAATTTTTGTAGGCTTATAAGTTTGTCGGGTTAGATGATCCCGTTGCAAGAAACTGTTTGGAAGAGATAAAAAACGCAAAAAGTCCCGAGGAAGCAGCTCGTCTAGGACGAAAAACACAGAGGCAGCGCCCCGATTTGGTATCACCTTTCGCATTTACTATTAATTTATCTTTTTAGCTGGCATAGTTCGGTCCACCCGGTGATCATTTAACTAGGATATTTTTTCGTCATTTGAATCTATTACAATTCGCATATAATAATACTCGGAAGAAAAGATGTTATCCATCAATTTGCTGTATCTTGAAAATTCGTGTCTGATTGTGATAACTTGATAATTATACAATGATTGGGCCAGACTGGTATTCGACAACTGGATTCTGAGCCCATCATTCATTAATCATATGGCAGAATCTTTCATGATTATCTGCTAACCATATGATTCTTGATTTTTGTGTCACGGCCCATGCAGGTGAGATCGGATTGGGAATCTGTGAAGACGGATATTATGTATAGAGCTTTGAAGTGTAAATTCTCGACGTATCATAATTTAAATTCGATGCTGATATCGACAGTTGGATCAGTTCTGGTTGAAGCATCACCGCACGATCTATTCTGGGGTGGAGGTAGAGATGGAGAAGGGCTTAACTATCTAGGGAGGCTGCTTATGCAGTTGCGGTCGGAGTTTCTGTCTGATGCAAAGTCGAATGCAGACAATGGTACTCGTAGACAAGAGGGAAACGAGGTTCGGAAATTGCCATGAAAATTAATAATCTGCTAATGTATATTGAGTGATGGAATTAATTATAGAGGTGAGAATATATTTTTGTAGCACTCGATTTTTTGTTGCATAAATCAATAAAATTAGAAAGAGAAAGAAAAAAAGACATATTGAAATGCCAGCTGGATAATTGTTAATTGTGTGGTGAGCCAATGGTTTGATTGGACGGTTTTCAAGAAATTTGAGCAGTAGTCAATATCAAAGTCCCACTTGTAAAATTATTATTGCATTTCTGACGTGGAGGGACATGAGTGGCTATATTAAGCAATATCCTAACTTTTGAGTTTTGACAACCATAACATTTTTATGTTTTGTTTTTGGTACTTCTGACTTCTAATCTAATAAATAAATATCTCGTGTACCAAACTGTCTTTTAATAGTTATATATCTATATAAACCAAAAAAAAAAAAAGAAAGACAGACCCTTTGAGTTGTAATATTTATTAAGATTATGGGCATGGAAATTGACAGGTGAAGCTTAGGTTTCATCATCATAATTGATGATTTAATTGTTAGTATTTATTTAATAAAATAAATGAGAAAATAATATTAGTTGATGCATGAACACGGGAAAAACGAAAGAAAACTATAATGCAAAGATATCTAATAATAATTTATCATAATTGAATTATTTATTTTAGCCACTATAATAGAATAGAATAGAATAGAATAGAATAAAATAGAAGCTACCTTTTAGTAAGTAACCTTTAAGTAACACATTCAATCCTAGCCTAATTCTTGGTCATCCAACCTTTATCTACATTTCTTCATCTTTATTATTCAATTTTCTACAATTCAAAACTAAAATTCAACAAACTTATTCCATATCGTTCCTTAAAATAACATTTGACCACCTAATGAACCAAATTTAAGCAAATATATATTTTCAATCGATAAGTTACAAATTCCTCGAGTTCGATTAGGAAAAAAAGATACATACAAAAATCAAAATATTTGAAATCGATTCTAATTCGACTCGAATTTAACTCGTTTTGATTCAATTGCTTATCAAACTTTTTTCTTTTTGAGACGAATTGCTTATCAAACTAGACTTGAATAGAACTTCAACAAAGGTCGATAAAATTCAAACGAACTTGGGCAATCTCGATTCGGTCTTTTATGCCCCAATTCGTTGAAACCAAACAAAAGGAGGCTAAATGAAATCCAACTTTTCAACATTATACTATTATAATTATTTTACTATATTTGAAAGGATTGGGTTGAACAAAATAAATTGTTTTTATCTTATGAATTATTCCTTAATCATAGGCATACATTATTAGAATAATACACCCTTTCATCGTAATCTCAATCTCTTTCAAGATTATGTACGCACAGCCTTGCCTTATGCGTGCTCTGTATCTATATGTGTGTGTATATATATAATCCCATCCCAGCTGTCCACCCTCATCGCCCCTCTCTCTCTCTTTCACTGAACACTTTTCTCTGCAGTAGCAGCGGCGCCTTTTTTGCGATCCCAATTTCTGTTCACCACATTTTATTATTATTATTATTATTATCAATTTTTAATTTATAATTTATAATTTGTTTTAGTAGCTTCCTTGTTTCGTTGCTATTAAATCTCTCATTCATTACCCGTGTCGAAGGTATCGCCTTGTGTTTCTCTCCGACCACCACCACCACCTATTTTCTATACAAAACACAGCGAGCTCCATTACTGATTCCCAAAGTTCTATTCTTTCTTTCTTGCTGATTTTTGGAGTAAGCTCTTTTTTTTTTTTGGTTGGAGGCTCTCTAGGCTTTATGCAAGTGTGCTGTGATCCTTAATTCTGATTGATTTCGTTCAAATCAAGCGTCTTAATAGATAGAAAGGGCGCACTGCTTTTTGTCAAAGATCTGAACTTTTTGGCTCCCTACTCTGTAACCGTTTTTAGCTTTCTGCACATTGTTATTATTTAAAGGATAAGGGTATATACATAAATCTATACATGTTCTAGAGGGGCCCTTTTAATGTTTTTAAGGATAAGGGTAGTTGAAATGTGAATATATGAATTAATTTACCCATTAAAGTGATTTGATGCTCAAAAGGGGTAATTGAGATTGATCATTCTTTAGAAGATTCATGATGGAATGTCAATTGATTTATTCTTGCCGAGATTATCATCCATTGATCGAGGAGTGGATTTTGTAGCTTGATTAGAGAGATTGATTTCAGTCGAAAGCCCTTTGAGAGGGATATATTTGTGATTGGGAATTCAAAACGGATCCAAATACGGAGAATAGGGGGTGTGACTGTGTGGGTGGTCTGGAGTGCATATTTAATATAATCAGGGCCCTAAGAATGGGTTCCTGCCTATCCTGTGAAAGCAGTAGGAGCCCTAGGGCAGGTTCTCCAATGGGGGTCCGAAAGAGGAAGGGGGGGTCGAAAAGGAGAATGGGGTCTCGTAATTCTTCCTTTGACTATAGGAGTGAGGAACAGTTGCATAGGACACCTGGCAGGATGTTCTTGAACGGTTCGAGCGATACTGCTTCACTCTTTACACAGCAGGGGAGGAAAGGAACTAATCAAGATGCCATGATTGTTTGGGAGGTTAGTTCTTTCTCTCTTTCTCTTCTTCTCTTCTTTAATTTGCTGAATGTAAGATGAGTGCAAATGATTTAACTTACGTATTATACATTTCGTTTCGTTAATTTTGTGCTACCATTGACATATTGACTTTTATCTGATATTGCTGATAACGACTTTTGTGGACGGTGTGTTGATGTATTTGCTGCAAAAATAAGGTTTATTGGAGGACTTTATTAGACTTATGCATAGATTAAGACTCGTGGTCAGTTCTCTGTTACTTTTCATAGTCGATATTTGCATAAATATATGATACTCTGTTTCGTACGTGGTTGAACTCCGCTTAATAAAGGAGTTTGATTTCTGGTTGAGAAAATTTCCAACATGTATTCATTATTGCTGAATATTCTTGTTGCTATTCTGATCCAGGACCAAATTGGTTGTTTTACATGTTCCGTTTTCTAACTCTTCATCTAATAATTAGAGGTTTTCACCTAGTGCATGAATATGAACATCGTAAGAGTAGATTTTACCAGAAGATATCTTAATAACTGACTAGAAGTGATATTGATTCACTGATGTTTTTGTCGTATATCTTAGTCGAATCAGACATGAAATCTTCAATCTTTGTATGTCCCGACTGAATTCCAATGATCTTAAATCTCAATGCTAGTTTTGTTTCACAATAAAAATGAAGTCTTTGAACTGATTGTTTGTGAGATTAAATTGTCCAGAACTTCGGTTCAAGAACAGACACAGTCTTCTGTGGGGTTTTTGACGGGCATGGTCCTTACGGGCACATGGTTGCAAAACGAGTTAGAGATTGTCTTCCACTAAAGCTAAGCTCACACTGGGAAGTCAATATAAAGAACGACGAGATTCTTAGGGATGTCAGTTTAAATACCTCAAGCAGTAGGTGCTCCGAAGATGCTTCCTTCTTCTCTGCCGATACTGAAGTTGCTAGAGCTTCCATTGACGAGCAACCAGAGGTGTTCCATACTTTGAAGGAATCTTTTCTCAAGGCTTATAAAGTCATGGACAGAGAATTGAAAATGTACGCAAATATCGATTGCTTCTGTAGTGGAACTACAGCTGTCACTATGGTGAAACAGGTACTGTAAGAAAGTTTTGCAAATGGTGGTTGATGATAATTGTCGGTTACACTCAACAATTTCTTGATATTGTTTTACAGGGTCAAGATCTTATAATTGGAAATGTTGGGGACTCGAGAGCTGTGTTGGCTACAAGAGATGAAAATAATTTGCTTACGGCGGTTCAGTTGACTGTTGACCTCAAACCTAATCTTCCAGGTATGGGTTTTTTTTTCGTTTGTTTTTTTTTTTTTGGGGACAATTTACTAATCGCCTCTTGTGTTGCAGGGGAAGCAGAGAGGATTCGGAAATGTAAAGGACGTGTTTTTGCGCTGCATGACGAACCGGAGGTTGCACGAGTGTGGCTGCCAAACAATGACTCACCGGGGCTAGCTATGGCTCGTGCGTTTGGTGATTTCTGTCTAAAGGACTTTGGTCTTATCTCTGTGCCCGAAGTTTCGTATAGACGCATCACTGATAAGGATGAGTTCATTGTCTTAGCCACAGATGGGGTATGGAATTTATATTTAATATTTCGCAAACATTTTTATAATTTCAATGCAATATGTTTTGATTATATATAAATATGTATTGGGATTGCAGATTTGGGACGTGCTGTCGAACAAGGAAGTAGTGGACATAGTGGAATCTTGCTCGACACGTTCTAGTGCAGCTAAAAGCCTAGTGGAGTGTGCGGTGAGGGGTTGGAGGTCAAAATATCCGACTTCAAAAGTGGACGACTGTGCTGTGGTTTGCCTTTTCCTAGGAGCAGACGAGACTAGTTGTGCTTCGACGATAAAATCCAAACAAAGTATTATACCGGAAGATGCGACGGGAGAAAAAGATGAATGTCCAGGTCCGACTGGACTGAAGCGTTCTGGGACGGTGAGAAACGAGGAAAATGAGGTGGTTGGAGAAGAAGAGGATGGGGATATTGAAGAAGATGATGAAAGAAGGAGTATTGGAATTGGACAAGAGTGGTCAGCACTTGAAGGAGTATCTAGAGTGAATACACTTCTTACATTGCCGAGGTATGTACCGGGTAAAGAAGACGACGTTGAGGCCAAGAAGGGTAAAAAATGACAGACGATCATCATCATCATCAAACTATTTATTTGTTTATTTATATATATGTTTAATTCCTTGTACTGATTTGTTTTTTGTAGAATGATAATTGGTTATGGTAGTTGTGGGGATGATGAGGTGGACCCAACGGCCGGATAATATTAGATTTCCAGGAGAGCCATCCCCTTTCTCTCTCTCTTTGTCTGTTTATGTTTGTGTTGTGTCTCTCTCATATATATTATAAGAATGGAGTTTTTTTGTTTTGTATCATCAACTTATAATTCTGATGCTGCAACTTGTTGATTGTTAAAGAGAAGAAAGAAAGCAGTTGATATTTATTTAATTTGGTTGTTAATCAACAAATTGAGAGAGGGAGAGAAATAACACAGTCATGAATTGAGTTGACACAACAGAACAAGCTGCAGGGGAAAACAACAACAATGCATATGGATGGAGAGCTATTTAATCACCAATTTGATGGTTGAAAGCATCAATAAGATCATCATTTTCCAATCCCAAATCGCGTGGTGTTTGTGTTTCACGTATACGTGCACCATCAAATGTGAATGCGATTGAGCTATAGACAAGACCCAGTCGGTCGCAGAAATCGAGAAAGATCCTGCGTAGTGGAATATTCATGTGTGTGTCGAAGCTGTATTTTTCTTCCCCACCTGATTCATTGTACTTGATATGTACAACTATCTCAGTCTTCTCTTCCTTCACTTTGGCCATAACAAACACACACACAGTGACAGTGTTGTTGATGATATATATATAGTTTCTTGTAGCTATATATATGTATATATGAACTTATGTATGTATTGTATACAGTATATATAATATGAACTTCTCTTCCAGGTGAATATGATTCGTTCAAGTTCCATCCCCACCACAGTATGTGTACGGTCCTAATTAATTAATGAAGAGGCTTCTTGCTTCTGCCCACCAGCTGGTTCCATGATCCTGCACACTGTTCAACGTACTAACTAATTCATTCATTCATTCATTCATTTGTTTTAGTACATGCAATGCATGATCATTAATTATTAATTATTAATTATTAATGTAAATGGAGAATTGTTCGGCTCCTCCCATCCCAATATCCCATCCCATCCCATGCATCCTCCATCAATTAATTAATATTTTTAACTCTAATTAGATTCATTGGATGCATTTATTAATTAAATAAAAATACAAAAAAGAATAATACATGAGTTAACATATTGAAGACGACGATTCAGATTTCAGACAAAGCAAATACGATGGATTATTATTACTATTAAACAATAAAAGTAAAGGACTAAATTATATTATTAATTAATAAAAGATAAAGGACGTACAGGTGGACATGGTCGGAGCTAGCTCCGATATGATCCACCACCATTTTGATCATTGGAAGCATCAATAATGTCTCTGTCTTCGTCCATTAATTCATTAGATAAGATATCGAATTTGTCGCAGAAATCAAGACTATTTTCTTCCAGCTTTACCGCCCCTTTTGTTTTTTTCCTTTTGTGATCCAACAACATTACTCTGCCTCTGCCTTCCATTATATATATATATGTATAGAGCCTTGTTTATATGTATGTCGTAATGACGTACGGCAATCTTTTTAATTTAACTGTCGTCGTTTCGTTTGTTGCAGTGAATGTGAATTAAAAAGGGAATCATTAACTTGTAAAGATACATGATCAGATTTTGTCCAAGTTGCTGATAACTTGTGAGTTTCCCACTGATGTCTGTCTAGGGCACAGGAATCACATGAATTCATAAGATGAAATTACCAACACCCTACCGAGAGAGTGTATTATATTCATACATAAAACATAAGCCAAAGCACCCATATACCAACCAATATATACTAGAACTCGTTGGATTGGTATCTGGATTTATGATGAGTACAGCAAACAATAAAAGTAACTAAAAATTAGACATGCATCAAGTACGGTGCTAATTAATGATATATTATTTATTAGTAGACGACGACGACGACGATGACACCGCCTCCAATTTGGTCGTTGAAAGCATCAATAAGATCGCCATCCTCCAATTTTAAATCGCGTGGGGTTTGTGTTTCACGAATACGATCACCATCAATCATGAATCTGATGGAGCCGTAGATCAGATCTTGATTGTTGCAGAATTTACGAAATATCTCCTTCAATGGAACATCCGTGAAGGTGCTGAAGCTGTACTTTTGTCCACCCGTTTCGTTGTACTGGATATTCAATATTATTATCTCACTCTTTTCTTCCTTCACTCGCTGCGCCCCCGCCGCCGCCATCCTATTTTATTATATATAGGATCTTAATTACCTTGTTGCTGCTGCTGTTGCCTGTTGATTGATGCAAAGGAATATATATATATATATATATATATATATATATATATATATATGAGAGAAATTATAATCATTCTTCAGCTTCTGCATGCAGGTGGCTCCTGAGTTTCCCCACTGTACGTACATCTTTATTAATTAATTAATCACAACATGCAGGCAATATAATCATGATTAATATTGACTGAATAATAATTATAATTAGTTCATAGCCAAATTCGATGTTCCAGCTGAATGCCTGCCGACTGTTGCTGAATGCTCTAACTATGTATTCATTGCCACAATTAAAGAGAGTTTTCATAAATTGCAATTTATTAAATTTTAAAGAATGGAATTATTTGAAATAAAATAAAAATAATTTTCCAACATTATTTGTTGTTGGGTTAAAATATTAATAAAATGAAAAATGAAAAAAAAAATAAAGGATTTGATTTGAATTAGTCCAACAATACATCCTCAAAAGTCAAAACTGCATCCGATCCATGGCAATGGCGGAGGGGGGAGGCGATGACGTCAGCCTCATCTTCGTGTACGGCACTCTGAAGCGCGGATTCTACAACCACAAGCTCATCCAAACAACCGATGCCGCATTTATCGGCCCCCACACCACCGTCGAGTCATTCCCCCTAGTTTGCGGGCCCCACGGCATTCCCTACCTCATCAACCTACCCGGATCGGGTACCCGGATCCATGGAGAGCTATACTCCGTCTCTTCGGGCCTGGGCCTAGCCCGCCTCGACGAGCTGGAGGGAATTGACCGCGGCCACTACGAGAGACTGCCGGTGGCTGTATGCGGCGGAGAGAGAGTGCGGGTGGTGGAGGCCTATTTCGCACATCGGGAATTTGGGGAGGCTCTGTGGAAGAGATGTGGGGAGGAGGGTTTGAGTGAGTACGGTGTCGATATGGTAAACAACTACGTGAGGAGGGAAGATAGGCCGCCGGAATCTAATTTCATTCTGGATATCCACAAATTCATTTCACATGGCAAAATTTGACATTTTTTGTCTTATTTTCTTCTTCTTGTTTTGGATATTCATCAGTTCAGAGCCAATTCAGATTTTGGTTATTTATTTCAATTTCAATTACAAAATCCATGACAAAACAATATTTCACTGGTTATCTAGCTTTCCACTATTTTTTGTTGCATCATGGAAACTACATTTCACATTGGGTGTTTCATCTTGTGCTGACATGGCAAGCTCAAGTTGTTTCATATCGATCAACTCTGGTGCGGAGATGTTTTCCCAGCTCCGCTCCGAGAAGAATGAAGTTGCACAACCATCCAACCCTATGTGAGTAACATGCTTTACATCTGTTGGAACCCCAATTTCCATCCCAATTTCCGCCTCCATCTCATCCTTGTACACTGAAAAACACACGATTTAGGAATTGTATCCCCTTTTAGCGACTACTAGTAGCAAGTATTGAATGAATGGTTTCCATTTCAAAGTTAGAATGTTCATGAATTTCTTACCGAATAACCGAGACAAGTTCTTGAATAGCTTTTGCAGTCTTGGAAGGGCAGTCTTCAAATATTCACCTGATAAACTTCCAATATCCAAATAGTCCTCTTCTTCATCCTTCTCCTCGTCACGTTTTCCTTCACAGCCAGAAGAAAAGCTATAGTTAGCTTTGGCAAAAGTGAATGGAAAAAAAGAAGATTTATTTTCGCATTTTGCATGAGAATGTTTGTACAATATATTAAGAAGGTTTCTCGAGAGAGAGGCGAACTTGTGGGAGTTGAGTCTGTATAGAACTTTGGTCTTTTAGTATGTTGAATCACGACAGGAATGCTGGATTCGGAGATGCAACCGGCATTGAAGGGAAGGAGTACAAATCGTTCGAGTCGATCTCTCATGTTGAAACAAGTAATCACCTGGCTGGGACTGTTGGAATACATATCTAATATATTATTTATATATATACAGCAAGCAGGGTGGCTTTATTCTCAAGTTATAATTATACTAAGAATTTGGGAGTCAATATCCACTCAAGTTTGATTGCAGCAATTAGCAAGACTTGATAGATTCTTAGTTCAGTTGCAGATGTTATCTATATATCAGTTGTGATTGTTAGATTTTGATGCACAATATGCATTTTCCTTTCTCTCTGTGTTAGTTCCAGTTTGTTTGGTGGATTCTTGTTTCACTTACCTCACTTAAAAGAGAAGCCAACAAATCTTTGTTTTTTCTCTCTTTTTCACCAAATATTATTTCATTAGATTGTACCTTGTGAGAAATGAGGATTATTCTTCAGCCTAATGATTTTTCATTTTCCCATTTGGTTCGTTTTTTCTCGAAAACGAAAGGACCTTCTTAGTTAGACGCCACCAGAAACGAGTGCATTACAAGCAACACTTTCTTACCACTATTGTAGCCGGAGACAGACATATATGCTTCACTTTTTCTCAATTATTCTGCATTGAAAATATGACCCACCATTTATCATTATTTTCAAGAATGCAACAAATAAATTTCTTTTCTAGCACTAAATCCAAGATTGACCAGGAGTTTTTCTAACTTCCCTTTCAAGCATCAAACCTCTAACTTTAGCTGCATCCTCCCATGCATGGTTTGCTGAATAAGTATTCGATATCACAAGATAGGAATCGGATTCATCGGGGTCCAGTTCGAGCAGTTTCTTCGACACCCAATTCATCATCTCAACATTCTTGTGAAGCCAGCAAGAAGATACATATGATTTCCAAACTTCTCTCAAATGATGGATCCCGTTCTCATATACAAAATCTTTGATCTCCTTTAAGTGACCCGCTCGCCCAAAAAGATCCACCATGCAAGCAAAATGTTCGATACCAGGTTGGATGCCATAGACATCTATCATCGCCTTAAAATACTTACAGCCCTCTTCTATCAAACCAGCATGGCTACACGCAGTGAGAATCCCAACAAAGCTCACTTCGTTCGGTCTAATACCCTCTTTTTTCATCGACTCAAATAGCTGAACTGCTTCATTTCCCAACCCGTGCATTCCGTAACTTGATATCATTACACTCCAAATTACGACATTCCTGGTTCGGGTTTGTCTGAAAAATGACAGAGCATCATCCAACTTTCCACATTTGGCATACATGTCAATCATGGATGAACACAGGATAACTTCTTGCCCGTGTCCTAATTTCAGCGTGCGAGCATGAATTTGCTGGCCGAGCTCCAAAAGAGCTGTATTAGCAGAGGCAGAAACGACACTAGTGAGAGTGAACAGATCTACCTCAACTTGCTCATGAATCATTGAGTTGAAATATACCAAGGCATCTTTTACCATACCATGTTGAACATACCCAGCAATCATTGTACTCCACAATACAGTCCGAGCGTTTAAATCATCCTGAGATCCCTTAGAACATGAAATCAGTTTCAATTCTCGGAAAATCACGGAAGCCTTGTCCATTTTCCCGCATTTACAGTACATATCAAGAAGTGAAGTGCATGCAAATGGATCTTCATTTACTCCACTCCTAAGCAGCTGGCAATGAATCTGCCTCCCTAGTACCAAACTCTTTAACGAAGAAGCCAAAACCAACGATATAGAAAATGTAACTCTATTAAACGTGGTTCCAACTTTCACCATATCGTGAAGAAGCTCCAATGCGTTTATCTCGAGCCCCTGTTGCAAAAGTCCGCCGATGATAGTATTCCAACTCGAGACAGTCTTGATTGGCAATCTCCAGAAGAAATCGAGACAGTTCTCCATGTCACCCTTTCGTAAGCTTGCAGCCATCACTATATTCCAAGAAGTGGAATCTTTAATATCCATCAATCCAAAGAATCTTCTCACGTAATCGAACATTCTAAATTTAGAATAATGATCGAGAACAGAATTATGCAGTGCAACGTCCACATCGATCCCATTTCTCGTTATCCAGCCATGGATTGCCTTCCCCATTAGAAGCCCGTTATTGACAGAAGCACAACATTTGAGCGCAGTGGACAAAGTGAAAGCATTGGGAGCAACGATTCCCTCATTCTGCATCTCAGTGAAGTAATCCAAGGCAGTCCTATGGTGCCCGTATCTTGAGAAGCCCGAGATGAGTACAGTCCAAGTTCGAACATCTCTTTCAGGAATTTCATCGAACAACTTGCTGGCATAGTCCGAATCAGGAAATTTCAAGTAGAGGGACAAGAGATAGTTAACAAGATGAAGGAGGTGAGTGGAGCCATTCTTGATGAGGGTGGAGTGATAAGACTGCGGATTGATGTGAGAAAACGAGGAGTAACATACCAACTTGTTGATTTTGTACTTGGAGTTTATGATGCCTGTTCTTCTTAATATAGAAAACAGTAATTTAGCTGGCATAGAGCCTTCTTTTTTCTTTTCTAATTAATAATTAATTGATTGGCTGATAAAGCTAAAACATTAATAGGTAGGATGAAAAAAGAGAGATTTTGAAAGCAAGTGATATACAAGTAGCGGAATATTATTAATCCACCGCCGAACCTAATTCAGACTTGTTTCCAAACAATGCGAATTGAATTTTGGTGTGATACTCTGTCTAGCTTACTTTGAGATGATTAAATAGTAAATAGTAAATACCAGCAGCTGATGTGTGTGTATATATATATATATACATATAAACATGTATTTTTGTTTATGTTACAGATGAAATTGATGGATATTTTATTGTTAATGAGAAAACCGAAACAGAAAGCGAAAGATGCAAACAACTAGTGTGGTCTTGATTGAGCTTGTCTTGTCTAACACAAGAAGAATCTTGTTCAAGATTCAAAGTTCAGAACAAATCAAACAGCTAGTGTTGGTTGTGTGCTGCTGCTGCTGAAGTTAACATGCATGATCAACACACAAACACAAATATGTCTTATTACGAAAAAAAAATTCCCAAGTATTTTGTCGACAACATCCCATATTACCAAATCATCATCACAAACATATCCAAGAATATTTCTTGATGATTCCAAGAAAAAGAAAAAAATAAAAATAAAAAGTAAATGCAACCGAAGCACGGGAAGCTAATAATAACACACATCCATCCATCGAACCATCATCAACAACAACTTATTCTTCTTCCTCCGCCTCTTCCAGCCATTTTACAAATGGCTCCAGCGACTTGACAAAGTTTTGCCTGTAACCAACCACCAACAAAAAAAAAACTGTAATAAGTCTTATGTGAACAAGTCAAACAATACATCAAAAAACAAGGGGCAGAAGAGTCTTTGCACATATGAAAAAGAAGAAAAGCTAGCATAATACCTCCCCTTGAGGTTTGTTCCTTTAGCAAACCAGTGAAGGATAGTGTCTTCAGCAAGAACATCTTGGTCGTACAGTGACTTTATTATTTCAGGGAACAATTTCATCAACTTAGCATCTTCATAGCACTGCACCTGAACTTTGTACACAAGTTCAAGCTCCAGTTTTCCCGATGTGCAGAACGCATTCAGCAACTTAGCCCATGTTTTCACCTGCCAAAATATAAATATATATCAGTATTTCTAATCATTCATTCCCTTCAAATATCAAGCAACTTTTAATTCAAAAAATAAACAAGTAGAATTACCTGGCGCAGAGCAGAATTAGCATTCTGCTGCTGATTTTTGCCGGACCATTGGACAGCATCCATCAAGACATCCCAAAGAATGCGAACAACCTCGATTTCAGGAAATTTAGCATCTTTGACATGTTGTTTCACAGTTTCTATCACTTCAGTTACATCTGCTTCTTCTGCTATCTGAGTAGTTAGTGAAGATTTCATTTCCTTAAGCTTCACCTCGAATGTCTTCTTTTCGTTGTACTCGACCAACTGTAGAAGCCCTTCCTTGCTGTGACAAGATAAATTCAAACATCATTAAATTCATCTTAACGATCACCAATCTCAGAACACACCATCTAAAAGAGATGAAGCATGATAGAAAGCAAACCCCTTCCTCCTTTTTATGTGAACTCTGAGAAAAGGTACAGTTGCTTACGTGAAATGCTCCGATAAAGCTTCAGGTGTCCGCTTTGTAGTTGGGAAGAAGTCAAGAAGATTGTCCTCCATTTTACCTCGTTTGAGAATAGAAATGAGGTCATCAAGGCTATTATCAACCAGATATTCCTTAAAGAAATCTGTGATAAATGAGAGAACTAGCCCTTTGGCAACAAGGTTATCTTTGAGTAGTGGGTGAAGAACAGTCTCGGGTGGGAGACCAGACAACTTCTGGGAAAAGGCAAGTGCGGTGAAAATAGCAAGCTTCTTCCTTTCATCCTCTTCGAAAAGTTCCAAAGACTGCAAGAACTTTTGCATAACATTTTCAAGATTCTTTATGAGGAAAGGCCTTCTCCTCAAAAGCTTCTGTATGTATATCACAGATGGCAAAATGACTTCACGTGTAGGCTCGCACTCAAATATTGAGTAAGGATGGCGCTCCCCCTCGTCAAGTTTGATTGTGCCAGGTTGTGTACGGGTCCCTCTGAAGACCACCTATATTCATTAAATAAATAATTTCAACCCACAAAACCATCGCAAGTTCAGCACACCAAAACAATTGGTACAGAATTCTTTTTTAATACAATGGCAATTAATTTAGAAGAACATATTGTAAGACTTTAAAATAGAAAATGTATAGTAGCCGTGAGATTAGAGAAGTTCGGTACTTAAATGACACATAATTAAGAAGCAAGGAAAGAGCATAAGTGAGAATTTGGTGTTTTAGATGATTTTTTCTTAATCCATAAAGTTCAGCATAGTTACCAAAACATAATCTGATGCCTCAAGGTAAGAAAAATCATTCCACTAAGAATTTTAAGACCGACATAGTTAGAGCCAAAGACAGTTGTTTCTGTTCTAGAAAGGAGAAGGAACATGCCTCATCCTTGAGATTTTTACAATAATATCCCACGTCCAATTATTTATAACTCAACCACAATAAAATTAACGAGTATTTCTATGCTTTTGGGGCCAAAACATGTGCTTCAAGAATGTTTACATGTGAAGAAAGATAAACCAAATATTTTAAGTACAACAATCAATTCTACGCTTCTACTTTCAAACATATCAAAATCATACGTGCAGCAGACATCATCCTGAGAACTTACCTCAAAAAAGGTGTCACCATATCTTGAAAAATTAAGGTCTGAAGATTCAATAGCCTTTGCTATAAGTTCCTGCATGACACACAGTTGCATCGATTATCACTTAGATTTGCATTACCAAAGGCGATCAGGGCATAATTAATCTCTAAATTAAAAACAACAGGAAAGTTATAGAAATACCAGATCACCAGCATTATCCAAATAAATCTGGACCACTGCATCCGAAAATGCTGCAGGGTCCAGGGGCGCAGCTATATTCCGTTTGCGGGTCTTAATCCGCGTGCCTCTGTATCGACATTATAGAGACAATAACAAACATCAAAACAGAAGTAGCTGAAGAAGTATGATAAGCAATCAAACCTATTAAATATCAGCTTAAGGACAAGATTGGCTACTCCAAGAATCATCAAGAACTAAAAGAAAAACTGAACATTTAACTTGACTAGCCCAATTTGCTTTGAAAAATCAAAAAAGTTAACATCTTTTATCTCAATCTTGTAACATATCGAGTAAAAGAGCTCTAAGTGAAAACAACCGCAGTTAATAAAACAACTCCAAAAAAAATATGAAGCAAAATTTGGCAACAACTATGATTAAATACTTGATTAAAAAGTTGTCAAGAGACTCACCCGAGAGTGGGTTTCTCCTTCGAGCTGCATGAAAAGAAAAAGAAACACAAAATGGTAAGAACTCGCAAAATCTGACAATTTGAGACAAGATTACGACGTTGAAACAAAAGATTAAAAAATATCTCCTTTCAGATCCCACTAACAGATTAATACCCTAAACGGTGAAAAAATGTTAAGAAATGGTAGATAAAAAGGGAAAGGATCCCCTTTAGCTACACCAATCTAAGAAAGAAAAAAAAAAAACCAAGATCAAATTATGCAGTAAAATAATGCAATTAACGATTAGACATCTAAAGAAAAATGAAAAGGGCAGATCTGATTATAGAAGCGGAAGAAATTAAAAGGAAAAAAAAAAAGAAGCAAATATGGATTTGACAGTGGAACCATTTACCTCATAAACCGATGTTAGGGTAATCAAAGAGAGGGCGGACTCCGGCGACGCAAGTATTTAGAGAGAGAGAGAGAGAGGGGGGGGGGAGAGAAGATGCAAATCGAAAAAGGAAAGATATTATAATATCTGAAAAAGGAAAAAAAGAAAAAAAAGAAAAATAACCGAAACGAGATAATAATAATAATACAGTTGTATAAATAAAACTCGAACGAACGAGTGCTGAAACGTAGTTGTAGCTCTCGGCGGCTTATAATAAGGCTTTGTCAACCATGACCTGAATTTTGGGCCACTTTTAAAATAGTTGCGTTAGATAATTCTGTTGGGCCTAGCCCAGCAGTATCCAGCCTTTACATCAACATTTTATTCATCAATAGGAACAATTGTCATTTGTCAGTTGTCCCAGACTCCCTTCCACTGCGCACCACAACCGTTCGCCCAACCTTCCCGCAAGTTTTCGCCGAAAGATCGATCGATCATCTAGCTATAAAAATACATTAATACATAGTTTGTTTTCTTACTTTCCTGTAGAATCTTCAATACTGATGTCCTCCTCTTTGCAAGTTTTGGTAGGAGTTGAGGTTTTTGGAGAAGATGAAGAGATTTTTTTGAAAATTTTATGAGTAATGGGTTCATGAACAAGAGATTCAAAATTGACATCATATTGTTCGAGTGTACTTTTCTCTGCGCTTATAGTTTGAAAGTAAACATTTTAATTACACTGAAATAATGATTATGTTTCGAGTGTTGCTGCATAACGTAACAAGCATATGTCACGTATGAATACAACAATACTGTCGTTACTTCATTCACATCATCATTTATTCCTTCCTATATTCACCCTGAATTCCCTTCCTTGGTGTCAATCACCTGAGGTGTTTGTTGAATTAAGCACATACATATATAAAAAGAAAGAAGTAGCGAAACATACATACATATATACTTGCTGATCAAAGGCATGTGGATTGTGGAACCATTAATTCAGCTGATTAATTTGAACTTTAAAGTCTAAAACCAAAATGTTGCAACCAATTTATTAATTGAGAAGAGGCATTATTAAAAGTTTTGGCCACTCGGGCAATTCATCAAACACCTGGTGCCCACAAACGTAAAATCTCAAACACCTGGGCTGGCTATGATTTGTCTTGGGCGATGAGATCATGAGCAGAATCGTCGTCGGAGGCATTGTTGACGGGGGTTTGGTCTTGATCAGCGTTAATGAGATGATTCATGTCTCTCATTCTAGTCCTCGCAACGTTTGCCACCAGCACTTAAGAAGAAGAAGAAGAAGAAGAAGAAGAAGAAGAAGAAGAAGAAAAAGAGATATACATACGTTAGATATATAAAATAGGAGGAGATCGATGGTGCCTGGGAATGGAATGGAAGAGTAAAATACCGGCTGCAGTTCCGAAGGTCCATATCCACAGAATCTTCAGTCCTGGATTCTTCTCTCTCCCCATTATTTCTTCCCTCACCTCACTTTTTTTCTCTCTCTTTTTACCACTTCACACACCACTACTCATCTAACATTCATAAACTAATAAATACCTTTTATTTCCTATTATTTAGGAAAAACGAATCTTAAATGAAATTAATCTATTTTATATCAACCTTTTTTTTTTTATTTAACTAGTAATCTGACCCGTGCGATGCACGGATTGGAATAAAATTAATGCATACTAATACTCTATTTATTTAGGAATGCATGTGTTTAAAAGTCGGACCAATTATATGGTAAATAAACTGCTAAAAAAAACTGATTAAAATGAGCCCCTACGGCTACCATACTTTTGCCAAAAGTTACAGTTACGTAAACAAATCTTATATTAAATACTTGATAAAAAAAATATAAAATTGACATAATTGACATTATAAATTTTAATTCAGCAATAAATATATATTTAAAATTGCATTAAAAATATAGAGGGTAAAATTGACATTACATTAATAATATATAATGGCCGATTTTTTGAAAATATTAATTATACGAAGGGTATTTACGACAATACGTAAATGAGGAAAAATTGGATTTTTTGGCAGGGACACGTGGCGCAATATAAAGGGGTATCTCTTAAAAGTTTAGAACATGGGATCTCACCCTAGAAAGACCCTGTAGTGACAACGCATTTTTCTACAATATTTTTTGCTTCAATATATTTCTTATCAAAATAATTATATACAATATTTCCGAATAATATTTTTTCTAAAAATAAATTAACCGTGCATCGCACGGGTACATTACTAGTAGCCATAAAATGAGCAGAAAAAAAAACCCTAGGGTTTCACCAGAACAACCTTACTTTTATTAATAAGATTAGATTGGACATCCATAAATTAATTCGTTTGATGCACTTGTCGAATTAAAAGTTGTAAAACTTCTTAAATCGTTGTTCAAAAAATTGAGAAAATAACATCAAACTAAAAATGTTTTTTTTTTGTTTGTTTGTTTCCCCAACCATAATACAAACAAACATTAAGTTATGTTCCAATTAAATTACTCTTTTTTTGAACAACTTTAAGCATTATTTGATTGCAATAATGTCAATTGTTTACACTCATAATAAGATGAAAAATATAGGCTCATAAAATTAACAGGGGCCAATTATATAATATTTAACTAGCCTTGGTCATGTGTGGAACCTCTTAATTAACTCATGTTATGGCGATATATATTTACTTTGTTCCATCTTTTTAAAAACATTTTTTATAGAATTATTTATTTCTGTATAGGCAAGAAAACATTAGAAATAATAATCTTGACTTGACCACATATTTTTGTACAAAGAACATATATAGTCGTGAAGAGAGGATATTATATATAATTCCCACAGTTTTATGGTCTCAATAAACATTTGCACCAACCTCCTTATGCTTATTTTAATTTGTTGTGTAAAATCTCCCCATGTTTTAACTTTTCTTTCAAATATATTTTTTTACGCCATTAATTGTATCAAAAAAAACAGAGGGGTTCACACAATAAAATAATTAAACAAAAAGAGTTTGATGCAAATTTTCTTTAACTCAAAGAAGTTTTATTTATTTACTCAATTTTTTGTTTGTTTAGATGTGTAATGTAATATATGTAATTGCACTCCCGACCCAAAACTTGACAGTAGGCAACTAGGCATTCATTCGGGGTCCTCGGAGACTTTAATTATTTGTATTATTTATTTGGCGTTATATATATGCATAATTAAATATAACAGATGATTTGTTTACATATATAATATAATAAGTGCACCACAAGTGGCACTTTGCTTAATATACTTCCAATTCTTGCATTGTGATCAGTTTAATTTGAGAAACAAGTATAAAGTATTTTATTATGGCTACAGTACTAAATCAACGATGATACTTGCACGGAACCTGTGTTTGAATGTTTCCAGAAAATAAAATATAATTTGCGAATATGCATGCTGTCAATTAAGCAAATTAAGCCACAGCCTGCAGCAAATACATTTATATTAAACATACATGTATCCAATTGACAGTTACATGAGGAAATGAAAGAAAATTAATTAATGTGGGAGAATTGAATGAGATCATCAAGGGTACCGTGTCAATGTTTTTTCATTCATAGAAATATTATTTAATTTGTGCTAAAAGTCAGATCATCATCATCATCATCATCATCATCATCAAGAAACCTTCAAACCCCTTAACATATTTTTAATTAATACTAATCCAGACACCTGACCGTAGCTAAACACGGTTTTGTGTTAATATGATAATTTAATTAACTAATGCATACTGCTTCAACCATTTTCATCTATTTAAATAAGTGCACTCCAAATCTTCTTCACTACATTAATCATCCACAACACCAAATAATCTTACTACCTAATTAAAATATTTGATCAACCTATCATTTAAGGAAAAAAAATGATGAAGCACTCCAAGTTTGCAGTAGCACTTGTGTTGCTGTTGAGCCTCCAGATTTTGAGCAGCGCCATGGCTAAATCTAAATCACCTCAGAAACTCAAGGTCGGATTTTACGCATATAAATGCCCACACGCCGAAATCATTGTCCGCAAAGCAGTCAACAAAGCCGTGTCACTCAATCCCGGTTTAGCTGCCGGCATAATCAGGCTGCATTTCCACGACTGCTTCGTCAGGGTATGTATACGCACTATTTCTTCGACTTTATTTCACTCAATCATTACCCCTGTTTTATATCGAATTACTATAAAAGTTCCCATGTTATAAATATATTTCCCTATATATGATTTTTTGCTTTACCACACAATCCTTAAGGTGATCAGTTTTTAGGGTCTGTTTAATGTGTTACGGAAAATATATAATAAGGGTTTTTATGCTAGTACTTTTCAGAAATTAGACTAAATACAGGGTGCTGAATGCAATAAACTAGTATTTTTTATATAAACTTATGCAACATTGATTTGAAGATAATATATTATATAATTATTTATCCAGGGCTGTGACGGTTCGCTGCTGTTGGACACCGTGGCTGGAAAGCCAGCGGCGGAGAAAGAAAACGTGGCAAATTTCCCAAGCCTACGTGGCTTTGAGGTAATCGACCAAGCCAAAGCCGATATCGAAGCTGTCTGCCCCGGAACCGTTTCATGTGCAGACATTCTAGCATTCGCCGCTCGAGACAGCTCACTCAAAGCCGGATACATCGGCTACGATGTTCCCTCTGGGCGAAGAGACGGCCGTGTTTCTCTCAGTTCAGAAGTGCTCGCAAACCTACCACCACCGTTCTTCTCCGCCGCCCAACTAAAGGAAAACTTCAAGAGAAAGGGGCTCTCGCTCGACGAGATGGTCACACTTTCCGGCGCACACTCCATCGGTGTTTCTCACTGCTCTGCCTTTTCCACCAGGCTCTCTGGGTTCAACGCCACCTTCGATAAAGACCCTTCTTTGGACTCTGGTTATGCTGCTTTCCTTAAAACTAAGTGCCCAGTTCCGGCGAAAGGCGATCCTGCGGTGAACAATGATTTTCAGACGCCGACTGTGCTGGACAACAAGTACTATGTTAACTTGAAGAATCACAAGGGGCTTCTAACCTCCGACCAGACACTTTTCGACAGTTCCCTGACGAAGAATCTGGTGTTGAACAATGTTAAGTACGGGTCTGTTTGGGCTAAAAAGTTTGCTGCTGCGATGGTGCATATGGGTTCCATTGATGTGCTCACCGGGAAACAGGGCGAGATCAGGAAAAACTGCCGTTTGGTTAATTAACCGATCGAATTAAAGATTTGGGAATTTTTTTCTTAATATTGGTTTGTGTTTGTATTCTTTTAATTGTTTTGTCTGACTGCGTGCATTTTTAAGTGTGAATAATAAAAAGAACAATAAGAAGATTGCATGTTTTGATGTAATTTGTATGGTCTAAATTTAATTAGGGTTTGTTCTTTGTAATATGTTTGATTTATATATTCAAATGTTACTTTGTATAGCTTGTCTCAACTATGAGAAATAGTCATTTTATACACTAATTTGTGGGGAATTAGCCATGTCAACCCTCTGAAACGGTCCAGTGGGGAATTGATACGTGTGTGGAGCAGCTAATTAAATTAATAAATTAGTTGTACATGGCAGTTGACATTTGTTTCCTAGGAATTGGTCAAACCACAATACAAATTTTATTTATGGGTATATGATCAGGCAGAGAGGGTAGAATATATATATTTAGGGGTTTATTGCATTCGGTATCAAAGATTAATTAATAAATTAAACATATTCCACTTTGATGGAAAGAACAAAGGAACAAAGAACATAAGTTAATGAATCAAATTTTAACAACATGGTACAAAGAAAATGTAAGGAGAAGGGTAATCAAAGTTAATTTGAAAAAAATGAATACAACGTCACGCAAGGATTGAATCTTATAATAATGATAAAAATATATTTAGAAATTAAGCATGCAGGCATGATTAGCAATCATCAGTTGACGAGGCGGCAGTTTTCTCGGATCTCGCCCTGGGTGCCGGTGAGCACGTCAATCTTGCCCATTTTCACCATTGCAGCGGCGAACTTCTTAGCCCATGCAGGACTGTTCTGAGCATTTTTCAGTACAATTTTGGAGGTCAAAGTGCTTGTCATAAGTACCTGATCCGACGTAAGAAGTCCCTTTTTCTGCTTCAGCAGCTCGTAGTACAAATTGTCCAAACGTTTCGGAGTTATGACATCCTGATTCACCGTAGGGTTCACACTTGGTGGACCGGTGGCATTGGCAACTGGCGCCGGGCAGATATTTCTCAAGAAAACGGCGTAGTTAGGGTCGAGAGTGGGGTCCACGGTCGGGTATAGACGTCCGTTGAAGGAGGTGCAGTGAGCAATTCCAATGGAGTGAGCCCCTGAGAGTGTCACCATTTCGTCGAGTGTGAGACCCTTTCTTGCAAAATTGTCCCTGAGTTGAGTGGCGTTGAAGAAAGGTGGGGGAAGATTGAGAAGTGGGTCGAGTGTGTTGGACTCGTTTCCATCACGGCGTCCAGCGGGTACTTCGTAGAATATGTCACCAACTCTCCATGAGCTGTCTCTTGCGGCAAATGCGAGAATGTCGGCACAAGAAACGATTCCAGGGCATCGAATCTCCAATTCAGCTTTTGCTGCGTCGATTATCTCAAAACCTCTCAAGCTTCCTCGGTTTGGTATACTTTGCTTTTCCGAGTTTGCTCCATCCAACAACACAGAAGCATCACATCCCTGTAATATGAGTATGTAGAACAAAAGCAATTAATTCTTAGTAGATATAGTGTTGATACTCAATTAGGTCATCAACATGAATATATATATATATAGTTAGTGCGGGTGTATGTATATATATATATATATATATATATATATATATATATATATATATATATATATATATATATACGATTACAAAGATGCATGATGAATACATATTATAATAAATATGTACGGCGCTCATACCCTGACGAAGCAGTCGTGGAAATGAAGCCTGATAAGGCCGGCGGCAAATCCAGGGTTGCGGAAGACGAATTTGTTGACGTATTTTTGGACAATGGCTTCTGCGGGTGGGCATGATTTTCTGTAGAAGCCAACTTTGAGGCCGGCTGTTGAATTAGCCGCAGAAGAAACAGAAACAAGGAAAACCAAGCAAGACAAGAACAATAATGCAATGACTGCCTTGTTGGTGGAAGCCATAATTGTTGTATTAATGTTAAGTGCAAAGTTAAATTGGATGTGGATGCCATGGATGGATAGTTTATGGGATTATTTATAGAACACTACTGAATAACTGTTAAATGTTTGTTTAATTCCAATGGAATTGTTAAATCCAGGACGTGTGTACATGTCACGAACTTGTAATTTTATAATAAACTCATAAAATATTGATGATGAATTATTCATTGATAGAGGATCTCCATTTTCTCTAGCAAGAATATGATAATTAATATATATTATATGTAATGTGACATTCTCTTCAATTCGTATCGATCATAACGGGTCAGCTGGTACATACGACCAGGAATCTTCTATTGACCGTTAACGTGTTGCTAGTTTATATTTTAATCCTGTTGAACCCTCAAATAATCAACAAAATTAATGTGGACCAAGTTCACATTATTTTTACAAATCGAAACCCGAAAATTTGTTACTACACGGATTCATTAATATTTTTTAATTATGGGATTTCGCTCCAATCATTTTTTTTTTGTTTTTTTTCCCATACTTCAATGTAAATTATATATGTATTTTTATATTTAATATTACAATATATAAATATAAAAGGTAACACTATTTTAAATAAAATCTATAACTATGTGCTACTTTTTTATTTTTTTTATTTTTTGGGCGAATGGCAAAAAGGCCCATCACATCGGACTTAAATGCATTTTGGTCCACAAAAAAAAAAAACAGTCTCTCAATTAAACCCATTCCCATGTCTTTAGTCTAAATTACTCTCAGTAATATAATTCTTATCAATTCCACTCATTATGCTCCAACTTCTTTAATATTACACATTAACACCAGATTTAAACAAATATATCATATTAACCTCCAAAACTTTTTTTTTTCAAAAAATAATTTTTTTTCTGAAATATTTTTTTTCCTGCAAGATTCCGGCGTTGACTTTTTCTTTTTTTTTTTTCTGAAAACTTTTTTTTTTCCTAAAATTTTTTTCCGGCCGGTCAACCACCGTTGACCGCCGGTCTCCGGCGTTGACTTTTTTTTTTTTTTGAATTTTTTTTCTTAGAAAAAAAATATTTTAATTAATATTACTGTTTTGGCTACTAAATTACTGTCTCAGACAGTAATATTACTGTTTGGGACAGTAGTATTATGAATATTATTTTCCCGAACAGTAATATTATTAATATTATTGTCTAAGACAGTTAAATTACTGTTGTACAGTAATTTAGCATCCAAGGCAGTAATATTAATTAAAATAGTTTTTTTTAAGAAAAAAAATTTAAAAAAAAAAGTCAATTAAGAGTTAAATTACTGTCTTCGACAGTTAAATAACCGATGGAGACAGTAATTTAGCAACGAATACAGTAATATTAATTAAAAATATTTTTTTTAAGAATAAAAAAGTCAATTAACGGTTAAATTACTGTCTCCAACAGTTAAATAACTGCTGGAGACAGTAATTTAGCAACGAATACAGTAATATTAATTAAAATATTTTTGAAGAAAAAAAAAAAGTCAATTAACAGTTAAATCACTGTCTCCGACAGTTAAATAACTGCCGGAGACAGTAATTTAGCAGCCAAGACAGTAGTACTAATTAAATTTTTTTTTAAGAAAAAACAAAATTAAAAAAAAAGTCAACACCGGAGACCCGGCGGTCAACGGCAGTTGACCGGCCGGAAAAAAATTCAGGAAAAAAAAAAAAAGTCAACGCCGGTCAACGGCGGCGGACGGCGGTCTCCGGTGGTGGCGGGTCAAAATTGGAGTCAAAATTGAAATTAGGGTTAAAATTGGTTAATTGATGAAATTGGGCTAAATTGGGGTGTAAATCATGAAATTAGAGTTGAATTCGGTTTCAATGAATTGAGGATAATTTTGGTATATATAAAAAGATTTTCCTTATTTGCAAATAAGTTTGAATGAGCTGGATTTATTTAAAAAACAAAAAAGTTGGATGTCCCTCTTTTAATTAAATGCCCTTGTCATGGGCCTATTTGTCATTACCCCTTATTTTTTATCAATCCCTCTAAAAACAATCGGTGGCCGATGCACCCCATCTAAATAGTATTAATCTCCTAATGTAATAATTTGCTAAATTTATAAGACAACACATATTTTAAAATTTGTATAGACCGTCCCTTCTGTAATTACTTACAAGAAATTGTTCGATAATTGTTGTTCTAAGAGCTTTAGTCCGAGAAACAGACTTTATAGTATCATTTTCAACTTCATCATGTTTATCGGTTCTTTAATGATGCTCAAATTACGATGTTAAATCAGGACTAGTTTTGTAATAATCTGCATTTGCAGTTAAAACCAAATGTATATGTTATTCATGAAAAGAAGAATTAATTACAACCTGGCATATGACTTGCTCGAAAATCTTAATTAAGTTGTCCCAGTTACAACATTTAATTTTCCCAATAAATACATTTTTAATTGCACGAGGTTTGACCAACTCTTAGGAAACAAATGTCAACTGCCACAGCCTTATTATTTTATCTCTTTCACTAGACGGGCGGTTTCAGAGGGTTGATATATTCGAAGATTGTTTTTAAATTAAATGAAAAGAAATTGAATTCATCAAAAATAAAAAAAAGGATTTCAAATTTTAAAATAATTAATATTTCATCGCGCTTAACATTATTATTTTGTTGAGTGAATTGTAAATAAATGATGCATAGTAAATGAATTAGGAGTTGCTAACATGTAGGCACGTCCTGGGTTGGGTTTTAACAAAAAAATAATGTTTATGAGCCTATAAATACCACCTTAACTATCAATCTATGGCATCCACACGCACATTAATTCCAATAATCAACACTTTTCTCTTGTATTAATCAAGAGAGATATATATCATATTGTAGCTAGAGCTACCTAGCTACAATATATAATGGCAGCCCTAACAAATTCCCATGCAGTCGTCATAATTGGGTTGCTTCTCTCTTGCTTCATATTGTTTGTTTCAGCCGCTGATGATAATTCAACCGCAGCCCTCACAGTTGGCTTCTACAAAAACTCCTGTCCCTTTGCAGAAATCATTGTCCGAAAATACGTCAACAAATTCGTCACTTTCAACCCTGGTTTTGCTGCTGGCCTTATCAGGCTGCACTTCCACGATTGCTTTGTCAGGGTATGTATATATGTACATTCTCGTTAATTTTTTTTTAGATATTATATCAATCTTCTTTTCGTTTCCTAAATATATATATATCTGTGTGTTTTTAATTAATTTACCTATAGGGTTGTGATGCTTCTGTGTTGTTGGATGGAAAAAACTCGGAAAAGCAAAGTATACCAAACAAGGGAAGCCTACGTGGGTTCGAAATAATAGACGCAGCAAAAGCAGAACTTGAGGTGAAATGCCCTGGAATTGTTTCATGTGCAGACATTCTCGCCTTCTCAGCCAGAGACAGCGCCTGGAAAGCTGGCAACATATTCTACGAAGTACCCGCTGGACGCCGTGATGGAAATGTATCCAACACACTCGACCCACTTCTAAATCTTCCCCCGCCCTTCTTCAACGCAACTCAACTCAGGGACAATTTTGCAAGAAAGGGTCTCACACTCGACGAAATGGTTACACTTTCAGGGGCTCACTCCATTGGAATTGCTCATTGTACTTCCTTCTTAGGACGTCTATACCCGACAGTGGACCCCACTCTGGACCCCAAGTACGCTGCTAAGTTGAAAAAGATATGCCCTGCGCCTGTTGCTAATGCGACCGGTCCACCGAAAGTGAACCCCACAGTCAATCAGGATACCATCACTCCGATTCGTTTGGACAATTTATACTACTTGGGATTGAAGCAGAAGAAGGGGCTTTTTACGTCGGATCAGGATCTTATGACAAGCCCTTTGACTTCCAATATTGTTCTCAACAATATTCAGTTTGGTGGTGTGTGGGCTACCAAGTTTGCTGCTGCCATGGTCAAAATGGGAAATATTGATGTACTCACCGGCGTCCAGGGCGAGGTCAGGGAACACTGCCGCCACATCAACTGATTTTTCAGTATTCATTTGTAATTATATTCATGATCATGCATATTGTATTCTTTTCAAATTTTCTTTATTTTATTTTGTCGTGATCGATGTTGTTAATCTGCTGATTCATTCGAGTTTCAGTCTCTATATATATATATATATATATATATATATATATATATATATATATATATATTTTATATATATATATATATAGACTGAAACTCGGGAAGAAAATCAGAGAAATCCCGTGACATATACTCTCCCCCGTTGTTCGATCTCAAACATCGAACCTTTATACCAATTTCCGATTCTGCAATCTTTTAAATTCTTTGAATTTTGAGAAAGTTTCGGATTTCTCCTTGAGGAAATAGACCCATACGAATTTGGAGAAATCATCAATAAAAGTTATCATATACCTCATTCCGCCGATCGAAGCTAGCTTGTGGGTCCAAACACATCAGAGTGAATTAACTCTAATGGTTCTTTTGCTTTAAACTTTGATTCTTCATATAGCAATTGATGCGATCTCCCGTATTGGCATCCTGCATAAATTGTGTCCGTTCTTACTTCAAGGCTTGGAAGACCCTTCAACATCGTGTTTTTCATCATCACATTTAGCTTAGTCGCATATGCCATAGATCTGTTGTTTCATTTTTCCTCGTCTTGTCAACGTATGTTATCTCGGCACTCATCACATAGATGAACTCTAGCTTCGATCCCTTCATCGTCGGCTCTTCCACAATCTCCAGGTGATGGTATACCCTTACATCATCCGGGCCAAACAATACATATTTTCCCGATTTCATAATTTGTGCTACGGATAAAAGATTTTTCTTCATTCCTGGAGCATGATAGACATTTTGTAGCGGTTCTTCATTTGCATTAATGAGGAGTAGGGGTGTGAACGAGCTGAGCTCGGCTCTTTTGGCAGGTTCGAGCTCGAGCTCGAGCCCAAGCTCATTTTGTTTTTGTTTTTTTTTTTGTAATATTTTTTAATTATTATTTTATTATTATTAACAATTATTTAAAAAAAAATTACAAAATAAAAAATAAATTGTAATTATATACATTTTTAATATTTATATTTATATTTAGTTATTTCTATAAAATTTTATATTATTTTACATTATTTAAATAAAAATAATATATAAGAAAATAAAAAAATAATAATAAGTAAGGCTCGCGAGCTCACGAACAACTAAAAACTGGCTCGAGCTTGAAAAACTCGAGTCCGAGTTCGAGTTTTTTTTTTTTAGCCATCTCGTCGAGCTCACGAGTTGGCTCGACTCGTTTACCACCCCTATTGAGGAGAGATCAAAGTATTACCAACGTAAGCTATTGGTAATTTTGAGTTTTTGGGTCGTGGATTGATTTTTGGGCCGGTGGATTATTGCCTTGATAGCTTTGTTGAGGAGGGACTTGATTTTGGAATTGACCTTGAGACCTTTGATATCTTTGGCCTTGTTGATTTCCTTCATATTGCCCTTGTGATCTCCACCCTTAATTTTGGAATTGGCGAGACGCGTTATTGACGTAGTTGAGCGATTCCACATCTTGTTGGCATTGGAGCGTGTAGTGATTTCCACCGCAAATTTCACAACATGGAGAATCAATTGCTTGGACTTGTTGTGGTGGACTTGCTTTGATGTGCTGTAGAAGGAGTTGATTTTGTTGAGCAATTTGGGTCACTTGAGCTTGAAGGGCCGTAATTGCATCTAACTCCAACACCCCGGGAACTTTATTGGCTCCACTAACCGTCCTTTCGCTTGACTTGGCAAACCGATTTTGTGCAATTTGATCCAACATGATAAATGCATCCGGTATCGATTGACTCATAAAATTACCGCCGGTTGAGGCATCTAAAACGGTTCGTGCATTCTCGTTGATCCATTGGTAGAAGATGTGGATTTGCCGTCTGTTGGGCTAAATACCTAACATGCAAGTGCACGTATCGCAAACAAGTAGTAAAAGTGGACTCGTTAGAGTCGGATGTCGATCCCACAGGGAATACTCAAATTATCTAATCCTAAATACCAAATTCTAACAATTATGATTTTTATCCAGCCTACGCAAGGTTGTCAAATTCAATCAACTAAATAATTAAACTAATTATAAAAGCAAATAAACACGAGAAAAAATATCAATAAAAACGGATCTAGGATTTTATCTTCCCCTATGCGATAATTCATCACCCAATTAAACCTCTATCATGCAAGTTACGATTCCTAATTATTAACCCGAGACACTCAATTACTCATAACCCGCTGTCGCGTGTATTATGAGTCTATTATTTATAAACGATTCACTATATGTCTATGCAAACCAAGTATGAATAAAACATTAAATAACAAGTCTCGTAAACGGCTACCTAAGGTATTATCTGTATGTCTACGACAATACATGCAATTAACACACTCATCCGGTGAAAACTACTCGGGCTCTTCTATCCCTGTTCTAATTATTAAAACGATCTGTCAATCAATTCTAACAATAACACATAGCAACATAAATTAGCTACGTTCATGCGCTAAATAAGATCAAATAGAAGAAATAATCATGGAAATAAACTTGCATAACATTAGAAAAATAGGTTCGAATCACCACATAGGGTTCCAATAAAATCCTAGATTTAAAGCTTAGCTACTCGTAATTCTTATGATAAACAAAATAAAAATAAAATAAATAAGAAAAACTATGCTTGAGTCTTCGTTGATCTTCGTTCTTCGTGTTTTGTGGTGTAAAATTTTTGTGCTTATGGTGTAGAGACTTGTTGCTTTTATAGGCTTTTCTTGATAAGGAAGTAGTGGAAACCTAATAGGATCCAATTTCCTCCACTTTCCCCCATCAGGATTTGTTCGTCGATTTGTGCCATGTTGGAGTCCGAATTTTGGAATGTTGTGTAAATAATAATTGTAGCCCTTGAAATTAGCTTTCCAATGCCGCCAAAATCACCTAATTCGGAGTTCCTATGAGAGAGATATGCTCGAAATGGTGGACACTGTCAAAGCTGTTGCGAGATTCCTTCTTCCAATTTGATTTGTTTCCTTATTTGCAACTTTTTCCTTTCTTTTTGATCTTTTTTTCTTCATGGACACCTAATTCTCGTTTTTCACCTATAAAACACAAAATCAATCAATTAAAGCACAAATATAATTAAATCTAAACAAAAGATCCACGTAAGGTAAACATATTGAGCGTAAAATCTACACTCCACACCGCCATTTTTCGACTCCATGTGTTGGACACTGCCTCAAAAGAGTTTTAACTCTCTCCCATGCCTCGTATAATTGCTCACCTTGCTCTTGGACGAAATTATGAATTTCTCGTCGGATTCTCTCGTCCTTCTCGGGTGAGCTGTAAACTTTCACGAAAAGGTTGAGGAGTTGAGGCCACGACGAGATAGAGTGGGGGGCTTGGGACATCAACCACTGGCGAGCTCTTCCTTGTAAGGAGTGCTTGAAGAGAATTAATTGAAGCGCCTATTGGGAAACGCCGTTTTGACGGTGGGAATTACAAGTATCTAGAAAATTGACAATGTGAAGATGGGGATCTTCACCCGCCAATCCACTAAATAGCCCGTTATTTTGGAGCATCGTCAAGAGGCCTTGCTTGATCTCAAAATTGTGCGCCTCAATAGGTGGATATTGGATGCTCGGGCGGAATCCGTTGAGAGTTGGAATTATGTAATCTTGAAGTGCCCGTGGCCTAACTGCTGGCTGTAAACAAGCCTACGATTTTATTCTTCCCCTTATGTGATTATTATTCCCAATTCCTTCAAGTATGCAAGTAATTAACCCGGATTATTAACCTGAGATGCTAAAATAATCATAACCCGCTTCCGCGTGTATTACGATTCTAATACTCTAGATTCAATTACTATATTCCTATGAAATTAATTATAGAATACATCATTAAGCACAAATCTCAATAATGGCTACCTAAGAGATTAACTATATTCCTATGTTAATACCACAAAGGCTCTTCTACCACAGTTCTAATTATTAACCCGATCTTCCGATTCATACGATTAACAATAACATAAAAGCACATAAGTTGATCAAGTTCATGCACTTCATAAAACAAGTAGAAGAAATAATCCGGAATTAAAACTTGCATAAAATCATAGAAAAGGGTTCATAAATCCCACATAGAGTTCCAAATAAAATTCTAGAAATAAGAAAATTAGCTACTCATGATTAAAGGAAAAACGCAAATAAAATAATTCATAAACGATAAATCTATGCTTAGAGTCTTCGATTTCTTCGTCTTCGTTATTTCTTTGTTGCTCTTGAAATTGCGTAAAAAAAGATCCCCAATTGTGTGCTTGGCTTGGTCTTATATAGGGTAAAGAAGACAGTTTCCTTGTGCAATTAAAATCCCTTTACTGCACTGCCACGTGGTCTCGGACGGCCGTCCCACAATTTGAACTAAAACTCGGACAGTCGTCCGAGCTTTAGTTCTTCATATTTTGGTTTTTTCACTTTTGGCCCATATTTTATTCAAAATTGCAGTTTTTTACCCCATACTTTTCCAATTCTTCAATTTGTACCTAAAATACAATAAAACAACTTTTTAAGCACCAATTATCGTTAAAACACCAAAAGCTCAAATAAAAAGGTACGATAAAGTGTAAAAATATACACTTAACATTATGCTACGGACAATAGCTCGCTCTCGAGAAGTTGAAGCCTCGTGTCATTCTTCTTTAAAAACAGCTTAGCGTACCTATCCCAAGCTTCTTTCGGGGTTTTGGTATCTCGAGTGTGCTCTAGCACATCATCTTCAATCGTAGTCTTCAAAGCAAACATTGCTTTGCCTGCTTTTATCTTCCACTTTCGCAATACATCATTTGCATCTTCTGCCTCAGGTTGCGTAACTTCACTTCCGTTAACAACCTCCCACAAGTCTTGGCCTTGCATGTAAGACACCATGCATGTAGACCAAGAATTGTAGTTTTGACTGTTAAGCTTTTTGATTCCGCCAACAACTTGGAGATCGCACATTCTCGCAATTGATAC